CTAAATGACAGAATACCTTAAAATGCATTCAGAGATCTTCCTCAGTCTTTAAATCCATTCATGGAACCTAGTTTTCTGGGTATACACTGCCTCTGTGTGGATGGTAGTGGTGTAATTATGATGTTAAAGAACAGATTAATCTCATTAATCCCCAACAGCTGAAGAAACGAACACTCAACGGAATTTAAAGTAATCTGCATGCTCAATAAAATTTTGATCTTTAACTGGACTGTTGAGGCCAAATTAAAATATTTTTTTTTTTGGTGACTTGAAATGAAGTGCGAAACAGTACATGAAGATTTCTCACAATGGAGGAATTACGCTGTCGACAAGGTAATTATTTTTTTTTATTGTAGAGTCAAATGGATATAAAAGGCTCTCATCTCACTAACATGCCAGGGAAATTATTTCTGTCAGACTGAAATCTGTAGATGACTTTCATCTGTCTACCTCCCTGGTTTCCATCACTGGTAAAAAAAACAGAATTAGCTAACGTGTCATAGTGCTGACAACTCTACACTACTCTGCAGACCCAGAATCCTTGCTTACTTTCTGTTTATCTGTGGCTGTGTGACTGGATATTCCACTAGCTGCTAAAATAACTATTTGTTCATGAATATCTACAGTAGGTGTAATGAATAGTATTAGGATTAGGTTTTTATATTTAATGTTGTTTTATAGTCTTTGATTGGGCTAAATGCCCAAAGACAAGCTTTAGAAAATGAGCCAACTTGTCAATTAATAGTGTTGAATATAAGAGTTTAGGGCAGATGTTGTTACATCAGACAATGATACATTGTTATAGAACTCAGAGCACTTTTGCAATTGTTTTAAAAACTCTTCAAGTTTTAATCTTTATTCTTTTTCTGGGGTAAGAACTCACACCAAATGCCTGAATTAAAAAAAAATAATATTCTTTCTGGAATTTATCTAAACTCAATATACTCTGCAGGGACAGCAAAAAGGCATGTCTTTTTTGATCCTGTGAATTTTAAGCAAAATTACATGCATGTGTTGTAAGTTAACATGTCTCATAAAATGAACACTCCTAAAGTAATGGCTATCTCACACAGCAATATAGAAGAAAGCAACTGATCTAATTTATTGCTTTACAGAGGTTTGCAAGCACAATACACAAGTAACATGACCTGTTTGTAATTCTGGAACAAATATTTATTTCTATGACAGATAAATGCATCTTGTTTTGTTGTAGTTTCTTTTTCTTTCACTTAAACACAATATTATTACGGACAACTCAGCAAATGATAAAAGAGTCTGTATACGGAAAACGGGTTAAGTAAAAAAATGAATTGTTAATGATATAATGGAAAACTAAAGATAATGAGAAAAAGTATGTAATTTTTTTAATGAAAATATATATGTATTCTGGAGAGGTTGCCTGCTGTCAGCTGACACTGCACTGTCTTGTCTAACCTTTAGCTTTCTAAAATTCAAGTGACATTTTAGTGCGTATCGAAAAGATTGTGCTCTGTAGATACATGGAACTGTCTGATACACTAATGCATGTGTTGACTTCCCATCTCACAAAGGGAAGGACTGGTAATTAAATTCAACGAAAGAGGTCAGTGTTAATGGGAGTGCAGAGACACTTCCAGTACTAATTACGAATAGGAAATTAACCTACAAGGAATGTGAGCGTAAATTGAACAAACGTTTAGTCTTGCTTTCCATAGCTCAAGACTCCTATTTGACATTCACAGCCAGTAAAGGAAAGGCAGATCCAGTCTGTCTGTTTCAGTTGAGGTAAAGATGATCACTACTCAGATCACTGGAGAAATGAGAGGGCACTCAGCCAACTACTTAATTATTTTCTAGCAGCTAATTGATTCATGGATCTCATTTTAATGTTTATTTAAGAAAACCAGGGTACCAGCTATCAGTCTATTACATATGTCGTTAACACTTTTTGTAAAGTCTCTTCATGCTGAGGTATTGAAGCAATGGTGTGGATTGGGATCATAAATCTGACTTCTTGTTCAAATATCACCACATGTGCTATCCAAATAATAAAGAATTACTAATAAGAAAACATAGGCTTTGTGGAGACTTCTACCATGTACAAGAGCCTTTTATTTTTTCTTTCTTTAAAACTGCATTGCCAGTGCCTTTTATATTTCACTTGTTTAGTTATAGCTAAAAACCAAAACTTGTGATTCCTTGTATTACAAGTGGAAAGCTGTAGTATTAATACCAACTACTACATTTTAATTGCGTAATCTGATTGTATGAAACATTGCATAGTTGCCCACACAATTGCATTAATCTAATTCTTTCCATTTCAAGCACTGCCAAGCAGAACAAAATAAAATGGAAGTAGAATAATGTTCTTTATATCAGTTGGTCACATGGTTCAATGTATGTCCTTTCAAGCTTTGTGTCCTGTACTTTTTTTTAATCTGTGACCTTCAATTTCATCATCTCAGTTTGCTGTTGACTATAAAATTGGTGCATTTGTAAAACACAAAACTTTCACTTAATGAGTGCTTTCAGTTATTTTCTGATGAAGCAGACGTGAGAGCCAAGTTGAATACATTGACATTTAATTAGCAATCCATGCATAGTGGCAAGTCAATTATTGTGATTTCTTAGACTAATTGGCTAATACATTGTGATGCACAATCTAATTGCAGAAGGGGTGAGTTATTTTAAATCGAAATTTTCATATCTATTTTTAATGTGCTTTATAGGCTAGCTTTAAGCCAGGTTAAATCTCCTGTGTGTTGATGATGTCTGTTAGGTCAAGTAAAATTGGGATTTGGGCTTTTACCATCTTATAAAGAGCTCCTTTACTTTGGCTGTAATAAAACTATCTTGTGTTTAATAAAATAAAAAGTAACATCTGCATATTTTTAGCCAGTTTAATCATTGCAGGCTGAGCTGTAGAAAGCAATGCCACTGTGAATTTAAAATCTAAACTGAAAGGTGTTTGAGGGTGTTTCCAGACACTTTCTTGAAATGTTTTGCACTCTGGTTTTGATATGCTGCTGTGCACATATTGCTTCCAGGCTTGTTCTTCCAGCACTGCAGCAGTCTCTGCCTGTATTTAAAAGGTTGGCAGGGATAGCACCGCTCTGTGAAAATCAATATGGTGGGTCTGTCTTCCAAGGTGTTGTGCTTTGCTGCTTGGCTCGTGTTTCACCACCCCAACAATGACAAAGTGTGGAGGAAAGGTGGTGATGGGGGGGTAAGGGGGGAGGTCTGGCACCTGCAAACAAAATCTATTCCACCCATTCGTGCACGACGTCATGTGAGCATTTCCTCATCGTTCCTGGCAGGCGACGGAATGGTGTCAAAGGCAAGTCTGTCCTGGATGCAGATCTGTCGCGGAGACTAAATTAATTTAGTAGATCTGGTGGGTGGAGGGAGCATCTGGAACGCTGCAGTAGCATTTGCATGACATCAAATTAAAAGAACCGCAATTTAGCCCCCCAGTAATTCAATACTGTGCAAACAATTGTGTGCCCATCAAAAGGTAGTCTGTAAGGTTTGTATTTTATATCAATTTATTACCTGTGTGTGCTCACTCTTTTGAATATATAGCAATTACTTTCCTAAGTTGGGGTTTATACTAGTTAAGCATCAAAATGCACAAGAGTACTCTCAAACTGTTAAATGAAAAGTATAACATTAAGAAGCCTGTGTCATGAATTTGGTTCTCGCTATTAGTTATTGCCATAGTATATCGGCAACAGAAGAAGCTAAACATTTTTCTAAACCAATGTTTATGATTTCTGGTTTTATTTCTGCACTTCTTCGAAGCAGACAAAAAATGAATACTATTCAATTAGCATTTCTGAGGAATCTTAATCACAGTCCAGAAGTTTTGCTGCACTAATAAAGACTGACATCAGACTCTGAAGCAGCAAATTGGTTGTTCTATTGTCAAATAAGCTGTCAGCGCAGGTAATTGAAAACCACACAAATATCCTCAATAACAGGCAAGATTTCGTTTCAAGAATTATCCTTCGCTTCTGTCATAGGGGAGGGTTGAAAAAGCAATTATAGTTGTGCCAAGTCATTTGAAAATATCCTGATAATTACAGGAACCTCATTTCTCTCCTATACAAACACCAATTTCATTAATAGAATTTTTTGCACCACTGAATATTCAAACAGGGAAGTCTGCAATAAACTAAGCTCACCTAAACTTCACAATCTAAGGCATTGTGTCCTTATCTGCTCAATATCTCAATACTCCAATGTAATGAAACTTCACATTGCCAAAAAATAAAATATAATTTAATCAAAATGAATGTAATTGAATTGTAAACTCAATAATTCTTATTATAACCACCATTCTCTATTAATTGTACCTCTCTGTTGCAGTATCCCATATCATCAGGAACTGATATCAACATTGCCTGTTGTCTGTCTTTTCTTATACCACTGTACTGTTGTTTTTTTGTACTACTTACCATCTGAGAGCTAGCCAAATAGCATTTCGTTATACCATATACCTGTTTATGAGTATAATGACAATAAACTTGAACTTGTGATCAGCTGCTGTTTAAAATACAACATCGCCCTCGTGTGGAAATATAATCTCAAAACAAGCATTTTTCTTAGTTGCAACAGCTGTCAATAACCAAATGCAATCATCTCTATGCCGCAGGGAAATGTGGCCCAATATTTAGAAAGTATTAAAGTATATGTTTTTCCTGTTGTGTTTTACCTTTTACCGCTATACTTATATAGTTTCCTTCTGTAAGAAAAAAAGGAGTAAAAATGGGCAAAATTAAAATCAAGGATTTTGAATGCTGTAGATGCAAGGAACAGACAAAGACACCAATTTAAAAAAAAAAGGTTTTCTGAAGAATGTGCTCAGGGTAGGCGATTCTCTGATAGACTTGGGGATAGAATTCTAGAGCTTTTGGAAGTAGCAAGAGAAGGCCCTGTCACCCATAGGAAGTAAATGTCAAACTGAAACTTTCCATATTTTCTCTGTTCTTTTTTAATTTTAGAGCAAAACACAAAACAGATCATATATATGTTTCTTTATTTTTGAAAATAAAAACTATTTACATCAATCCATATTCCCTATTAAGGGATGTATTTATAGGATTTGTATTACACATTTTGGCTGTGTTTTTTAAATTCAACATTACAGTTGAGAAAATAAAGTAATCAACTCATAATACAAAACATCCTTTAAATGTTACATTATAATCTTATTTGCTAAGATCTTTGCACATGCTGTATTTCAGCCCTAACCCACTAAGCATTGTAAAGAGAAGGAAAACTACTTCAAACTTCCAAGGTTCACTACAGATTGCTCTGATTACTTCAAAAATGTTCTGATCCCCCATTCTTAATGGAACTTATCTTAGCCATTGCATCTTGGAACAAAAAACAAAGTCCTGAAACATCAGAATGAATTAATCTCATTATCAATCACACCATTAAACAAGTAGTGAAACACAATGTATCTGTTAAATATACAGACAATGTAACCCTTTCCATAATATTTTTCTTACACCTGGAATCGTCTTCCAGGAGGAGATACGAACAATAATTGCTTTCACAGTTCAAGTTTCACGGCGCTGAATTTTGCAAAACAAAAAAGGCTACAGAGCCTCTGGGTACTTTGACACCACTGTAAATATCCACTGAAATGATGGGCTACTTGAATTGCCCTGTGACAAAGGCAACAGATAACACCACAAAAGGAGCTGGGAAGCTGCCCCAGCGGCCTTGCTCAGACCTTGATGGAGAAGGACGTGCCACAGGAGCAGCCGTGCTCGGCCTGCGGGTTATTTACCACCTGGAAGGAGGAGCGGATCAGCTCCTCGCTGAAATCCAGTGTCGCTCCCTTAATAAACTCCAGACTGTCCTGGTCAACGACGACCTCCACACCCCTCTTTTCAAACACTCTGAAAACCAGAAGAGACAAGGAGTTTGTAGGATAGGATCACTTTATTAGCCACATACAATTTCTTGCGTTAGGAACTTGTCTTTTCGCATACCCCTGGTTGCTCTCCATGAGACACACAGACAGGGAGAGAAGCTGGGGGTCAGAGCGCAGGATCAGCCATTTATACAGCGCCCCTGGAGCAGTTGGGGTTAAGGGCCTTGCTCAGGGGCCCAACGGAGTAGGATTCCTCTGCCGGTCGCAGGATACGAACCGGCAACCTTCCAGCCACAGGCACAGATCCTAAACCACAGAGCCACCACACCGCCCCTGTTCGCCTTTGTGATCGATGGCAATGCAGGTTTTTTTTTACGAATGAATCATATACCTTTCAAACATTTAGAAAAGCTCATTAAACGGTTTTAACAAATGCACAACAGAAGAAAGAATGCAAACTTGGGCAGAGATCTGGCCAGGTGTATTAACACCTACAGACATTACTGAATATGCTTAGTGGAAGAACACAAAGGAGAACGGGTGATGGAACTGGGCAAGAGCTCATCATTACCTGTCTTCTTTGTTCTTCACACTGTCCACAGAAAATTTATACTGAAATCCAGAGCAGCCTCCACCTTCCACTTGCACCCGCAGAAATTCTCCCTTCTGCATTATTTCACTTAGCCTCTGAAGAAACACAGGTTGTTTCCATCAAATACACACGCATTACAGCAAGACAAATTAACACTATCATCTTAAACCACTAAAAATATTCTACAGAATAAAACTGTCTGCTTGGTTTGATGATGAGGGTAGCTTATTTTTAATTTTTGCCCAAGTTTATTGCATGTTGCACTTTTGAACCTCTGATTCTTTTTAAACATGAACTGTTTGCACCACCATCTGACAATGAAAAAAATCAAAGGCTAGTCATACCGATTTACATTTCAATGTGTGGTTCAGTGGTTTTCCTTTGTTTTCTGTTAATTAATGTTTCACAGTTTTCAGTCATGAATTTGTAATGAATGCTTATTTTTGTTTCCCTATTACATGCATTTGTCACTGTAGGTGGCAAATATTCCGTCAGCAGGGGAATTAAGTTCTTGTAAATATAAAAATCTCTCACACTGCTGTAGGAATGACAATCTTTTTCCACCACACCTACAAAACATACAAAGGAAAAAGTTTGTCATTACTGGATGTTTCTTGTGCTGTTCAAGGAGATGGCACAATGATGAAGATTGTATATTTAATCCTCTTATGACTAGTCCTGACTAATCATATGACCACAGACATATGATTTTTATGAATAGTAAAGGAAGGACTATTTGTGAAGCACTGGCACTATACTACAAACATCATTCTGCCTGTTTATTTCAATTAGAAATGAAGCATTGTCTTCACCTTTACACACGTATCGCTAAGGAAGATCTGATCCTGAAAAGAGTCCATTTCTGTTGGTCTCTGCTGGGTTGAAGAGCTGTTCCATCGTATAGGCCAGGTGGAAGCCACAGACAGACACTGTCTCACAGGCCCCAGAGAGCTCTGCAGCCATAACTGCTGGCTAGACCTGCAAAAGATCACAGCAGACACCCTGCAAAGCGAGTAAACACACACTTAATAACACTGGAAAAAAAAAGTGTCAGCTGATTTAACCTGGTCTGTCCTCAGACAAAGCCGATAAGATGATATGCTATCACCTGATGGAACCTGCTGAGTTATACAACTATGAAATACCTTGGATTTGCTCATCTGCACACAAAGGATAAAATAATCAAACCAAACATTTCAGGAAGAAAAGACAGGAATTGCTTGCTTGAACAGTTTTAGCAGAGAGGGATTGCTTAAAAGTATGATATAGAGAATATCCCCACTGTATTATTATACAGAGTATCAAACGGCAGCACTGCCACATTATTGCCTGATCTCAGGAGGTAAGCAAGGTGGCAGCAGCACGTGTCCTGGGATAAGAAACCAGTGGGAAAAACCAGGGCACTGCTGTATGTGACACCAGTGGACCTCTTAATAGGTGGCCCTCTTTCCCCCAGAACAGAATGACAAACCAATGAACCAGTTTGGTGACTGCATGTGGGAAGAAGGTGACATTAAACTGAGGTAGGAATGTGAACCCTGATGTCCTAGTGAAAGCCTACTTTGCATTATGGGCTGTTGCACTTTAATGGTGGACATGTACTATATGAGTGACACTTTCCTCACCATGTTATGGGGTGTTTTATAGGACACTGTAGCTCTAATTAAGTGACTGTTCTAAATAAATCTGCAGAAGACCTTAAGAACAATGTTATAAACGTCAAAGAAGATAATAAGGTTGATTGTTTAATTGACTTTCAGTAAAAACAAGAAGACTATGGACTCTAGAAATGGACTTAGAGATCCCATATCTAAAAGACGTTCAGTAGGCGGGGAAAATCTGTTGTCACTGTTATTTGTTTTCCACGTTCAGCTAGTTAATGCCCGATCAATGTTATATCTGCAATAATAAGTAACATATGTTAATTTATACATGTTTGGTAAATTTTAAATGAAAACATTAACAAATGTGGGAGAGAGTTTCATTTAATTAAAGTTTTGTCTCCGTAACTTTCAAGTCGATGACCCCCCAAGGCAAGATTTTGAATAACAAACGATCGTTTAATTTTGAACCAATAACCTCTGATTAAAATGCAAATGCCATTACTGTGCTTTGCTACGTGAAATACAAAAAGATCGGATGCCTGGTAGACCTACCTTACTAAACTCTTAGCAAGTGTCCTAGCCCCGTAGATAGCCGTCACCAACATCACTGCAGTCTTCCATAACAAAAAGATCCCGCCTCTCACGTGAAGGTCCAAACAAATGTAGAAAGATTATTGGTTAATGTGGATGTCTATCGAATAACTATGTCCACGGTAGCCCAATCACTGTAGTAAAGGAAGTGAAAGGTGATTGGTTTAGATGGGGGTAGCTCGATGACGTAGTGACGCCTGATATATCACGTGATGAGGAAATTGTTCCTCGGCTCATAGTTTAAGGGTAGTGCTCTTATATTCTTTGGAAGTGGTGTTGCCTAATACAAAGCGGTAGTACATTTCATGTGTTGAGTTGATAAATTTGAGTCAAGTTACATAACTTTTGGGGGAATCGACGGAGAAAAGGGAATATCGCTCTGTTTAACTTTTACAAGCTTTTGACGAAATTGAAGTCTAGCGGTGGTGAGTGACGATTGTTCTTCAGGGTGGAGTTTTCTAAAGTTTGACTCATGCAATAAAAGTTATATAAAGTTCTGAGAGTTGTACATTTCTCGGAAATTTATTTTTCCGGCATTGTCATGAAACCACTTTTTTCATCTCTTTTTAAAAAATATGTTTTTCAGGGCGGACTAGAAATGGAGTACCGTGTTGCTGCACTCCTCTTTGTTTCTCTATTTGCTTTCACAGCAGCCGAACCTGTTACATTTATTGATTGTGGTAAGTAACTTAGTGTTTCAAGCAGTCATTGCTTATTCTTGGTTGTGAGAATTTTCTAGTTTGTGTTGATTGTATTGGAACTGGCTTTCTGCTTCTAGAAAGCCTGTTCCAGAATGTGAGTAATTCGTGATGTGGACAGAGTCACAGAAGTGACTTCTGTACAGGTATATTGCGAAACTTCAGACCATGCGAGATACCAGACACATCAGTCACGAGTTTCTGCTCCGAATAACTTCCTTTATTTATGCTTTACTGGTGTTCGTGTTAGGTGCTACAATAGATTGCACATTGTGCTGATATTTGCAGTTTTGTACTTTCTATAAAGCCTTTTCTTTTTGCAAAAAAGTGTATAACCATATTTAAACAGATGATTGTTTTCCATTCCAGCTAACTTAGTCACAAGTTCACTTAAAACAAGTTCTAAAATAATAAAACTGTACATTTTAAAATTTCTTACAGGATCCAAGGAGGGGAAAATATTGACCATTGAAGTCAATCCTTGTCCAAAGCAGCCTTGTGAACTTAAGAAAGGACAGTCTTATTCTGTCAATGTGACCTTCAACAGTGGTAAGCTGCTCTGTTTCATAGGGCAGTGACTTATGTTACTGCACTGTAACATTTTATGTTGATTTATGCTTTGTTCTCTTATAGATTTAGTTTTTTTGGTTAAGGAATAATGTGGACAAACCAAATCAGTAACACAGATCAATTAAACTTTGGGTCCTCCTTCCAGAAAGCAGACATGCAGAAAACGCAGGTGTTTTTATGTTTGATTTTGTGCAATTCTGCAGAGATTGAAAGCAAGACCAGCAAGGCTGTGGTGCATGGAGTCGTCGCTGGTCTTCCTGTTCCCTTTCCAATTCCCAATGATGACGGCTGCAAATCGGGAATCGAGTGCCCTATTCAGAAGCAGAAAACCTACAGCTATGTGAACCAGCTGCCTGTAAAAGCTGAATACCCTTGTGTAAGTGCTCTACTGTGGTCAAAAAACCTTGTCTTGGAATATAGGTTGATTGGTTGGGGAGGGATTGGGGGACAAGTCAAATAGGAGCTGGACTCTTTTTTTTTCTTTCCTATTAAATTATGCTTTTAGATTGTGGTGTTTTGAACGCCACTAACTAAAAGCTGCACTTCCTCTTTTGAACCTGCTTGTTCTAAAAATTAAAGTCTAACTTCTTATTTGGAATATATCCTAGGATGTAAAAGGAAAAGACAGGCCTTGTATCCTTTTCTGCTTGCCTTCAAACATCACCAGCTGTTCTTGTAGTAATGTACTACCTGCCACTAGGTCAGCGGTTCTCTGCACGCAGATAGTAGGGATGTTTAATACTAGCACTCTAAATTTCTACAATTCATCATCTCTTACGTTTGGTTAAGAACATCACAAGTCCCCCCCCCCCACTACAATTCATATCAGAAATCAGATTGTACCTTGTATTCAATTCTGAGCCCAGCTTATGTATAGTGTAACTCACATTGTAGAGTTTCATGTTTTATATTTAGAGATCATTAATCAAATAAAACCCACATGCTCCTTTGATCCTGTTCTTTGTTAAATTTTAGCAGTATTCTTACCCATTATCATGCATATCGATAATTATGTGCTTTTAATTTTGTGGCTTTCAGCTTCTGTTTTACCTCTGCTAATATATTAGAATTGGCACTCCAACCTACTGGACAATTGCCAGTCTGTATGTGACTTTCCAGTTTTTGGCATAGGTTCTGTAATGAACTGCAAATAAACTGAATAAATTATTTCAGTCTGGGTTCAGATCAACACACAGTGCTGAACCAGGACTTGATAGAGTTAGTAATGATTTACTGAGAACTGTTAAGTTTTCTTTATCCACTCTTGTCCTGCTGGACATTAGTGCAGCCTTTGATACTTTTGATCATAGTGCATGATTATCCATTCTTGCTAAATGTATTATTGAGAGTTGTCATTTTTCTATCGCATAAGATTCAGTTTGTGCAATATGGGTATTGTATATCCTCAATAAAGTTGGTTACATTAGGTATCCTGCAGGGCTTTTCTTGGTTCTCTTGTTTTATCACACCAATGGATCAGATTTTTGTAGGTGCGGTATCAGTTTTTGTAGTATTTATATTGTCTTTTTAACCTTAACTGAAAAGAAGGTTGTACAACTAAGGTCATGCAAAACGTAGTTGTGCATTTAATACCAATATGATCTGTTTTAACTTGTCTAAAACCTGATGATGTTTCATTCTAAGAATTCTTTCTGTTTTATTTCAGATAAAACTGGTTGTGGAATGGGAGCTGAGAGATGATGGTAATAATGACCTCTTTTGTGTCAAATTCCCAGTGCAAATCACAAGTTAAGGCAGAGTGGAAAACGTTGTTTGCAAAAAATACATTCTGAAGAGGAATTTTGCAAGTAGCAAGACACAGAGGTCTGGACAAGGAATAATCAAATGATGAATCAGTGGATTAATACATTTTAATGTTTATATCAGTTTAAATTTGGCTGATATATAAAACATCCTTGGCTTTTAATGTAAAAATACCTGAGAGAATGTTGAATAATTTATTCAGAATCTCGGTATTGAAAATGTAGATTTTGAAAGGGTCCTCTACAACAATGGTAAAATATTTTCAGACTTTTTCTAACTTGTTTTTATTTGAGGAATTGCCAAATATTACCTTAACAATGTAATGTTCTTTTCAGAGAACACAGGATAATGTTATATATCTTTTGGGGGGGACATTTTCCTTCATCTTCTTTTAAAGAGTATTCAGAAACTTACATTTCCAGTTTGAGATGCTGGAATTCAATTTTATTTGTACTATTGCACCCTAATTATTTATCAGTCCCTTAAACTATTTTAAGTGATTTTTCTTTAGCTGCTGTGTAAACTAACAATTTTCATATGAAGTTAACATTTTCTATAATTATTTTATTGTGTTACCTAACTTGTTTGGTCTATGGCTATGATGTTCAGTTCAAGCTTTCTGTGATTTAAAAGTTATTTTGTAGTTTTCAATATTTTTACACAAATTTTACACTTTGTATAAACTGAAACTTTGGTATGTAACAATTTAAAATGGAAGTGTTCTGAGTCTCAGCATGTTTGAACAAGATAGTTGAACAGGTAGATCATGATATGTGCATCTCCTTTCATTGTTGCCTTTTCTGTTTATCTGGTCACTTATCATGTTTTCTGTGGCATTAAGTCAGATAAGAATCTAGCACAGTAGATGTAGCCCAATTCATCACTGGACAACAAAATGTATCTGAATTAAACAAAGGTTTACATGAATTTGTTACAGTAATACCATTCCCACCTGTCTTAAATAAAAAGTAAATTGTTGCAAGAGATTCTTGGATCAATTAACTACCGAATTGGCTAAATGGCCACATTTTGTTTGTCACCTTTCTTATGTTATTTGCATCTTGTTAAAATGAATGTGTATGCACTGTGAAAAAGTAACCTCTTATGGTGTGTAGAGCTTGCTTAGTTAACAACCAGAGGGTTTAGAAGTAAATTATAGGACTGGACTGAATAAGGTAATGACGGTTTACATTTTAGATATATGATGAGGTTAATCTGTAGAGATTCCAGAGTAAGGTAAGGTCCTCTTTCTGCCTTTTTATATTGTCAATTACTTGGTTGACTTCTCCTGTTGGATGGATGTTTGCCAGTTATGCCTTCCGGCATGTAGGGACAGCAACATCCTGTTGCTGTTTCCGTGACATTCGTTTTTTACGGGACCAGGGCTGTTAGCCTTGTGCCCAACCTCCAACATGGAGGACCTGGCACCCGACGTGGGACACAAACCCACTCCCCTGAGATTGAGTCTCGTGCTCTATCAACAGAGCTAGTCGGGGCTGTTTCTCCTGTTATTGACATTTATTTCATATTAATGGAGAACAAAAGATGAGTATTTTTCCAAAACTTGCATGTTTCTACAAATACTCTTGTAAAACAGTTTAGAACAAAGTCATTGTAGTTGAAAATATATCTTTGTAGATTAGTTATCTTTAATCAGATGATGCCAAAGTAAATCACTTAGTGGCCACAAACAAAACAAATTATTAAAAGTCTAAATTGTTTTCAAACAGAATTCCAGACAAATATGATTTTTATGTGAAGTAAACCATTGCACACTGGTTACTTAAGTACAAATTATAGTTTAAATTCTGTCAAATGTATATTAAGTGTTACATTTCTGATCTGAAGACCATCTCTATTGTTTTATATTTCTATAGATTCTGAGCTTGTTGACAAAGTCAGTTAAGCATCAACATTTGTCTTGAAATAGTTCTTAAATGTTTTTGACACATGAAAATTGGTATAATGTGTACATTATTAACCACTACCTAGTGAAGAAATTACCCATTTAACATGACAGACAAGCATACTATTATACACATAAGCCACTGCACCATATTGTAATGTATTACTCTGCAGCAATATGAAGATTTGAAGACAGCGCTAGGACTACAACATATTATCCAGAAGGAAATGGAACAAAACTGCAAAACCAACAACGTCTAAATCTATTATAAGGTATGTGAACAAAAAACTGAAAGTAGTAATTGTTCACCTCTTAAGAGTACATTGTTACCCAGGCATGTATGCTCATCGAATGTCAAAAAAAACAATTTGTGCAAAAGCTACTTCCCATTAGAGAATTTAGCAACTTATTTAGTACACGGTATGTACTACAATGCAGAATAAATGCTCATTTTTCTTTTGTGCACTGTTTGTAGAACATAATTAATAACCTTCTCCAGTTGTAATTTCAATACTAAGGCTTGCTTATTCATTTTATAGACTTTTCTGACTTTTACATGTTGGAATCGTAGTGGTTTTGCTAATTCAAAAAATTAATTGTAACACCCCTCACTCCAATCCAGACTCCATTAAAAAAAACAAAAAATGTAATATGACATGCCCAGGAAAATCTAAATTTAACACGTTACCTTTGTCAAAGAGATTTTTGTGTAGCTCAAATACTTCTCTCAGAAAATAGCTTTTTTTTCTTATTGAAATCACCATTTTTAAGATTAAAGGGTCTAAAACAATATGACAGTCATCCCTCAAATATTAATTCAACTCATATGGACGCAATATCCAAACACTATGCTGCCTTCAAAGACTGGAGATGATGGATTTACTGTGTTTATGGGTAAAGACCACAAAATATGAAATGGCAGTGACTGGTCATTCAAACAGTCTACATGACTTCCATAATCTTTAACAAATATCTATGAAACGCCACACTTACTGTCACATTACATATGTTTGCTTATCTTTCATTCTCCATAACAGCTCATTTTGACTAAATTATAAATTGCCATGGAAATAAAGGAAAATACTATTTTACAGTTAATCAAATATTTAAATGTGACTAAAGGCAACACCATGGTCAATTCTTAAGGCATCCATAAACTTCCAGTAGTTAATGTTTGGGGATAAAAACATTTCTTATAACCTCTGTCTCTTTGGCTGTTGCTAAATAGCAATATCTTGACCAACAAATACTGTATATTTTTTGTTCATGAATCAAGTTTCAGGTGATACAGGTAGATGATAAGCTCAAGGAGGAGAAAAATGTAGTTTAGTGCAATCTATAGTCTGCAAATAGGAATACATTAAGCAGGGTTGTTGCTTTTTATGTACTGTTATACATCTGTATACAAATTGTACATATAAAATAACTATCACTGAAACTGTACTATGGTTACAAAAATCAACTGATTTGTACATTTTTTAAATAGTTTATATGCTTGCCTAAATGCTACCAGAATTTAAAAAATGGGTCAACTTAAAGGGACAATGAGAGTCTAACTTGTAATTAATTTTAAACTGGGTTTGACCTAATAGTGCACTCACAGGGAGCATTTTGGTTGCAATGGGCCTCTGACCCTTTCCTGTGCACAAAACACAGATCAAGATATGTTAACATGTGGAAGCCAATTAGGCCTAGTATTGGCCTAGCTGAAAAAAATCATTTATCAAGTTTAATGATTATAATGGTTGTGTTTGACCCTCAGCAGCAACCCTTGCTTAACTACAGTACTTTCACAGTGCTGGTGCTGTTACTGTCCATTTTGTTTCAGCCTCTCTAGTCTCTGCAGCAGGGCATTTCCAAAGGCTTCTCTGTAAGCAGGGCTGAGGGAGTCCAGCAGGGAATAAACAGTTTCATGGTACTGCGTCGTCACACTCTCATCCACATGGTCAAAGGCATACCCCACCACCTGCCAAAAGGACAACACATCATTGAGCTACTTTAGTAAACAACAAATGAGTTTCAACTCTGGGATTTCAAAACCACTGGTGAACATTCATTTTTTCATGCTGAAAATTATCTTTTGTAACTTTGCACCGACTACTGTAATCGTTTGGGGTAATGGTCTTTTTAACTGAACTACAAAACCTTCTAAAACTGGTTCGATCCTCTGAAACAAGTTGTGAAGAATCAAAATAAACGCAGCTCATTCAAGGTTTTGTTTCTCGTAAGTTACAAGAACTTGAAGGGATTTGGATTTGGACTTGGCACTGGGAAGTCCCGTTTCACGCCTCTTACCCTCAGCCCTGCCTCTGTGAGCTCCAGGCAGTAGCGGTTGCCTTCTCTCGTCTGCACATTGATGTAAGCCACATCGACAGCGTTCTGCAGAACCTGAGAGACGGACATCGCGGATACGGCGAAGAGAACGTCGTTGACCACGGCTTCGGCTTCCTGTCTCATGTCCTTCACGTCTGCGAGCTCCCCGGTGTCTTCAAATGCCTCTCTACTCTGGCTGCCCGGGTTACAGTCTACTTCCATCCTCTAGAACACAGCAGTAAGAGCACGGGGGTCTTTGACTAAATAAATTACAACGCATTAGCTAAAAGACAATGTGACCAAACCCACAAGTACAATATTAAAGTGATATTACATCTTAACATCTTTTATTCTATATCCCACTTCCTGAATTCACACTCAACCCATCATTCGAAAGCAACAATAAAATCCAAAGAAAATCTTTCTAGGGGTTTTCCCTTTTGGCTCAACACTCCCGAATTTCCATTTTCCCCCAAATATTGTCTCCGGTAAAGGAAAGACACCAGCCACTGCATCATAAATCTACATCAATGATGTGAAATTGCTTTTAATTGAACCGCATGCAACATCCGATAAGGATAAACAAATCCACGAATAGTCAACTTTATAAGGGAATACTCCTCCACGCCACGAACCCCTTGAAATCCTAAACACTTTACTTACTCGACATTAAGTATTACAACACAAACGTTTTGTATTTAGGCGTTAAATATCTAGTTTTTACGACTCACCTCCTCCGAGGATAAATCTACACTATTCTTCCGGCTCATGCCGGGAATGACGTCATTTCTATGCGTCTGAAAAGTATAAACAATTTGAGTAAACGCACGTCCTCCCCAAAGCATTAAAAATAGAAGTTATTTTTTATTGATATGGTACAAGACTGTAGTTCATATTTATACTGTATGTATTTTCACTGTGTTATAGGCATGTTCATAACTTTTTCTCATCTGAGCTTGCTATTCGGGACATTTTACAATTGACATAAAAATGTGTAATGTAAGGCATTATATAGGAAGGAACTTTATCATGATCAAGGTTTCTTGGAGTAACATCAATTAAATGTTTTTTTTTACGAAGACTATAATGAAAGGTGGGTTTCAGGCTTTTTTTACTGAAGAACCCTCTTTCAAGTGATAATATTCAATAATAACGCCCGACTTAAACATTGAATCAAACTGAACTCTGCATAATAATTATTCAACATAAAACAATTAAGCAAAACAGCAGGCCAGCACATTAGCTAACCATAAACAATAAATGTTTTCTTTCAGGAAACGGGTGGGTGAGTTCTAACGGTTCAGATCTTACAATTATTAACTACCAAACGGGCGGTGTAATAGTTCTTGGACGTTTCAGCACCAGTCCAGCTGTCAGCTAGATGAGGCCCTTTCCATCCGTAACTGTTCTTAATTTCTTAGTCAGAGAGATGGGGGGTGCCTTCGATTCTGCATGCCCCGACAGATGGAAAAACTCCCAAAGCGCTGATCGCTGTTTTGTGTTTTGGGCACACTGCCCTCAATTGGCTCGGAGAATCGGCTTCACGTTGATGCGTCGGAGCGACCCTTCAAAAACGCCAGGGTGCAGTTCATGGCGCATGCGCACCAGGAAGAGACAGCGGCCTGGCGCGGCGGGGCGTGCAGACTCATAGACTATTTGTAAACAAGAGAGGGACGGACGGAGAGAAAGGGAAAGGGGGAAGGGAGAGAGAACCGGGTCGGAACCAGACCCGGACAGCGGATTGAACAATACGTCCTCACCTCAATTTATAAGAGGAAATTGCTGACGTTTGGCTCTGTACGCGCGGAAGGATTCCTCTAACTAGCTTCACGCATGCAAACAAAAACATCTTTTGCTACGTCAAGACCGAAGAGGGAAAACCCAACTTTAATCTCTAGCTAATAGGCGTTATATCGGCACACAAAAGGCAATTCTGGTTAGCTAGCCTTGGGAAAGACGAAACGCAATCGGACCTCGTATTCAAAAACTGGAATTAAATAAGTACCTGCCGAGGACGGTCCATGTGTCCAGATGTATCTATAGCTAAAATTATAACCCGTTTTCGAAAAAGGGCATCACATGATGTATTTATGATAAGGGAAACTTCTCGCCTTTGGGTGGTGTTAGCACTCAGGAACCATTCTGACAAGAGTGGCCTTGATTTAAGACAATCTATTCCTAGATGATTACAGTACGACTGTCGGGCCAGTGTATGAATAACCTTCTTTCGTAAATTCTGTGTGTAGTGATGCCAAGAGTTCTCTATATCTAGAGTCACGATGATGACTGAAACCTTGGACTTATCGGCTGGTGTACATCTCTCTGGGTCGGCACTGCTGGACTGTCAGTGAGCTCCGGAGGCCTTGAATGTCTGCGATTAATAACGTGCTGTCTGGCTGAAGCTGTTACACATGCGTTTCGGTTTCTTTAATTTAGTATGTTGTATGATTTTGTTTCATCTTGGTGTATATATATTCATTTGAAAGAAATGTCAGAAACACCGAGAACTGACAGCTTATTAAAAGTACAGAATCCACGTTATTAATAAAGAGATCTTCATCATAATCGCCATTTTTTAAACGTATTGTAATGCCGATTGCGTTTGTGCCTATAGTACTGTCTACGAAAGTCAAGAACGATGACTGAAGAAAAACTAAAGAGATTAACCGCGTGTCAACCTAGGAAAACCACAGCAGCAGATCAAAGGAGCACACCGTTTTTTGGCACAGCTGTGCTTACTTGAAGAATTTTTAAGTTTACATCCGTACATTTGGATCTGGGTGCTCTCAGGACGTCAACAGAAATGCCTTGGCCATTTTCAGAATCGATCAAAAAGCGGGCGTGCAGATACCTGCTGCACCGATATTTGGGCAATTTCCTTCAAGAGAAGCTGAGCCTGGATCAGCTCAGCTTGGATCTCTACCAGGGCACTGGGTCATTGGCGCAAGTCCCTTTGGACAAATGGGTGAGCATAGGCGTTCTTGTAATAATGAAATGTTAATAATGTAATAAAACAATTGTGATCCTCATGAGCAATGTAAATTTGTTTTAATTGATAAAGCTTTTTAGGACAGCCTTTGCGGTTCCGGAGCCCACACACCTGCTAGTTTTTATTCCAGCCAAGTTTAATTTCTTAATTGAAGAGTCAACTGTTGTAACGAGTAGCTTGATTGGAACAGTAAGTCTGTGCTCCTTTTGAAATGGAATAGGGAGAAGGTGACCTACAACATGTTGTAGGCCACTTGGATAAGGATTGGGATCCCCTGCTGTACAAGGTGAAATTGTGAGGGGGCACATTTAGGACCAAGAAGATGCTTTTTCTGCAAAAAGAGTTGCGAGGGTTTCAGACAAACTACCCAGCCATGCTGCTGAGGCTGAATTCTGCAGAAATGTCAATCATCTTTTTTTCTTGGTGTTGTACACTGTCAGAATCTTAGAAAGTTATTATTTGTATGGATTAACACATTCAGGCAGTGTGAATGCCTGTTTACATACTGTATAAAATTTCACCTAAGTGTTTGTGTGTGCTGGATATTTTTCCCCTCCGGAATAAACTGGACAGCTGCCGAATCAGCAATGTCATTGTACCCATTGAGTGCAGTTTCTAATAAAATGATATTTAAAATGTTTTATGCTTCTAACATCAAAAGAGAGAGAACATGCTCTTATATAATCAGGTAATCCACTTATTCAGAACAACTTATATGAGAAACTGTCAGAGCTGTTCTTATTCCAGGCCTTTTGGGTAGGTGCTGTCTTGCACACTGGAGGGAGGTTTCTGCAGATGTGTAAACTGGGCTCAGTACAGATATGGTGTACAGCTTAACTATCAGGTTATTTAACTGTCTGTTCCAATAGTGGCATTAGAGATTATGATCACCTTAAAAATAAAAAATAAGGTCACCATTTTGGGGTCTGAGAGTTCATTTTGGGGGAAAAATAACTAACACTGGAAAACCTGACCACAGACAACATATATTTAACATGAAATACATTTATGTGTTCAGATATAAGCCTAATAAACCATATGTTTTATCAAGCTTGGTAGCATTTAGATTAGATAGAATGTCCATTGTTGCATCTTAATTCTATGGACTAGGCCTTTTCTGTTAGAAGGTTTCTGTTGAAGATGAGTAGATGATGAATAATGCTTAAGTACGTAATATTTCCACTAAAGAATTTCACAGTTCACATCTCTCTTGATTCAGACCGCAAACTGAATGCGTCTTTTCACATCGCCTCAGAGTAGGATTGCTGGCACTGTTTTCACTGCAGCATTTTCTCCCCAGTCCTTGAATGAAATCCTGGAGTCTGCGGACGCTCCCTTTGAGGTGACGGAAGGCTTCATTCAGGCTATATCCCTGTCCGTACCCTGGGCCTCTCTTCTGCAGGAGAACTGTGCGCTGGAGGTCAAGGGGCTGGAGATGGTGTTCAGGCCGAGACCAAGGATGGGTGAGTAGAGAGCACTTTGCCCGGTGGCAACACTAGAAACTCACACGACAGATTCTACTCAGTACAGAGGGACCCAACATTTTGTATGTGAAATATTATGAACTTGCATATCAACAACAGCTTAAAGCAGTGAACAGTAATAAATTGCTAAGTCCTTTATTCCCTCAAAGTAATATTATTGACACACCGCAGTGGAGATTGTATTATTCTGCCTCTAATCCCTGATAGAAATAAATTCAGAATACCTGTTTGACAGGTACCACCAAGATCCTAGTGATATTTTTTGTTGTTAAGTTATTTTAATAACATAAGGTTGCCCCCCAAAATGGTATGTTAATAAAAACAAATATTCACCAGATCTGCCTCTAAACTCAAAAAACACTTGTCTCTGCAGCATCCGGCACAGAGCCAATGTATTGGTCCAGTTTCATGACCAGCAGCATGCAGCTGGCCAAGGAGTGTCTGAGCCAGAAACTGACGGATGAGCAGGGAGAGTTCCAGCCCCTCGAAGGGCTCGAGAAGTTCGCAGAAACAATCGAGACAGGTGAGGCTTTGTTTTTCCATATCTTAATCATTATGCATCTCTTCAAAGAAAAGCTACCTTACCAATGTCCTGCTTCCTTAAAGACCTTAGTCCTTTTGTATTGGAAATCACAAAAGAATAACAAGGAAGGAAGAAAAGAGAAAAAAAAAACTTAAAAAAATGCAAAAGAGCTGTGCACTCTGAGGATATAACTGTCAGGGTAATGCAGTTTGGGCCAGAAATGGACAGATTTTATCCCAAACTGCCTGGAGCCCATTTCCCACTAGTGAAGGATTCTACTTTTAGAAGATTCAGAATTCTTTTTAATTCTTATTTTAGTTTTGATCTTATTGCTATCCTTTTGCCACCATCTTATGACCTATGCACATACATTTTTCATTAGTAGCTTCATACCTCGTTTGCACGAAGCCACATCACACAGTCATTTCTCTTAATAATGTGCAGCATAATCTCTTGTGCTAGATGATCACAGAAGCCTGAAATACTAAATATTGCATACTATTTTTGTGTTCTTTTTTAGTGTTAAGAAGAGTGAAGGTGACGTTCTTGGACACAGTTCTCAGGATTGAGCATGTACCAGAAAACTCCAAAACTGGAATAGCTCTTGAAATGCGAATTAATAGGTGAGTTAAAATTGTGCATCTGTGTATTTTCAAGAATACTTTAAATCAAAATTAAAATATTAAAACTTCTTAAATAATCACTTACTTTGTACAGAAAATAACATTCTAAAATTCTGAAAAAATTCTGTCTTAACTTTAATGGTGGAGCCTGAATGTGCTTACAGTACACGTTTTTCCTTTTTTTGCAGGATTGTGTACTGTGATGAAACTGGAGACGAGTGTTCTGGCATGAATGTTCATCAGCCCACAATGTTTGCTCATAAAAACCTGCAGCTTACTGGTGTTACCATTTTCTGGGATGAATTCTCAGAAGCTGCCAGGACCTGTTTAAAGTCCCCAACTACACAAACAGTAAGACTGTATTTTGTACCATTACATAGTGTAATCTTTTGATTGTTTAAATTAAGAGAAGAACGTTAACCCTTTGAATCATTTGTTATATTCCATAGGAACCAGAACCAAAACTCTCTCCTAGCTGGAATCCCAAAATCATCTGCGAACCACACCCCCAGTTCACCGAAACGCTGTCGGAGGCCACACCTTTCGAACCCGTGCAGATTGGCTGTCTGAGTGGCAGAATTGAACTCAGCCTCATTTTGAAACAAAATGAAATCCTTCCTGGTGCAAAGGTAGAACAGCCTTCATGACCATTTCTTTTTGTTAATATGCTTGAAAAAATTTTGTCTAATTTTATCATGTATTTTTTCAAATGCCTAGAAATGCAATTCCAATTGCAATCAATTCAAATCAATTTAAGTTCCAATCAATTTAAAGTTTTTTTTCAGCAGTGTGAGTCTTAAATGTGTCTTAAGTTAGCAAATAAATTGGAATTGTTTTCTCTAAATTTCATTTTGTCTTCCAGTTGGATGTTAATGGGCAGATTGATGCAGTGAATGTTCTCTTGTCTCCTCGCCAAGTCCACCTCCTGTTAGACATGTTCGGAGTCTTTTCAAGCCCAGGTTAGTATACATCAAGAGTCCTTGATTTTCACTGACTACACCTGGCAGCTGATCAGCCAATGATGTCTCCTGATGGTGAGCAACTGTACCATGTCTGAGCTAGCTGTACACTATCTGCAGCTTAATCTTCTGAACTGCAAACCCTCTGACTATTGGAAGGGGGCTGAGTGAGAGATCTTAGGGTTGTTTGTGTGTTATTTGTGAACACAGAGGGCGCAGGGCAGGCAGCTCTGAGTGTTAAGGATAGGAAGAGCAGGCCCATGCAGCAGGAGGATGAGTACCGGCTCCACATGGAGCTGAACCGCTATCTGAAGAAGGACACGCTGTCGGCTGGGACAGTGGGGGACACGGACTACTTCGAGAGCGAGACTACTAGAACCACATCGAGCCGCGGTGAGGATGGTTCAGGGACAGTTATTTTGCTTGTTTGTTTGCACCTTCTTTCTGACCGAGATACAAAGTCGTGTGGTAAAAAATAATGTTGTAAAGACAGCAGCAAGCTGTAGTGTTGAATGGGAAACACACTGCGAAATAAGTGTGGGTAGTTTTCATTAGTTCAGTGATTGTTCGGCTTTTCATGTGACTTTATTCCATACATGAGATTTATGTAAAAATGGGATTTTCTGGGCAGCCCTCTGATCTGTTTCTCTCCTCCTAGAAGAAGATGTATTCTTCTCCATGGCTGAGATGGACATGTCTCACAGTCTTTCTTCCCTTCCACCCCTTGGAGACCCACCTACTGTGGACCTGGATCTCTCCTTAAACAGCAACTTCACCCCGTCTCCTGGGGAGTCCCCATCTGGCAATGTGGCTGTAAGTCTCCTTACACCTTTACGAAGAGAGGGCGTTTGCATAAGCTTGCCTTTTTGTGTGATAATGACAATATAGCTTTGAAAAAGCCTAGTTAATGTTTTGTGTTTTCATTGCGTAATCTGTGTAATGGAGTAACTTTATGTAGAGGCTGTTTATTCATAACTCCTCTAACTTGGTTTCCTATTTGTTTCTCAGGCCGTCTGGGATGAGTATCTGGATCCTCCGAGACACAGAGAGAAACAGATGCAGGATACCCCCTTTCTGCCCAGAGACACCAAACCTCAGCAGAAGCTTCTGCGACAAACCTGTAAATGTCAGAACTTCTGCTTTCCGTTTCTTGCTTCTCCCTTTGTTTTATCAAATTGTAAGCAAGCTAGTGGATAGTTGAAATATATTTCCATGTTCTCAGGTCTGTGAAACCTTGGGCAGTGGTGCTTGGCAGTTTCAGTTCAGCTAGCATTGCTATCTATAACTTAGTGTCTATAATTTTGTCTTCTTCCCCCTCTAAACAAAAGTAATAGCTTATTTTAATTTTAATTTTAATTGTAGAGCAACTATGGTTGTATTCTTATATTTTGAAATCTAGTACAGTGAAATATGCATGCATAAGTAAACTAATACAGATATTGATTGTGAATAGCAGGTTTAGATGGTAGTAAGCTGGGTGTGAGTCTGGACTGGGACAACATTGCTTTGGTTTCCTCCCACTGTCCAAAAATTAAGATGTCCTGGGATCCTCTCCAGCGTGTAAGAACATAACTGTTACAAACATTTATAAAGAGCAGATTGCAGTGTTCATGGAACACAAGAACAGTTGCAAATGAGAGAAGACCACTCCCCACATCTAGCCCATGTGGTAGTAGATAATTGATCTCATTGGCTTCAACAACATGGCTGCTGTGTTAGGCTCCAGCTCTGAGGATATCTCAATTCCTGAAAATGGCTGGATAACTGATTGTTGGTAATTCTCAATCGGGTGTTTCTTTCAGCTCACCCTTCGAAGTCTCACTGCACAGACGAGTCTCAGCCGGAGGTTGTGTTCAGACTGGCCTTGGGGAGCCTGGCAGTATCTGTGCTTCACATTGACCCCCTGCCACCCCCCGACACCGCCTCGAATGTCAGCCCCCTCACACTCACAGCCTCCGAATTCTTCAGCCGCATCGGCAAAATCGAACCAGACGAGCTGATGAAGGGTGACTTTCCCCATTTGCGCCCAGTTTTCGATGAAGCCTGCCCCAACGATCATCTCAGGTACTCATTTGTTTAATTTAGAGTGCAAAAGCAAATCATTCATAAACTGTTTAGATTCTGCTTAAACAGTGTCACTGAATATGTGTCTTGGAAAGACATAGGTAAAGAAGTGAAGGCAAGAATCTTAAAAATATCAAATCAATTCTAAGTCTGATGTTTAACATGCTTATTTCTCTGAAAAAAAATGGTTTGATTTCTGATTTATCTTCACTTTATAGTCCTGTTTTGCATGCTGTGGTTCATCTCTAATATTGAAGAAACTCTCAGTCACTGAGAACAAAGCATTATTTTCAGGGGAATGCCTTTATACTCACCCAGTGCCCTCTCTGTTGTCAGGTTCCTGGGAACTGGTATTAAGGTGACTTATGAGCAGAGACAGGGCTCCAGCCTGCGTAGTCTCAGCACCGATGTGTCTGTGGGACAAATGGAGCTCCTCGAATGTCTCTTCCCAAATGATTCCCGATCCAGCCTCCCTCAGTACACACAGGTAATAGAGATAGCATTAGACACATGGTGCATTCGATAAACTTGCCAATTCAGAAATTCGCTGACTTTTTTGGATAGAGAATACTTTATTTCCATAGATTGTCTGTGCCTCAGCAATTTTCATAAGGTAACAATATTAAAAGATACAAGACAGCAAATTTTAAATTTTTTCTTGCTGGGGCTGGGATATAATTTCGTAGAAATCAATTCTGTCTGTTTCGGTGCTCGGTATTCTACATTCTGAGATTAATCTGTGACATGGATCCGCATAGTGTTTGTATTATATTGCTGGTGTACGTTTTCATTATTTCTTTTACAGCTGGTGACGTTTGAGTCCATCATTGAGAAGGAATCCCTGCCAACGCCATGCCTCCACCTGATTTACAAGTTTTCTGAACGAAGAGGACCACAGGTAATTAAATCTCTGAGCGTCTGGTTGTTCTGTGTTGTTCAGAGCGAAGTCTGTGTAGACTTCGAACACCTGTAGGATTGTAGAAGATAGAAAAACATATATTAATAGTGGTCTAAAAGCTGCATTTTTGAATGTAGTTTGTTATTTAACATCAAACATAAAGAACTATATGGAGAAATCATAAACTTTTTTATACCTTATTTTTTTTTGTTTGCAGGGTGGTCAAGTGCGTTTGAGCTTAATACCTCAAAAAGCTGACTTTCAGATTGAACTGGGACCTGTGAACTCTGAGCTGGACATCAGCATTGTGGACCGACTGAACTCTTTACTTCAGCCGCAGAAACTGGCCACAACAGAAATGATGGCTTCCCACATGTACACGTCCTACAATAAACATGTCAGCCTGGTGAGAGGGCTTTTTAAAAGCTGCTTCTTAAGTGATATTTTACATTAATTGTCAGAGTAATTTCAAAATAATGTGAAAACAGACATCACTTAAGAAAGTTAATTTGGCCTTATATGTATATGTGCAATTTTGATTTTCAGCACAAGGCATTCACGGAAGTTTTCCTCGATGACTCAAGGACCCCAGCTAACTGTCATGTTTCAGTGGTGGTGAATATGCCCTTGCTGAACTTGGCTGTGCGATTTCCAATTCCTGACCTGCGTTCCGACCAGGAGAGGGGTCCCTGGTTTAAGAAGTCACTGCAGAAAGAAGTTCTGCATTTGGAGTTTAAAGATGTGGAATACAAAACTGAATTTACAGGGGGAACCTCACAGGAGCAGACAAAAATGGAGTTGACGTTCAAAGAGCTGACAGGTAACTTTCATAGAAAGATGCTCAGATATTAGATACTAGAGTTTGTTTTATCTATTGAGTCTTCTGACATCCTCTTAATTTCTATCTTGAGCTGCTTGCTAATGAAAGACGGTGGTGCTGTTCTGGAATTGTGGGAAGGGAAGTGGCTTCTCTATATGAATATCTTCAATATATGAAGGAATTTTATCCCAATCATACAGCAGGGTTACAGGATGATGGAGAACAAGCAGCTATCCGGTTCTTCAGGGTGTCACATGGTATGGATGGAGATATGACCTCATCAGACAGTGGTAAATTTGATTGGCCAAGGTGAGCTCTTTTTAGTCACATTTACGAGTACGACTTTACATTCGTAAATTTATATTTAAGTTTCTGAGCAAAACAGCTTGCCTTGTCCTCATGATGATGTTATCCCTGTCCAGGATTGTACTGAAGGTGAATCCAATGGCTGTGCACTCCATTCTGGAACGTGCGACCACTGAGGAGGAGGAAGGAGTTGAGGGCAATTCCCCAGAGGAGGAAGAAGGAGGGCCCCATTCCCTGAAGGATGTCTGTGACTTCGGAAAGCCAGAGCCCTCTCCTTTCTCCTCCCGCAGGGTCATGTATGAAAATGAGGAGGTGAAAGCTTCTGCTCCACAGCGTCTACACATTTAATTTCATGATCGGATAAAAATGCTAGTTAAATTACATTGACTCTTATGTGTACCTTTATCATGGTGCTGGAGTACTGCTTTAATGAATCTTTGAGGTTTTTTAAGTAATAGCATTTAGTGTCCTGGCATTTTGCCCATAATGGCCAGGTACTATGACCAAAAAGAAAAGGAAAAATAACAACTAAAAGGCTGTGTATTGTACTAAATATTCTGAATCAGATAACCTTTGTAAAAGCCATTTGTTTAGAAAATGATTGTGCAAGGTTTTTTTTTATCTCAAGCATGACATAAAACATCTCCTGACTCCCTCCTCTTCTGCAGATGGTTATACCAGGAGATGTGGGTGACATGACCACTTTTCAAGAGAAGACAATGAGAAATTCACGGTACATTTTGGAGCTGTCGTTGCCAAATGTTGAATTATCACTGCCAAATAAGGCCTTTTATGAGAAACTGCACAACAGGTATGTCAATGATAGAGAGTAAAGGTGTTTTATGTTATGTGGCATAAATCTGTGTTACTGATGTTTCTCTCCTGGGGTCTTTTCTGGCAGAATAAATAATGACCTCTTGCTGTGGGAGCCAACTGCTCCTTCTCCTGTGGAAACTTTTGAAAACATGTCCTATGGCATTGGCCTGTCAGTAGCAAGCCAGCTCATCAATACCTACAGCAAAGACAGCCTCAGCCAGTTCAGAGCAGCAGCACCTGATGGTAAGAGTGTCTTGACTTCAGACTGACATAGTGTGGTAAATTCTTGCACAGAAGCATGTTGTTGCTCTCCAGTATTACAGTTTGTCATCACTTTCTCTTAGCTTCACAGTAATGGGACTTGATGGTATACTTCTGTAAACAGGATAGGATGCCTTATTCTTCAACAAAGTGTGTTTTGCTTTTTTTCATTAAAGAAGATAACCATGTCATGTTTTGTTTTTGAAGCAACAGTTTGAAAAGTATGCCAGACATTAAGAAGTAATAAACATTCATTTTGCCAAACATAGTACAGTCTTTGTACTTCAGTTCTTGCACAACGTCTTTCTCAATCTTTGACAGTCCTTTTGAAGATCCCCTCTGGAAGTAGTCCTTTGTGCCCTTTTTTTTCAGATGAGGAGAGTGGTTCAGAAGACGAGACGATGAATTATAACTCCACTGCAGACGCTGGTCTGAGATCACGTAGGAAGAAGAAGCATGAATCGCAGAACAAAACCTCACAAAGCCTGTTCTCCGTCATTCTGACGATCAGTCACGGGCTGGTGACCTTGCAAACCCATGCCAAGGTAATCCTGGCTACAGTGGGGTTTCCAAACCTGTATAATAAGTTGAAATCCTAAACAGTGTAGCAGAAGAGGGGAAAATTGTGTGCTTTTTCTTTTTGTGTTGATTAAAATTAAATATACCTATAAGCAGCTTTGAGTGCACAGTTGTCGTTGCGTTTTATATTTTCGACCTTGGTTCTGACAAAAGTATAGGTGCTTTAATAGTATCACTCATTGGGGTTTTTCATATTACTGATTGCTTCTAACACATTGTAGATATTGAAAGCACTCCAGCTCCTTGCCTTTCTGTTGTGCTTTTGATCCACCCACTTGTTAAGACTGAGCATTTGTCACTGTGATGGACTAATTTCTAAAGCAAATATTGCGTACTGTCAGTACTCTTACTTCTTTGACTGCTGATCCTTGATATAATTGTTCCTTTCAGCAAGAGGATGAGACTGTAATGAAAGACAAGCATGGAGAGTTCTGGCTAGAAATTGAGGGTGGAGTACTGTTCAGTGTAACTCAGTACGAGGGTTCTGAAGACCAGCATTACATCTGCCTTCATACCAGTAACCTGTGTCTTTACCATCAAGGTAGGTAGTGCTGGTAACTCTGTGAATCAGACATCTGTTGTCATTAATGCATAAAATTGTATTAATAGATTATTTTTTGACTGCAGTATAAAATGGAAATGTATGCAGATTAGGGTATACAGTATTTCTATATAAACGTGTAAGAAATCTAAAACAGATCTCTATCTAACGATTTCTATCTCGGAGGTAATTATGTGTTGATCAATGTTAAGGCACAGTGGACGGAGGCGTTCCTGTGTCCGATGTGAAGCTGCCCAGTAAGACACAGCCTCACTGGCTTGAGCCCACCATTTACCGGTCCGAAGAGGCGTCCCAGTGCAAGCCGTGCCTGTCTGAAGGCATCGGGGTGGAGGGTCAGAACATGCTCTCTGTTGCAGTGAAGATTTCTTCCCAGAGTGTGGAGCGCAATGTGAAGGTAGTTACCTGTACCTTAGAGTTTTCTTTTTCTCTGTTTTTTACCTGTGCCTCTCTCAAAAAAAAGAAAAATCGACTTTTGCAAAAAACAGGCGTATGATATCTCTTTGACCTGTGGTTGGTCTTTTCATCATTAAGGATGCTGTTGTGAATGTAAAACAAAAAATAAATAGGAATGCTAGAAGACTTAATAATGTTTAGTGTGGGCCAGAAACAGGCTAACCCAGCTGGACTGTGCTTGTCTGTGCAGGAATTCCTGATCTCCGTGGGAGTGAGAGGGGCCACTCTGCAGCACCGTGTTGTTCCCCAAGGTCTCAGCTGGTATGAGCAGGTCAGGCCAACACAGAGAAAGTGGTTAAATCAGCCATATTTGTAATGCAGACGTTTACCTGAGGGTGGCGCATGGGTTAGCATTGCTGCCATGCGGTGCTTGGGCCCTGAATTCAATTGTGGACCCGTGTGCTATCAATGAAGACGAATGTTTGTATGCTCTCCTCACGTTCATGTGGGTTTCCTCTGGGTGCTCCGGATTCCCGTCAGTCTGAAGACTTGCTTGCTGGTGGGTTAGTTGGCGTCTGGGAAGATTGGCTCTGGTCTGAGTGTGTGTTTGTGTCAGTGTCTGCCCTGTGATGGACTGGTGTTGGTGCATGTTGTGGCAGTTTTTTTTTCAGATATCACTTGATTTGCTCGGTGTCCTGCTCAATGAAAAAAAAAACAGTGTTGTTAAAAATACGATCGTAGCATACCTGGATTGCAGAAATGCAGATTTTTAACTTTATTGCTTAATATTTATTATTTGTTTTTTCCAATAGATTCTGGATTTTCTCAATGTGTCAGATGAGCCTGTGCTAGGCTACACCCCTCCTGCCTCTGTCACCACCCTTCACCTTCACCTGTGGAGCTGTTCTCTAGACTACAGGTATGTTGTATACCACCTTCGCAGGCTTCATACACAGCCTGAGCCCAACAAGGACATGGGCCAAGAGCTCCATTTTATTCCTATTAAAGGGTAAAAAGTAATATCAGAATCATTTGCAGGATGTATACTGTGTGTCTTTGGAAAAACTCACACCCCCTTTCCTACATCCATTACTGTGTATGCATACTGAGTATCACAAGCAAGTTAAAATCGCAGTTAAATCACAAAATTATTATGGGGAAAGTAACTCTATTCTTTGTAGCATCAGAACATTAAGAAAGTATAAATGGAATCCATCTGGCCCATTTTCAGGATCACCAGCACTAGTTTGTATTGTAGCTTGTTCCCCCCAACCCTACAGTATGTCCATTAAGATTTTTATATATAGCAGCTCACAGTCAGGTTTGCCATTAATCGCTACAAATGAAGTTTTGTAGCGACTCCTAGACACTCCTGCCCAGACGGTTCACACTCGGACCTCCAAATCGATCTTGGTGATTTGTGACCTCCGACCTATATCATGAAATGTAATTGCCGGGCTGTGTTTCGCTGTAACATCTTGCTGAGCTCTTTATTTAAGACCAGTTCCCTGCCTGTTCAGAGCTCCAACATTGAGCTCAGTTCAGTTTTTCTTCCCTGAACTGAAAAGCTACTTTTATTTCTTCGCTGCAGGGCTCTGTCTAGGCAGGGAACTTTTTTTTGTTCTTGCCACACTTCCTTCCCCTTGAGCTGCTCTCTAAGCACCTCAGCTAATCCGTCTCAGGCACTAGGGCTGCCCCGAATTCTTCCGAGTCTCTCTGAGCATCTGCACTGGGAGCTGGGCTTGCCATTCCACACTGTCCCTGCCAGCCCGGCAGGCACCGGATCAGGAGCCATTGTTCTCTGGATAAGCGCCGTACATTGGCTCTTGTTCTCTTTCTTTGTTTTCCCAGGCCTTGACAAGTTAATTATCTCATCACTTTCCCACTGATGAGGTGGTTTTGTTCTTAAGCAAATCATTTAGCTGTGTCACTGTCAAGAATTATCAGTTAATCTAAATGATACCAAAAACATTCATTCAATATACTGTATCAAAACTTTTTTCTAAAAATATACATGCACAAATAGAGACACTTTTCTTTTGATGTATTTACAGTATATGCATAGTTACAGTATGTAATGAATAAGGCTGTGTAACCTTTATGTACAGGGATTAAATCATTCTTTTAAGCAACTAATGCAGTTTAACGTTTGTTACTTATCTTCTTGTTTTCAGACCTCTATACTTGCCAATCAGGTCACTGCTCACAGTGGAAACTTTTAGTATCTCTAGCAGTGTGTCACTGGACAGGTCTTCCTCCACACTCAGGTAGAAACTCATCTTTTTTATTAGTCTTTTTTTGACGATTTAATTAAATCAAACCTAACCTAGGAGTGTTGGTCAGAAATTGGAGAAACTCTGCAATCATAATCAGTGCTTGACTGCATTAATTTAAAAGGATTTAAACAGGATAATGGTGCTTTTGATATCGTCATCATCTGTTTTACATATCAGTATTCAGAAGAAAAGGAAGTAAAATTATATACATATTAAAGGAAGTATAATTTTAAATATTATGCATAACTTTTCACTTTAACAATGCAATTCCCATTTTTTCTGTAGACACTAAAAACAATTGTGTTTTTTAGGATCATTTTGGATGAAGCTGCATTGTTTTTATCCGACAAGTGCAATACCGTTTCGGTCAATCTTGGCAGAGGTGAGCTAACACTTTTTTGAATTGTAAAAAATAAAGCTAAAGGTTTTATCAGGAGCACAGTATGAGGTTGTAGGCAAAATTAAACCTAAACGTTCTGAAAGTTATGCTCCCTGTTAACATCAATAGAAAATATATTATTCTCTTCTCAGCAGAATAGGTTATTTACTGTTTCTCCTTGAATCATTTCCTTCAGGAAGAAAGTTTCTTTAAAATGTGAGCCAACTGCCGTCAGTGCACAAGTGCAAAACAATGAAAAGAGCTTCTGTAAAAACAGAATGTTAATGTCATTCTGGAATCTGGTTCTCGGGCGGCTGTTTTTGCATACTCTGCATATGTAAAAGGTCACAAATAATTTAATGGTTTTCCACACTGTATAATCAGAGCTGAGTCAACAGTATACTGTATGTATAGTATACTGTATGTGTAATACATTATATGTAACCTATTTTATTTATATTAGTATATAAATAACTTTAGTGGTAGTATTGAAGTGTGTTGTGTTTTGTGTGCTGGTCTGCAGACTATGTGCAGGTTGTGGATATGGGTCTTCTGGAGTTGAGGATAACAGCAGTCAAACCAGGAGCAGATGGAGAAAGGGTAAGAAGTGGTACAGTAGATCGATAAGACGCTTATTCCAGTAGCAGTCTCTGAGTGTCTGCAAAACACCCAAATCAAATGGCAATCTTGAAATTACTTTATGGCACACAACAGAAAAAGTTATGTTTTATCTTCAAAGCCATTCCCTAAAATTGATGTTAAATTCATTCACACCAGCAGAAACAGGCTTACAGTTTAGCACTTAATCACTAAGCAACAAGGTTGATTTTCCAAACCTTTTTACATTAAACAGTGCTCATGGAAGGATCTTGCAAATATTCTATTTGCAATATTCTGTTCTTGCAGATAGGACTGTAAAGAGAAAATGCTAATTTATTAACATTTATTAAATGCATTATTTAAGGCATGATTTGCCCTTTTGTTTTAATGCTTTTGGTGCCATGGTTTGTGTATCTACAACCAGGTAAGTATTTCAACTTGGCTGTGCTCTGTGTTCTTTCCTCCTCAGACTGAGCCACGGTTTGAGCTGCGCTGCTCCAGTGATGTCATTCACATCAGGACATGCTCGGACTCCTGTGCTGCACTAATGAACCTAATTCAATACATTGCCAGCTATGGGGACCTCCTTCCCCCGCCTGGGCCAGAGACCAAAACTGGGAGCTCCAGACAGAAAGCCAAGGTCAGTCAGTAGTGCAGAGTGTTCTTCACCAACTGTGATCACGCATCTACTGTCTGTAAAGGTGCTGGATGAATAGCAGGTGGATGTCATAGTTGATAAAGCCTTTCACCTCATGGAAAAAACTTCAAACATGTTTGAGAACGTGCATTTAATCAAAAACCTGGCTAAAACAGAAATTAAATATTCCATAAGTATTCCAGCTGTGATTTTGTGGGTAAATCGGATGTCCTTTCTATATTTCAGACTGACATTCTCGGTAGGCCCCCCTCTCAGACTCCACTCCTCCCTGAAGCTGAGCAGCAGATGCTGCAGGACCTGATGAGTGAAGCTATGGAGGAGACTGACGGCCAGCAGACTCTGTCTCCACAGGAGCGGCAGCACAATGGTGAGAGCACTCACACAACAAACCCCGCTCAATTAGCTCTCGGCTAAATCCTCCTTCATTTCACCTTGTTAAGAAACGCGTCTTTAAGTTTACGTTTGACAATACTTTAGGCCTCAAAGTTTTGTTAGTTTCGTGTTTTGTTTTATTCACTAAAATGGTTTTTAAATGGTTGTTTTTTTCAAGGTAATAGCACTGTTCAGCTGCCAACACATTGCAATTGCTACGGAGGAGGGAGAATACAGTAACATAGCTTAGCTCCCTACAATGGACTTCTCCTTCATTGTGATCTTCTGCAGGAGTCCATGAGGAGTTGAGCCAGACGCTGGAGCCGTCCCGCTCTGATCTCTTCCTCTTCCCCGATGAGAGTGGGAATCTTTCCCAGGAGCCCAGTCCCACTTTCACCCCCTACCACACCCCACTCATCTACACTGGCTTGGGCGACACCGTCCCCGAGAGCGATGACTTCTGTATCCTCGAAACGCCTGGCGGAGGCAGTGCTGTAAGGATTTCTCTGTCACCTAGTCAGAACGTGAGAACATCCAGGCTCAGGTGTCTCGGATTTAAGGGCAAATTGTTACTAACCCTGAAGTCAAGATCCTTTTTTAGGATTCCAGTTATACTAAAGGCAATAACTTTTTGCACAGCCAGATGGTCTTTTAAAGCATACAGTCTGTATTCCGCAAACCATATTTCAGTCAGTCATTGCAATCATCAAGTAGTTCAAGTACAGTAGGTAGCTGCGTCAGCATGCATAGGGTACAAAGGAACAAGTTAATGTTTTGATCATAGTGTGCACGAAGGTCTGACTTGTAACAGCAGGTTAGAGCGCAATACTATTTCTTACCAGAAGTAAAATTAAAGAATTATGGAATGTAATGCAAAACAAAATTAACTATATGAATTATTTGTTGGCAGTATAACTCATTAATTTTTAATTGACTATCCTGAGCAGGCTGTTAAATTTTATGAAAGCTTGCTGTTTGCATGAGCTATAATTCTGAAATGACAGGGAATAAACATTAAACATTTCCTGAAATATAGAAGAAAATTGTGGTTGTGTAAAGGTGGAAGCAAGGGTTTTTTTTTGTTCCTTTTTTCACTTCACTTGAGGATATAGACACCTGCAGCTGGAATGTGGGTTCTATGTCTATTTGTTTTAAATAAGAAAATATAAATTTTTGATAAATGAGTCATGAGATTACTCTTAGATTGCATGTATGTGCATGTTAATTTTTGTAGTACAACACATAATGTTCTGTATTTGTGTGTGTGCATACACACACTTACACAGCCAGTCCTTCTGCACCTTCACGATCACTTCTTATTGTTGGATCTGCTTTTCCCATTGGAGCTTTAAAACTGTCTTCATAAGGGAAAACTATTTTGCTCTCAACTTTGCAGCTGCTAATGCAGCTCTGGCAAACCAAGGAGTTTCTGCAGGGATTTTCAAGTGTGTAGTTACCCACAAACTGATTGATCAGCATTCAGTTCACATTCATATGTTGTGTGCGTTTCACCAGAGACATGTCACAAGGCTGAAAGAAGCTGCCGTGATATTTTTTTGGTACATCGGCAGTGTCTCTTTATACAGATGTTTTGAAATGGACAATTAGTATTCAGTGAACAAAAACATAGGCAAGTTAGGGTACTGTATGATTTAGCCTATGTGGTCTTTTGTGTTGTACAAGGTGTAAGGTATCATAAAGATGCTACAGGACAGTGTTTGTTTCAAAGTTCAAGTGTAGATAATGTGAAAGAACAAGTAAAGCTTTATTTCATGTTGAAAGGAAAGGAAAAGAGACGTTTCAGCTGTGGAGCCTTCTTCAGGCAAGTTAGGAAACTGTATATGAACCAAAAAAATAGGCAAGTTTTTTCAGCCGAAGTTTGTTCAGCCAAAATATTGCGTCTCATTTCCTTTCAGCTGGAATAAACCTTTACCTGTTCCTTTGCAGCCTACACTTGCTAAAGCAGGTACCTCCACGGATTTGTACAGATAATGTGGCTGCTCCCAGTTTCCTTCCCACTGTTCCGCGAAATCTTTCCACGTGAAGATGAAATTGCAATGTTATGTTCTCCGCAGGATCGAGATGAGGAGCCTGTGGTAAACAAGCTAACTGCAGACTCCATTCACATTAAAGAGAATCACTTCAGTATGCCACTTGGACGGACTGACTCCAACAAAGCTCCCTTGCACTTCCCTGTTCCAGAGGTCAGATACTTGATCAAGGAAATCTCTATCATCTGGCATCTTTATGGTGGAAAAGATTTTGGGACGGGACCATTTATGTCATCCCCGGCCAAGAGCCGAGCGTAAGTATTTCAGTAGGCTAATTGGTGCCTTGCCTTGTGTCTGGAGATTTGCTTTAAGAAACCAAGCAAGTTAGATTATGGACTAAGATGAAGTAAAGAGGATACGTTTTGTTTAAAATATTTCAGTAGGTCGGAAACAAAACTTGGATTAGGGCCCCCCTACACGTAACTGAGCTTGGAGGCATTTTGCTGCTTTGACTGAATCTCTCCCTGTTTCAGCTGCACGCCTCACAGCTCTCCCTCTCAGACCCCTGTGAGACTGGGCAGGGCCGCGGGCCGGGCAGGGGGCGGCAGGGGAAGGAACCCAGACGTCCTGATGGAAATACAGCTGAGCAAGGTAAGAGCCAGAACCCAATGAAGAACTAAAGGCAAACTGAAAACATATCTCCCACCCTCCACCTTCGGGGCTGAGGTAGAAATGCATTTTAGATGTTTCTAGAATGGTTGTTCCAGGGGTGGCACGGTCAGTATTTCTGCCTCGCGGCACTGGTGCCTCGGGTTCAATTCCTGACCTGGAGTGCTGTCTGAGTGAGTCGGTATGTTAGCCCCAGGTTCGCGTGGGTTTCCATCGGGTGCTCCGTTTTCCTCCCACCGTCAAAAAACATACTGGTAGGTTAATTGGCTTCTGGTTAAACTCGACCTAGGTATGAGTATATACACGTCTGTGTTTCTACCCAGTGACAGACTGGTAAACTGGTAGAGGTCGGGTACATCGTCCAGGGTACCATACCTAGTGCCCATTGCAGACCGGGATAGATACCAAGTTTCCCATGATCCTAATTTGGAAGAAGAATTTTGAAAATGCAGATTTTTGCAGGATGTACAGTATCAATACTGATGTCAACAATGTGGGACGTACTTAGATACTAAATTGTTTTAAACTGTTAATTCATAAATGAAAATGGCATTGTGTTTGAAGTCGTGTGTTCCCTCTGCGCTTTGGGGGGTGGTGTCTCTTTTTGCAGGTGAAGTTCCAGCATGAAGTGTACCCTCAGTGCCAGTCTGATTCAGAGGTCAGTGTCGCCGAACAGCCAGTTTCTCGCCAAGTCTTCATTGTCCAGGATCTGGAGATCAGGGATCGCCTGGCCGCCTCTCAGATGAACAAGTTCCTCTACCTCTACTCCAGCAAGGAGATGCCCAGGAAGGCGCACTCTAACATGGTGAGGGTGACCATGCCAACGCAACACAATGTGTTGACATATAGTGAGTTGACAAAGCTGTGCTGAAGAAAAGCAATGCTCTTTCTCACACAGTTAACAGTGAAGGCCTTGCATGTCTGTCCAGAAGCAGGCCGTGCCCCTCAGGAGTGCTGTCTGCGTGTTTCCCTGATGCCACTGCGCCTCAATATTGATCAAGTAAGGCAGTGGATATTGTGCTTTCTCTCTGTCTTACTTTGCCTTTTTAATTTTATTTTCATTTTGCTTGCTCTTTCTGGATACTTTTTTGCCAGATGAGGCTGAGGGACTTTTCCAAAACAATTTATATTGGAATTTTCACAAAATCACACTTTTGAGATATTATACCCTTCTCTGAATGTTACGGAACAATTTCTGAAAATTTAGATCTCATACAAAAAAAAGTTTTTTTTTCCCAGTAATGAAATACACGTAGATTACACCTTCTTATCTGCCACGCTGCGTTTATTGTGAGTTCAGTAACATTCTTTTGAATATACAGGTTTTTTTGGTATAGTATCGACAGTAGCCCAAGGGGGATTGAATTATTGCTATATACTGTATATGCAAAACTTAATTTGAGTGTTGAGGTGTGGATGTTAATATTTTTTTCCCGTCTCTCTCTACACAGGATGCACTGTTTTTCTTGAAGGACTTCTTTGCCAGCTTGGCTGCTGAGGTAGAATTATTGGCCCCACCAGATCAAGAAGGTAGAACTTTTAAGAGAAATTTGCAAAAGATATTACGACATACAAACATATCTTCACTGTCGGATTGTTTTCATTTGCTGGCAAGGGCCAGCATAGAGTTAAATTGCAGTAAAGAGTGCTGAATATTTGCTAAAGCTTCCTATGAGCATGCAGTGTGCAACTCTTTTTCACGATTATCAGCTAATCTTTTTTTTTTGTATGCGTGCCGCTGTTTGTTGGAGAAGGCACAGGTTCATTTCCTGTTACTTGGTAAACTGTGACAGAGAAGGCAGAGATCCAGGACGTGTGCAGGACAGCGATGTGATGTGTTTTTCAGTGAAGAAGCCTCCAGCTCCGGACCTGTCCTGCAGCTTTCCCAAGCACATGGGCGGCAGTCAGGACCCCGCCCCCATCATCTCGGTGCCCGGGCAGAGCAGGCCAAGCCAGAACGGCATGACCCCCTCGGGCAGCGCCGAGGCTGGGGAGCCAGAGCTCCCCGCGCCAGCGCCCTTCACCGACCAGCCCATCTTCTTCCGGTAAGGAGAGAATGCTTAGGCTATAATTAAGAAATGGAGGCCAGTAGGTGAGGATGGGTATTTTTATAATATGCGCATTAAAAGGCAGCGTTTCCTTCCACCTTCTGGTCTGATCTCATCAGATCTCGGAAGGTGAGAGAGGCTGGGGTTGGTAAATACTAGGAAGGGAGACCTCCAAGGAAAGCTGGTTTAATGCTGTATGTAGTTTTGGTGGAGCAGTAGGTGGCACTCTTACATATGGACCATAATAGTGCGCTAGTACAGTGACAGAGAACACGTCATCCTTTAGTTTGAAATGTTCAGCTGAGGTCCTGACAGCTTGGTGATTAAAGATTGTTTATCAGAGCAGGGTTGTTAACCATTGTGTCCTAGCTAAATTACAATGTGGCCTCCCTAAAGTTACCCTTAATTCAGCTAGTGAAGAAATGGACCAGATTTCCACTGGATCTGTTATGTACTGGGCCAGCTGGCACATAATAGAAGCCAGTCATTACACACACAAGGGTGCTGCATTTAAGGAGTGGAGAAAGTTGGGTCGTGTCTTATTGGTGTGAAGCTCTTTGCGATGAAAGTTGTTTATGTATATATGTGTGCAGTTTATTCTTGTTTTCATTTTTCAGAGAGTTTCGATTTACTTCTGAAGTGCCCATACGCCTGGATTATCATGGAAAGCATGTATCCATGGAGCAGGTAATGCAGTTTCTCTTGTTGAAACAGTAAGACAATGTCACTTATGTATTGCTTGAGCTTTTGGTGATGGATCTAAACTCTGTCTTTTAAAATCATATTCAGAACTGCTTATATATTAATAAATGTTATTCAGAAGGCACATTCATGTGACAGAGGATTTGATAGTGTTGTGATGATCTATTGATCCTTTTCTTTTTGAGTTGTATTTAGAAAATTAATCCAAAGCACAACTGGATTGGATATTAATATACATCAACAGTTATCTGTTTGTTGATGTTAATTTTGCTTTTGCAGGGCACTTTTGCCGGAATTGTAATTGGTTTAACTCAGTTGAACTGCTCTGAGCTCAAACTCAGGAGGCTGTGTTACAGACAAGGGTATGTTTACTTTCATGTTTTGGGGGCATCTTGAGAAAGGTGCACATTAGGTTTCAAACTATTTTAACACTGTAATTATACAGTTTATACTAGTTTTGTGGTATTAGCCTTTTGTTATCACACTGCAGTGTTTAAAATATTTTTTTCTTTAAAAATTACCTGATTTGAATAGCTAATCATTATAACACTAGAAAAACATGGACAGAAGGACTGGACTTTTCAGGTTGAAGGCATTCCTTTGTATTTCAGATTGCTGGGTGTTGATAAACTCTTTTCATATGCAATAAATGAATGGCTCAGTGACATTAAGAAGAATCAGCTCCCAGGAATTTTGGGTGGAGTTGGGCCGATACACTCTCTTGTACAGTTAGGTGAGTTCATGATGACATTTTATTGATCGCATGGGTAAGCAGTTACTCCCAAAGATTGCAAAGATGTGCAAAACAAGTACACTGTCTGTACAGCAGATAAACCGTTACACAACTTATAGACTCCTCCTGCACTGTACTATGTGGATGAATAACTGTTCCAATTCATTGTCTTCAGTCCAGGGACTCAGGGATCTAGTCTGGTTGCCAATTGAACAGTACCGCAAGGATGGCCGGATTGTGAGAGGCTTCCAGCGTGGTGCCGCCTCCTTCGGGACATCCACTGCCATGGCAGCTCTGGAACTCACTAACCGCATGGTGCGGACCATACAGGTACTGTGTGTTATGTAACGCTCCAGTCACTTACTTACTCCAGGAACTTACAGGAAACTATTCTGTAGTGCAAGCAACTTCTGAGTAACAGAGTTAGGGAGTTGAAAAAATGCCCAGTTGTCTGCCTTGTAGTTAAGCACTCAAGACTATACTGTTCACATTTAAAATATTTACATTGTTGCGTAAGAATTTAGATTGCAGTATAATAGAATTAATTACCCTTCTTTTCTACGCCTTCTACAGGCAGCAGCAGAGACAGCTTATGATATGGTTTCCCCCGGACCCGACGACAGCGAATTAAAAAGAATAAAGCGCTTCTCTCATTACCGATTGGCTCACCAGCCAGTGGACCTGCGGGAGGGAGTGGCCAAAGCATACAGTGTCTTTAAAGAGGTATCGCACAGATGATAGTAAAAGAGAAGATATGAAAAACAAAACAAGTGGCATCTGCTTTCATATCCAAGCATTTCCTAGAGTGCTTGCTTCGGCAGCACATATACTAAAATTGGAACGATACAGAGAAGATTAGCATGGCCCCTGCGCAAGGATGACACGCAAATTCGTGAAGCGTTCCATATTTTTGGCGGACAGGTGGCTCTGTGGCTAAGGATCCGCGCCTGTGACTGGAAGGTTGCCGGTTCAAATCCCGCAGCTGGCAGAGGAATCCTAGTCCGTTGGGCCCCTGAGCAAGGCCCTTAAATCCTAACTGCTCCAGGGGCGCCGTACAATGGCTGACCCTGCGCTCTGACCCCAAGCTTCTCTCCTTGTCTGTGTGTCTGTGTCTCCATGGAGAAAAGCTGGGGTATGTGAAAAGACGAATTCCTTATGCAAGAAATTGTATAGGGCTAATAAAGAAACATTACATTATTATATTATTATAGAGCTACTGTTCTTTGGATTGCTCCTTTGACCATAGATTGGAAGAAAATACCGACATGATACAGTAGGTCTGGGCGACATGGCCAAAAACATTATCACGATAAAAGTTTTCATATCAGTCGATATCGATAATTATCACAATAAATGTCAAATCATTATTTCTTTCAAGCTTAAAGGCATATTTTTCTACTGAGTGAAAGTTGAAGAAACCAGACAGTTAATTGGTAAATTAAACAACTATTTTAAGAACACAACAAAAAGTTGCCAAACAGCAGAAACATTAAACAAATCTGAGGTAGAGAATATTCAAGTCTTTTTTATGTCAAAATATGCATGAGTAAAATTTACAAAATAAATATCTTAATAGAAAAATGTAATACTGCAGTGTGATAAAACACACATAGAAGATGGCTCAGACAGACTGCAAAGTTTAAAGTGCTCTGTTTTATGTCTGATCGTAAAAAGCCAAAATATCTCCATATTACCGAAATTGAATGACCTTTTCTGTCGACGATGTCATCGTCCTTCGAACCGGTCGTTGGCAGCACTACATTTGCTTCAGTGTCGCTCATTTCTCCACTCAGCCACCACCGTGCAGGTAAACAACGCCACGTTACCTGCCCGGTCTGCAACACGCACGCACACTCGCGCAGATGCGCACATGCGCAAAGCATAAACATATATATCGAACATTTATCGAACTTTTGTTAAAATTATATCGCGATAATTATCGTTATCGAATTATCGCCCAGCACTATGATACAGTACCATTGCTTTATATTTTCTGCATTAATGAGAACTAAACTGGGGCGGCCTGTTTCCGGTTTCTGTCTTGCAGGGAATTACTGACACGGCGTTTACAATCTACGACACTGCTACGCGAGAGCACGAACAGAGGGGTGTCACAGGGGCTGTAGGGGGCGTTCTGCGTCAGATCCCCCCCGCTGTGGTCAAACCTCTCATTGTCGCCACGGAGGCCACGTCCAACGTGCTCGGCGGGATGAGGAACCAGATCCGCCCCGATGCCCGGCAAGAAGAGTCCCAGAAGTGGCGACTTGGGGAGGAGTAGACATTCAAGAGGCAGAATTCCCACAGGATTAAGATCTGATTGGTTCCAGCAAGAGAAAGAGCAGAGCTATAGTTTTGTCTGCAGTCCTAACATCATTGTCAAGCATGGGGCTGTGAATTACCTACTTCTGTAACCAGGCTTACACCAATGTGTTGTTAAATACTGGAAGCATTGAATGATGCTGCATACATAATCATAGCTGTTAGGGTAAAATTAATAACGTTGATCAAAACTGCTTTACCCACTTTGTTAATCTCACAGACGTGAACAGTGTAAGCTTTTACTAAACCGCCAGCTTGTTTCCTTCCTGACACTCTCCAGCAGTGCCTTTCTGTGAGTGTCCGGATTATTATGCTTTAGGTGGTACTGCAGAAAAACGTCTCAGTGATTTGGAGAGGAGAGCATATAAATTGATCTGAAAAAGTTTTCTGTGCCATCTGATCACCGTGGCTGAAATTTTGTTCTTCTTTATTATGTGCAGGTTGTATTATAATTTAATGTCAAGTGTTTTTGTTTCACAATGCCCTGATATCACGAAGTAAAGTCTTCTTTGTATCTGTGTTACTGCACAGCAAAAGCTTTATTTTTAATGGATTCATCTCTATGGTCATAGGGGGATAAAAAGGCATGAGTTTGATTGGTTCAATGTTATTTTTCTAAAGGCTTCAGTTGATTTTCTGAAGAACTTAAGTTGGAACCAATCCCAGGAGCTTTGTCTTAAAAAGGCAAAAATACGTATAGACGAACTGCCCACCTCTCATATATTGCCTTTGATTCCCTTGCAATGAACTGGTCTGTGCAGAATTGTCCTGTCATGATTCCATGTACTGTATGAACATCAGGTCTGTTTTGATGTAGTGTAATATCCTGTAACTTGCACAAAAATACAACATCTAAGTTTATTATGTAGAGCTGTATGATATAAGGGATGATGTGATAGTGCTGATGATAAAAATAAGGAAAGTCTTTCCCCTTTTTGATAAGAGTATAAAGCAACATTATACTTAAAACCATGGTATTACAATCAAAACCATGATAACTGCAAACAGTTGTGTATATTGGAAGATGTTGCATAAGAACTGCATAATGTTAGGCTATGATTACTCTGCAAATGAAAGGGACACAGGCTGAAAAGATAAATTTAAGCTCTTGCAGAAACTTTGTGAAATTTTTCAGAGCTGCTGCCTAGTTGTTTTCCTGCAATATAAAATAGAAATCGATAATTACACAGGATTCTGTTTTCTTCCCTGTCCTTTTAAAGGGAGTGCTGCTTCAGTAGCTTTTCAAAAGGAATGGAAAAAATTATTTTTTTAAAGGAATGCTTTTTTTGCCATCTAGAAAATGGCCTGCACTCTCTGTTGCAACCAAATGAGCTTGTTGGGCAGAATTGTCCTCTCATTTTTAACCTTTCTTTGCTCCAATACATTTCTTCCTTCAAAAAACATTTTACAAGAGGTGACTCTCTGCTGTTTGATTAAAACATGTTTTGCGATACTGAAAATATACTTTGCTGTTCTTAAATTCTTGAGTTTTGATTCCCACCCCCATGTTAACTGAGTTTTATTTAAGGATTTCAATACATTACCATGGGAGAATGTTTAATATGTATTGTAAATGGCTTTAAATATATAAATATATTTGTTCTTAGAACATGTACTTGCCAGTGATTGTTTTCCCCATTATTTTCAATATTTCTAGGTTTAACTGCTATTACTGCCCAACATATAACAAAAAGTCTTAACTATATACTCTCAGCTTTGTTAGCTATTTTTATACATTGTGAGGGCAGGGGTCATACATTGCTAACAATCTGTAGGATCTGTGTTTATGTACTGTACCATTGTTACAGTGAGACCAAATTGGTTATGGATTCTAATTACTTTTCCCTAAGCTAATTTCAACACTAACTCAATTGACTGGGGTGGGATAATTGTCCATGTATATTTTGTTTATATTTTCTCTGTAACACCAGTGATGTTTCTTAGTCTGTAGGGGATATTGCATTGCTTGTATATAGTTAGTGTACAGACTGGATAAAGTAAATTTGTGCAAATGATATTAAAGCATGTCAACAATGTAAAAGGGAAATAAACTATTTAAGTTCTCTTGTGTTCTCTTGTTTGAAGGAGGGAAATTCTTGTATGTGCTCAGATATACTGAAGCATTGCTATCTTTTGAATATCTATTGTATCTATTGAAACTCCACTAACCACTAACCAGTTTTATAAAATATATAATCTCGATTTTCAGTTTCAGTTTACGTTGGACACTGAGTGGCGCTGCTTTGCTTTAAAACAAGCAGAAAACATTTCAGCGCGTCGGTTTCCGTGACAACAGCGAAAAGGAAGACGTTTATCTGTTTTGGTTAAACACTTGGAAATACTAAAAGGTTTCTGCAACATTTATTACCTTTGCGTCCTGGTGCAGTTAGATGTACATTTTGGTAATAACAATTAAGAAGCCTTAATAGTGTACGTAAAGGGCAACGTGGTGTTTTTGTTTCGTTTGCTTTGTGGTGTCAAATGATATGCAATGCTACACAAGTCGATGTCAAAATTGATTATTTTTATCTTTTATCTCAAAGCTTTTATTTCAAACCGTTGTGTAGCTGTAGTTTTATAGTGTAAGGTGTGTTTAAATTGGTATGTATTTAACAAGGGATAGATTACGACTGCTCTGACATCCTGTCTGGATAAAGCAGTTAGAAAATGGATGGATGAATTTTGTGTTATATAGCATGAGCAATGTGAGCAATGGAATTTTTAGTTCTGTAATAATTTGTAATACTGTATAATTCATTGATAAGAAAATCAATAACTGGTGATCGTGACATTCTCTATTAGTACATACACGTTATATATGTATGTACAAATTCGTATTCCGAAGTACAGTAATTCAATAACGTTGATTTTTTTCGGTATAGGTGCTGGCTAATTAATGCCTCGTTTTTTTTTACATTTGTGAATGGGAGGATAATGATGATGGGGCTAGATTTTAAATAGTGTCTCCTGAATTCCGTTGAGCAACAAACTTAACATGTTTTCTTTAAAGGCTAAGGCTGTTTGCAGGAAAAAGAAAATCGAGGAAAGCCTTTGTCCACATCGGAGATGACGGACGTTACTCAGAATCTGCACTCCCTAGATTTCGAGTGCGGGCTGAGCGAAAACGAGAAGCAGCTGTTATTCCTGAGAGCTCGCTCGAATGGCCTGACTCTGAGCGCCTGCGCTCATGCTGCCTTCTTCTGTAAGCTGCTCTCTTCTTCAAGGTACTGTATGTTTCACCCTGTGAAGACCCCACGGTAGCAATACTACAAGAGGTGCATGGTTTTACTAACGCCTGCCTTAGAAAAAAAATATAATTGTATTTATTTCCTCCCACAGAAGACGTTTATTAAAGGAAAACGTCACACTGAGGTCTAAAACGTCTGATTTAAATGTGTTAAGTGAAGACCAGATTCTGAAAGTTGGGATTCTTGGAGGGGGCCACATAGGGAAACAACTGGCTCTGGTACTGATGGAAAACACAGGCCTCAAACCATCAAACATCAACATATCGTCCAGGCGACCTGAGACTTTGGGTAAGGGACAAGAAGCCCACTGAAAAGAGCAATGTGTTTTGAAGGAGTGATACAGTGTGGAAGATCTGATGTTGTTGTCAGGAAGAGTGACACCTGTATACAGTTATACAGTATTTATGTTTTAAATAGATTTAAGAAAAGTGAGCACTGGTTTTTAGGTTGAAAAAAAAATAAACACAATTTGAAGCAGACTTAATTTTTCCGTTAATGTTAAATGCATTTATTTGCTTACATGATTTTCAACTCTCCCATTTGGAAATATACATTCATTTATAATTAAGAATCCTTTTAATATGTCCCTTTGTGCATACAACTATTTCTCCAAACTTTGTTTTTTTTTAATGTACTAAATATATGGCCTGTTCAAAACTCATGGTATATTATATTTCAAAATATATTACAGCATATAGGGTGGCACAGTGGAGCAGTGGTTAGCTTTACTGTCTCACAGGACTTGACCCTTGGGTTCAATTCCTCACCTGGGGTGCTGTCTGTATTTGTGTGGGGTTCCCTGTGTGCTCTTGTTCTTCGTACAGTTCAAAAACATTCTATTAGGATCATTCTCTTCTGGGACTATTGGCTTTTGTGTGTGCCTGTCTGTGTCTGTCTGCCTTGCAACGGACTGGCATCCTGTCCAGGGTGTCCAAAGGCTTGCCTTTGCCTTGCTTCATACTCTGGCTCTCCTGGGACCCTAAATTGGAAGTGCAGGTTAGAAAATAGATGGATGAATCATACAGTATATTGTGTGTCCTTTTTTTATTTTTTATTTTTACATTTTAGATGACTTTCAGAAGATGGGGATTGGCTGTTTTTATGATAACCAACGTCTAGCCTCCTGGTCAGATGTGCTTTTTCTCTGTTGCCTCCCCACACACCTGTCCCAGGTGTGTGCTGACATTCACTCCAAACTCCGCCAGGACTGCATTGTTTATAGCCTTGTCACTGCAGTGCCCCTGAACAGGTAACATTTAGCCCTATTTGCATCTGACATTCATTGTGTAACAGGCTGTTGGAAGTTTTAACTGCTTGGCTTATTAAAAAGTGATTTTAAAACGTTCGTGCTCTTAAAAAGATTTTTTAAACTTTCGACTGTTGCCAGAAGATGTTGGGATCTTTTCCCAGCTTGGTTTATTGTTACTGTATGTCCAAATTCCTCTAAAAAACAGCATTGGGAGTTTGGTTTTGTGTTGAAAGAAGAGAAGCTCTACTTTGATTCCTCATGTGTTGTGGTTTCTTGGCCCAATTTAAAGCATTTATAACAAAAACCAACTGTAAAGAGCCTCATTGATAACTAGCCTTTGTGGGGTTATTTGAAAGCTATGTCAAGTCTTATTTGTTTCTTAATTGTGTCTACATTATTTCTGATTACAGACTCAAGCAGCTTCTGTCTCACAGTAGCGTTTTAAAGCCAGAATATGGATTTGTAGGCAGTGACTCTGTCAGTATATGGGCAACTACTGGACATGTAACAGCTGCTTTGAAAGACCCTAAAGTGATATCAGCTGCATGTCCTCTTGGCATGAGTGGTAGGGTTACTTTACCAATTTTCAGTTTTATAATACCAACACACTTCCTACAGTGTAACTGAAGTGATATAAGTTAAATTATTTTGAATATCTATATCAATATATATATAAATAGAAATACAATTATTTAAATGTAATCTGAAACATTCTGCATTTTAGCTAATAAAAATATATAGATACTGTGTAGTATCTGTAAACTTGTCACTAACTCACTATGCTTTTGGTTGTTAGTTTGGTTGGTTAGGCTATTTCTTGGAACTTAGTAATTTAGCTTTATCATAAGAATAGTAGAGAAAATTATAGTTAAAAAGTAGATTGAACAAGCAATGATAAGTCATTATGGACATTACGTTAATATTGGTTTTGCAATATGCATGATATTGTACTATCTACAAATGACATGCTATAATAAATTGGCATTTCTTTATGCATTTCAGGTGGCCTGAGTATAGACATAAGATGGGTTGTTGCAGTTCTCTACTCTCTCCTGAATATGTGCACAACAATGAATGTGGATTACAAGCAGACGATTAACATGATGAATGAGTTATTTTTATTGAAAGACACTTCAGCACAACAGAATAAAATGGAGAACGCAATGCAATTCACAGTTGAGAACTTTGTCAATGCATCCTTTGCATCCACACTGTCATCTGATGAGTAAGTTAAAATAGATATAAAAATGAAATTCATGGAATGCTAGTTTTCTTTTATTGGTCTATGTATAAAAATATATTTCAATTAATTTAAGATTACCGTAGGCATACATATGCCATTAAAAACATATTGTCAGCCTGCGCACATCTTGAAGTCCACTGTTCTGAAAAACATATAGCAATTTAATTATAAATGTAATTTAGTACTCTCCACTTAACTAATATCCTAATGTTCTTCTGAAGTTACTGTAGTCTCTAGATCTCTCAGTGCTGACAACATTTAACACCTTTTGTGCCATCACACAGGGCATATGGATTCAGACAGCAGGTGGCAAGGGGTATCTTAACTGTAGCATTTCAACCACTTGTTATTATAACATTATTTATAGAAGAAATAGGCTCCACATAGCTGAAATGGCTTTCTGTTAATTGATTAATATTAGAAAATATAGATGTAGAAAAAATTACAGAACCTATCTAATTCATTACAGTGTATTTTTATTTTTTACTAAATAAGATTGCAAATACTACAGTTTAAATATGGGTTTAATAAAATGTACAGCCATCATCATTCTTTCAAGAGTAGGGTTGTCGCACTTTAGATTTGTTTCATACCCATACTCTGACACATGCTTTTAAGAGATTTTTTGTTGATGGTTCAATAAGAGATTTATGCAAAACATACAGTATATACACCAGTAGATACATGGAGCTACATGTTTATGTTCTAAAATGCTTTATTTCTTATTTATAAACCTTAATTTTCTTGAATGTTCAACTTATTTTAATTTGAAACCTGTTCCTTTTTTATTTGTAAATATTTTTTAGGCCTCTTCCTTGGATCAGCTTGACAGATACACAGTTGAAGGAAACACCATTGTCAAAGATTCTAGCAGAAAACCTCGTTTTGAGGGAACGCCTCTCTGCCACATTTTGCTCTGTGCTTGGAGTTTAATAGACTGAGAGAAGACAGACTGAAAGAATTCCATCCATGGATACCAAGTTAGTTTTTTTATCAATGTGCACAAAAAATCCTGGCTTCCTACAAATTGTCCTGACCCGCACGTGGTTGATACTGCATAGCATAATCATCAAATCATTTATTTTAAAGGTAATGTTTTGGGACAGTAACACAGTGACACCATTCCCAGAACAGAAGCCATGAGAGATTTCATCATATGTAAGCAGTGCAATTACATTCAAAAATATGCATGGTCAGGTGGGGATAGCTAGCCTCTGGGTATCATTATTTTTTATTTTTGAATTATGTATTGTTTTTATGTTCATGATTATTCTAACATTAATTGGAATATATACAAAATGTAATAAATGACACTAAACACATGAGAGTGACCTTTGTGCAGCCTTTCTTTAATAATCTTGATGAAACGAAGAAACCAAACTTTCTATGTAGTCATCACATTTATATACATACAAATAATTGTATATATGTACACCATCTCTTGAACGCACAGTCACTAACTGTATGAAACTTGAATGAAGCTGACTTTGTACTGTTTATTTAAAACATTTTAGTCATGAAATTCAGAACAGGGTTTCTGTTGGTGAGATTAGTACATTAAATTGTTACTTAGCTAACATTGAAAAATACTGATAACATCATTTTCATTGTTCTGGGTTAAAAAAGCTGTATTAAACGCAACCCAATGACAATAAAACCCACAGAACGAGTCAGGCTAACTTGGGAGTGAACATTCCCTCATGTGCTTCCCTCAATGTATTTTATTTTTAGCGACACCTGCAACTCAAGAAGCCTTCGCATTAGTTGTCCATCTCCTTCAGAAACTGGCTGTATGTGAGTGAATCAGCACATTCTCCTGTTCGACTCTTCTTCTCTAAAAATAACCCCCTTGTGTCCCTGCGGGGGAGCGCAATGCTCCTGTTCCATCGGGGCTCCTCGGTCTCTAACAGCTCTTGAATGCGATGTGAAATCGCCTTGAAAGAAAATGAAAAAGTCAGGGTAAATCAACATTCATCCAACTTAAAACTGGGAGGTCCTTCAGCCCTACTGCTAAACTGCATACATTATTCTGTGTTTTTAAACACAAATGAAATTGCACTATATGCTAGGCAGTGTGGCAATGGACTGCCATCCCATCCTGAGTGTAGTACTGCCTTTCACCCTATGCTTCTAGGATAGCCTTCAGTTCTTACAGGGAATGTGTATATCAGAAATGCATACTATATATGCTTATAAGGAATAAAATGATTATTTGCTTGATCAGGGTAAGCTGATCAGACACTCAGATGATGTTTTTGCTTTTCTGCAATATTATTTCCTTGATTATCCCCTGTGTACATCATGAATACTTCATTATGCAGAAATTCTCAGTTGTTGTTTACTCAGTGAGATTACATTGGTAGGAAATGTGTTTGTTATCTTGCATGCTTATGTGGGTGTAAAGACTGTCAAGCATAAATTAGTTTTAACATTTCTGTTGTGATGATGAGGAACATTGTGACAGTCACTCGAAAGGAGTGCTAAGTACCAGAGTACCAGACATCTGGCATGTGTGGTACAGTATGAACAGAATTGCAAATTCCACCAAACGATTAACAAGACTGTAAGAACGCAATCAACAAGACACAGCTTCACGTTTGTTCCCTGAGATGTAAAAATGGAAAATGGAGGTCTTGCAATATAAAAAATACTGAAATTCAACACAAGTATTCTTTCTCAATTCTCTTATCCCTTACCTTCATGTCCTCAAAATCTATGATTCCTAATCTAGGAAGTGTAGAACAATTTATTAAGATCAATTGTCTACCATTGATGCGGTTTTCTGTAAAGCAGGCCTGAGGAGAAAGACAAACATTAGTGTCATAAAAGATGTGTTTCATGTTACATTTTTTACTCAGTTAAACTTGTATCCAGTATTGCTTTCCAAGTGCTGGCATCATGAGCAGAAAAGTTTGTTGATATAGTTCAAAATTAGCTTTTATGATGTATCCAAAAATATTTAATTTCTTATAATTAGGTTGTTTTTAGTGCCATTAGTGAGTTACATGAGTAGCATGTGTTTTTTTAATTGTTTGTGAATTATAAATAAAAGAGAGCAATATCTATCTTCATTCTTCCAGCAATTCTGTGGTCAAGAGAAATTCTGACATTTTTTTCGTCAACAAATGCAACATCAACAGTCGAAAAATAACCTCTTTCCGATTTTAAAGATAATTGTAAGCCACATAAGTTAATTGTACATTTTCGTTAATGAAAGCAGCATATTCACCATATACTGGGGATAGCCTAGGGATTCTATCCATTTCGCCACTTCCTCGCAGCTCCAGCTCAGGTAATCTGCCATCTTGGTTGTGTACCTGTTTCCAAGGAAACTGCTACCATAGCAACCAAGAGACATCCAGTGCTTGTCAGTACGGTTCAGAGAAACACCTTTCATAAAAATCAGTAATGCTGACAGGTCACGTATTTGGCCACATAAATCTGAAAACATACTCCGAACGATTTCTTCCCATTTTAAAACTGATGCCATTCACGTGTATTACAAAAATGCTTATTGGACAGGCATTATAAAAATCATAGAAGAAACCAAATGAGACCGATATCGTTAATGATTTAAAAGTGATTTGCAGTGAACGTATCTCCCCGTCTTTTTAATAAGGGTATTAGCAACAAACTAATGATCTCTAATAAATCTAAACGTTTTGGCCTTATATTCAAAATATGATTTAAATAAAAAGACGAGAAAAAAATAAATACAGCAAGGGTTGCATCACTACCAATATTTTTTTTTCAAAATATACGAATAAGCCAATTGGCTGCGTGTTTGGGCTGTTTTTCTGAGAAAAAGCACCACACGCCGTGTTAAAGCCGACTTCTTCATTACCAGCGCCTTTACGTCACTTCGTCAAATTCCGCCTGCTGTCGTTTTATTACGGAAGTCGTCTGTGGTTTTTTTTCCTCCTCAGGCTTTCGTTCACTCGTGCTAAGGTCTCCAATGTCGAGTGCGCAGAGCTCGGAGGCTGCTTGCATTCAGTGCTTGACTACCGCGCCTGGGTCGGTTTCTGGATAGGCATCGGTACCGGTGTGGCTCGAATCGGTACGAGAACAACCCAGGTAAGCACCATAAGATTGCAGTAGTGAAGGAGCACCGGGGGCTTTCGAGTCCATTTCCGGTAGAAATGTACAAATCAAAATACCAGATTTTCAGAAGTTGACAGTCACGCTGTTTTTAGCGAGCGAAATCAAAGAGTACTCCGCCGAAAAACGGTAATGTGGTTGACACGTACGGGCCGATTTATCACTTTCGAATAAGCGTGAAGGAAATGTTCATCGCCCAAGTCTGGGACTCCACCCGATTTTGTATATTTACATCTTTTGTCTTTGATGCGCGAATTTGCCAAAAAGCTAAAAGTGTTTACATGGCCGGTCTTCTTATAATCCTTATTGCGTAAAATAGTTTTAAAAGTTGCCGCATTAGATGATCACTGTATACAGTATATGTAGTATTTAGAAGGGGTTAGCGGGAACGAGTCGCCTGTTCGTTTAGTGAGGAGTAATTGCATGCGGATCTGCTCCATTCGAGTAGCTCAGCATAAAAAAAATGAAAACTACTACGTGTGTGCTCATTCAAAAAGCCATATTTTATTACTTTAATACAGAACCATGCGAGGACCGCCCTGATGCAAAGGATGATTACTCCTTTGTAACAGAATGATGTACAATTAATCGCTTGTCGTTTAAAACGGGTTTCAGGATTGTACGAATTTGACCATACTGCCCAGAACAACCAGTGCCATTCAGTAAATATTTTCGTAAAGTAACAACTGGCTTATTTTCCAATCGAATATTTACAAATAACTGGTGGCAGGCGGCCTCCACAGCGTTTAACATTAGAGCCCACGATGGGATATATGTGAAATAATATTCTAGGTGTATTTTCCAGTTTTCACTCAGATGGGTGCATTACAGTAATCAACTCAATTAGAATGGATTGCAGCAATTGTGTATCTTTAGCGGTATAAACGTTAAAGGCTTTCAAAAGGTTTGTTCCATATTCGGCAAGTTCTGCAAACGGGGAATAACCATGTTGTTTGCCGTTCAGCCTGTTTATGTTTGCTGTTGTGCAGTGCATTAAAATATTCCTGTAAGTTCCAAAGCTCACGAAGAAAGAGTATGAATCTGTGCTCATAGCTTCTGAGTTGCTTTTTTCCCTTCCTGGGCCACTTTCCAAGAAACACCATAGGGATCGGAGTAATAAAATAGCGTTTTGTATATGTTTGGAGTATAAGTGTAAAATGAGCAAGTTGGCTTGAAACAAAGGTCATTGTTAGCAAAGAAATAAACTGAAACACAATCTGAAAGTTGTGACCCCCTTTCACCTATAACGTTTTTTTTTTCAGAAATGCAGAATCTGGAAGCAAGTTCAGAACTTCAGTCCCGACTGTCTTCTCTGTCTGTCTCCTCCTTCCCAGGAATAACTTCAAAGAGCTGTGAGCACAATGCTCAAGAGAGGTAGATGATAACTGCTGAATTGTAGTTTTCATTTTTCTTTAGGAATACTTAAGCTTTGGGTTTTAATGGTGTTGCAAGTGCTCCTAAATATTCTATGGTATGGCATGTAATAAATATGCTGGTTGCATAGAGGATACAAGAAATAGTGTTTTGCAAACATTTATTTAACTTTACACAGTATTGTTTTCTTTGTATTTAAATACATCTCGGTTGCTGTGGTTTAGAGATTTTTAAGGGCTGTGGAGTTCGTCTTGATTTCTGACACCCTGTAGAAGTGTGTACTATCTGTGGTTTACTTTCTGATTGCGGACAGCGCAATGTTCTGTACGTCGCAGTTACTCACACTTACTGCTGTTTGTTTGCGTTGTGCTGTCTATCCATCGTACTGATAGGCTTCGAAGCACAGACCTTTCCCACAACCCTGACAGCACCAGCCAGCCCGACAGAGACGGCACACAAGACAAAGGAACTGAACAGGCCAAAGAGGTAAATCCGTGGGGACTGGGCTTTATCTTGCATGCATTCCACTGACATCAAACCATCTTTGGCCTGCCAGATCTTGTGTTTGTCAGATATTGTACATTGATTGTTTTCAAATCGCATGCCCACTGTGAGAAGGGCATGAAGCAGGGGTCTCAAACACATTTCCTGGTGGGCATTGTGTCCTATTTTGTTCCAATTTGAGTTGTCAATTAAACCATTAACATAATGTATTAAAAAAAATAGATATATAAGGTATTTTACAGTTGATTGCACAAGACATTCACTTCATTAAAGTACAGCAATAGTTACTTGTTAATCAGCACAGAGGCTGGTTAGACGTACAGCAGTTATGCAGCTAAATAAACAGACCAGCTATATAAGTGAGAATGTGGTTAGAACAAGCACCAGGAAAACTCATCCCCTGTCTAAAGCTTCAGGTTGATTAATGCTATTTCCTTAAAAACACACGACGGAAAATTTTATTTTATGGCACTTGAGTGAGGATCTTTGCACTATACAGTACCTCTGTGAATACTGGCTGCAATATGTACATGTACTGTATAGCAGTTTGGGTGGGGAGCTCAGACATGCTACATGAAAGACGTTTGTGCACTCAAGGATGCTAAAATCCCAGATGTTCTGAATAATGCCGTACTGAGGTTATAATACAAATAACTCAAAGCTGATAAGAAGAAATTATGGATTTCACTTGAAGTGATATCTACCAGTTTTGATATAGGCAATAGCTGATGTAGGCAAAACTCATTAAACTACTTTCATTCAACAGAAACTAATTAAAAGCATTTTCAGGGATGGAAGGTTACATACAAGAGGAGGTTAATCAGTTGATAGTAGTAAAATAGGTTTTCTTAAGTTTTCTCTCTCATACAGTAAAAGCTCACACATGGATGCACGGGATTTTCTAACAGCGCATTGCTAATTGGCATTCTGAATTGTTTTTAGAGTAGTCAGGCAGCTGGCACGGTTTGCTGGGCTGAATCAGTGTCCCCTCCTCCAGGGCAAGACTCCAACAGGGGCTCGGAGGGGATCCACTCAGGCAGCAATGAGGCCGCATCTACCGACGGGAAAGGTGAGCATCTCTTCATGCTTCGTTTTGCCCCAATGCTCCTCCCCCTCATACGTGAGGTGTGCCCGATGCCAATTTGTGAGGCTGAAGCGCTTAGGGGGAGCTACAGTGTGCGACCAGGGATGATAGCCGATGAGGAGTGGCTTGATTGAGCCAGAGTCCTCTGTAATCTGTTTTCAGATTGCATGACTTTGCAGTGTGTTCCCAATGTAGAACTCTGCCTGGGTGTTTTAATAATAAGAATGAATAATTCCTTACACTTGCTACTGATACTTTGCACTTTTCTGGACACTCCAATCAAAGCTCTTTCCAGGTAATGGGGAATCCCACTGCCACCACCCCACTTGGATGATGCAACGGCAGCTATAGTGCGCCAGTCCGCTCACCACACATCAGTGGGGAGGAAAACAGAGGGATGAAGATAATTCATAGTTTTGGAATGATCGAGGAGTATTCTGGCAAAAGCCATCTTGCCAGGTACAGTGCTGTGACTCGTGTGCGTCTCTGCTCTTCGCTGCAGCTCAGGCGCCGCCCCTCATACCCCCGTCCAACTGGACCTCCCCGGCCGTGAGGGAGCTGAAGGCGAAGCTGCGGCAGGAGAAGGACTGTGTGGTGACCGTTTACCGCGGCGACATCATGACGGTGCACGTGCCCACCATCCCGGAGGGAAAGAGGGTGTGCTGGGAGTTTGCCACGGACAACTACGACATCGGCTTCGGGATCTATTTCGACCGGACGCCGGTCACCAGCCGAGCCATCACCGTGCAGATCAGCGAGTCCAGTGATGACGAGGATGATGAAGATGAGCTGGAGGGTGAGTCTTGCTGCCTTTCTCCTTTTTGTAGACTCTCTATTTTTACAAAAACTTATAAATAGGGGATCAGACTTTTTGAAGTCCTCGTCTTATTCTGTAGAAAACAAAAACTGCATAAACTGAATATTTTAAGTACTGTACCAGAAAGCTTTAACAAATACTTATTGATATTAAAAAAATTGGGTTGCCATTGAGATAATAATATTGCATGGAGGTTCTGATGTTGAATGGATGATGATTTTAATTTGTTCTATCCTGTTGGAACACACTCTGGGCCTTTTTTTCTCTTCCAAATTTTTTCGAACTGCCAGTAAACACCAGTTTACTGTATTTTGAATGTGTTAAATACATTCAGATGATGAAAACAAAGAATTTACCATTTTTTTCCAAGCTTACGCAGTGATAGAATTATTTCCAGAAAGTGGGGCACATGCTTTACTGTGGTGAAGAAAGCTTTGGAAATGTAGTAAATGTATAGAGTCAATGGAACCAGAACTGTCTCTCTTTTCCATGCAGGATCCATCGTCCCAGGAGATGTAGAGAAAGGCACGAAGTCCTCTCCCAACTCGCATTTAGGTGAGATTCTTCCAGTGTATCGACAGGACAGCCACTTAGCAGTGCAGGGTGGCAGTCATGAATACCCGGGCGAAGGGACATACCTGTTCAAGTTTGATAACTCTTACTCTCTGTGGAGGAATAAAACGCTGTACTACAGGATATATTACAGCATCTGAGCACTCAGCGACATTGCGAAGATGAATGTCTGAAAGAAGAACTTTAGAGATCTGTTTGTTTGTTTTTATTTGATGTGATATCGTGTTTATGGATCAGGGCTAGGAAAAAAAGTCTATATTTTTTTTAAATTGACCAATATTATTGTTATTGTGATAGTTAAGTAGTGTAAGCCACATATTGTCATTCTGGACAGCAGTACAACTGAGTAACATGTTACTCATACTCCTGGAAAATGAATTTTCAAAGCTGAATAGTACAGCTGTTTTAGGTCATTATTATTTAAGCTTCACTGATGTTATATTATAAAGTTCCTTATTTGCAAGGTTTTGGTTTACATGCTCTGTGTAATAAATACGAGGATCTATAGTGCTGAAGAGACCCCATTGTTTTTGCAATGATGGATATTTATATGAGAAAAGAAAGAAAATGTATTTAGATTTATATAGAGATTAATAGAAAGACCTTTAATATTATAAAGGGTAAGATATTCTGTAATGGAACACACTCATGGCAGACTGGTTATGAAATACATTTGACAATCGTAATACATTTTCATGTAGCCATGCTCATTTATACCATCCTGTCACTGTGTTTCTTCAGGTGCCTAAGCTTTTGGTTTTATTCATTTTTTTCTTTATGAAGTCTAACCTTTCATATGATTGAGCAGAAAGATCCTGAAAGAAATCTTGATTCCTTGTGTTCATTTCAGTACATCAAAATGTTTACATAGACTAACAGAAAATGCAGTAATAGGATTGGACATTACAATTTTACACGTGCTCAATCAAACTGGCAGCTTGCCTAATATATTTATTCAGATCTTTTCATTAGGATATCAGTTTTAAAAAAGGAACCTGTTGTCACATTCAGGGAACCAAACCCACTTGACATTAAACTATTGGATTACACCCTGGACTTCAGCCTCTTTGGGTGTAGAATAAAGAGCTCATTTTTAACAGAACTGAGAGAACCCCTTACAAAAGCTTATTTACTGCCAGATTTGAAATGTATATACTTAAAAGTAGAGAATTCACATAGGATATATCCATGACAGCCGGCCTCCAGAAAAAGATTTATGTGGAAAAAAAAACATGACTTTAATTGGAATAAAATGAAGGGTGCACTTGAGTTTAATTTTGATGTACTGAATTAAAAAATAGCTTTTCTTATCTCAGAAAAGTGCTCTGTTGTGTTGCCTGTGGGTTTAATATTGGCTCTTTCCTTAGTTTAATACAGTGCAAAACCTGGGGCATATTTCATTTGTACAAGCGGGTGCACTGGAGCAGAGAAGGAAAGGCGGGTGGGTCTTTGCACTAGGTGCTTAGTGTATTCTGTAACCCTGTTTAGGTCAAACTGACACTAAACTCTTTTGTGCTAAGTAACTCACTGTGGTTCAGCTATGTTTTTCCTTATATTCAGAAATCAGCTTACATAATTTCACCACTCTCTTGATTACTCTGTTTCTTTACGTTGAAGCAACTAGTTCCAATTGGTTGGAAAAGTTTATTTTGCTGTAATAAACATTTTATATCTCTAGCGCTCATAGCCATTTCCAAAGAAATCACATATTATGCTGCTATACAGATAACTGCTGATTGCATTCGTTGTGCTGTAAATTTCTCTTGTACTAGGTCACTGTGCGCTCTTTCTGACATCTTTTTTAAGTCAATAAATTCATTTTGCTTTACCATCTTTGTTACACTGGATTTTGTCTTTACGTGAACAGTGTAAAGGTTTTTTCAGATGTGTCAGAACTGTGCTTTGTGTCAGTATATTTCTCCCTCTCCTGTTGAAACGTCTTTCAGAAAACTCTTGGTGCAATCTTTTCATTTCAGTAGTTTATAGTTTTGTCTTTTCTGAACTATTCTCCATGTTATTTGCTCATTTTAACAGGTTGCAAGATGTTTATCTGACTCTCTGTACGTGCAGTAGAATAAATTCTTATGTGGAACTGTGATGCAGCTCCTTCTTTTTCTTGAGCTCACCTCCTGAGAATTATATTTGTCTTTAAGCATCAGAAACATCTTCAGCAGCTTTATGAGATGTGTCCTGGCTCAGTGTCTGTTCATCGGCTTATACAATGTTGTGTAAACTAAAATAGCACTGAAGTTAAATGCTTTTTAAAGTTCACACCACTAACATTGAGCAAACAACTAATTGTATAGTATCAAAGAAGCTGATGACAAATCTATCCCTTTGATTCCGGGATTTAATTCAACCTGAACTGGAAAGTATTTAAAAGCCCTACTTTTTAAGATTCTTATTATTCTGGAAGTATATGCTTTTATATACTTGGGGGCTTGGAAAAGGCAACAAATTAGTAATGGAATTATTTAGCTTTTGTAACATTTTTAATTGCTCACTATACTTTTAATATGATGTTTAATTTTTGCAAAGTTCAAATATTTCTGAGAAACATACAGAAACTTTACACCCCTTTAGAACAGATCCTGGATGCTTTGGAAATCCACTGATGTACAGAACAGGTGGCTGTTTTTCATACATTGTAATCATATTACATTGATACCAGAGAAACATGAATTCCCAGTCAATGACTGTGAACGGAATTGTGTTGACACCAGAATTTGTATCTTCCCCTTAATTGTTCAATTATTTCTCTTTGTGACAGCTGAGGTGAATGTTGCTGCCATATAATTGTTTGCACTGTGCCTGCCTTAATTTCTGTGCAATACAATTGACCTACTGATACTGAGATTCTGATCATCTTATCTCACAGAAGTCCCATTTAGAACAAGCTAAAATTGATATAATTTAATCTATGAACTTCAGGGTTATTACTGACTCCTCTGTGTGAACAACCTGATAATGATACAAAATACAAAAAATAAACGTGCAGCTTTTTTCTTATCAATTTAATAACATAATCAGTTATATTAACTTCTAATGTTAAAAACCTTCTGTTTAACATCCACATAAGTCCTCTAAGAATTATCCACAATCATGTTCAAATTACTGCAATAAAATATTGCCATATCAGTCACGTTCATGAGATTACTGGTAAGTGTTTTCTTTCTAACCGTAGTAAATTGTGCTATTGAAAAGGAAAATTTAGTTTTGGCTCCTTTATATCTTTTAAAATCTATTAGTTAAACTGAGCATAATATATGATTGATAGGATCAAAGGTTCAATATTGTAATACATTTGGTGACTGACATTGGTTTTGGAGTTGTTTTAGACTAATCCAGTTACTATCAGTTTCCAATGATGGCCAATGCCAGTATGAATTAAGCAAGTAACATGTTGAGTTAGCAGTACCCATGTTCTTGGATTGACTGGCACTCAGATATATTTTTATATTCTAGCAAAATTTAGCAAATTACCTGATTAACTTATCAATTTAGAAATAGTCCATTTACTGGTGATCTATACAATCAGATGGATTGGGACTCTCCAGGACCAGTGTTCAAGATCCTTGTATTAAATGATGTAGGTTTAAAATACCTTTATTCCTGACAACCAAGAAAAAAATAAGGTGTCCTAATAATATTAAACATATTTAATGTGTATCGATTCTCGATACATGTTCAATGTGGCTGCAGGTTTTCAAGATCGCCTTACATCAGCAGCACCTGAAGAGCTGAGAGAACCTGTTAAATTGCCCCAGTTAAGCCAGTAAGCCAGCTTGTGGAGCCTGTCAGGAGTGGAGCTGGAATGAAAATCTGGAGACACACTGGCCCTCCAGGAGAAGTACTGTGTCTATGCCTTGGGCCTGTGACTCTTCCAGTCCATTCCACAGCCTTGCTTTGAATGATTTCATTCATGATTAAATCAGTACAGCAATTAAGGAGTTGGCTGTATCAAAATAGTGGAGCGGCGTTGAATGGCTCCATGGGTTGAAAAGCCCTGTCTTATACAACAATCAATGTATGATTCCAGTAAGATTAAAATCTGGGAAAATACTTTTTTCCCCGCGATGGAACTGCTGGTTCTCTGGGTCCCATAGCTCTCATTATAGAAAGCTGATTTGCCAGTCAAGTAAACCACCTGAGAAGCTAAATTGCTTCTAAACGTAGCTGAGCGCCTCATGATGAAAGGATTGCAGTATAGCCTGCAAACTACAGTGGGAATTCTTACTTTGTCAGTTTGAAACACAGGTCGTTAAAACCAACAGAGATTAACACTGCCTCTTCTGCGCCCGCCTGGACGTTCAAAAGATTGCTTCAATAGAAGTTAAATACAGAAATTAAAATACATTGTCTTTTCTAAGGTTTTCATTAACCAATACCGATTTAGGGCTTGGTATTCAACGTCATTATAAGCGAGACGCCAAGGGGTTGACGTAATTTGTACTGTGGTGCGTCCGTCGTTTCACAGTGTTTGAAATGAAGTGGCGGGCTAGTATTTATATGTAAAAGTTTGCAAAGCCGCACATTTAACATAAATCAGACAAGTACTTAAAAGTGCGTTTTAAATGTATAATTCTTAAAGACTGGTTGAGATGGGGAGGGTCAATTTTTTTGCTCTCTGGTCCTTGCGAGACGCACCCCAGCAATTCATCAGGTAGTTACAGAAAGATTTTCGGATAATTGAAAACGCTACATCCTCGAAGATAAGCATTTAGATAGATGGTGTTCTTTGTTTGAATAAGCCGCAGTATTGTAGTAACCGAACGTCTTGTAATAAAATAGTTTCATGCAATTACAGGTAAAATAGGCTACATAAATTGCAACTATTTGAATAGTTAGGTCAGGTGTCTTTTCAATTTATGCTCTTTAGGGCTAAGCAGTTGTAATTCACCTTTTGTGTTTTACCAAAACGCGTCGTTATTTTATGATTATTGTGAGTTGCAGGTTTTGAAATATCGAGAGCGTTCCTTTACTAAGCATAAATTCGCAGTTAGTGAAGTGTAAATGTTTGTGTTGGTAAAGGCACAGGTTAGCGGTAGAGTTGGAATCTGCTTTTGTTTGATGAAATCTCGAAATGGCAACCAGATACTGCTGTGTTCCCCCCTTCAGTAAATCAAACCGTCTGAGCTACCGGGCGCAGTTACCTTTGCCTCTGCCAAAACAGCTCGTCGTGTTCAGCCTTGGAGACTGGAAGTCGTATTCCAGCGATACCACCATCTCCGTAGAGGTGCTGGTCAGCCCCGATGTCAAGCCACAGAAGATTGGTGGTCTTTCCTCAGAAACAAGGTACCCGTTTCTGTAACAACGTGTAGTGTAATGAACAAAACCAGACTGCACTTGCAAGCTATGGTATTGGGCCTTTCCTTGTTTAAATAACATTGTAACGGTAGAATAGGTCGCTTTCAGACAAGGCATCTCCCCAAATAAACGTTGATGTCCAGAGACGGAGCATTGGAGTTAAGTTGTACTGTCCGCTCCTAGCAAATGCAGTTTTTAATTTCTTTTCACTTCATGTTGTTATAAAATGTACATGAAGGTGCCTGGTGTGGGAGGGGGACTGGAGGCTGGACCTTCTGACCGCTGCAATGGAGCAGGCAGATCTTGGGGTCTCTGGGAAAATTGTGCTGACCGTCAGTGGGAAGGTAAGGCAAGACGCTAGTGCTGGGGGTCGTTCTTGTAACTGGCTGGGCAGATAGCCCTCTCTGGGGCAACTTGCAAAACAGACGCAGGCATAAAGTAAATACCTAACAAATCATTCAAATACCGTAGAAGAAATAGAAAGTGACTGAGTGAGGCAGCCATGTTAGAAGTGTAATACAGAGTAAAAACAAAGCCCATCAGGTGGTAAATGGTGTGCAGGAAATAATTGAAGATTAGAATAGCAATGCAGCAGAGCACAGAAGATTGTGAGTGCAAGAAAGATCACAGGTGCGGCCTTAACCTCACTCTGGTGCCTAATATGAATAAACTATTTGTGCATTTTACTTTTTGCTTCTTGCAAAGGTATTTTAACACTCCCAAAGAATGATGTGTTCGTTTTTATTTAGCAATAGGTTAAGGAAAGTCAAAACTTTTTACATCCGCTGTAAGGTTCTAAATCCGCCATTTTAAAGCTTCGCCTGGCTACAAAGGAGAATTTCAAACAGTCACCTTTTGCTGGGCAGACGGCCCTTGAAAGTGTTCATCCCGAAATGTTTTCTCTAACAGGCCAAAGCTAGCTTCACAAGCAGCACGCCGATGTCGTCACGGAAACGCCTCAGTCTGGACTGGCAGGCCTCCTCACAACAGGTGGAGACCTTTGCTACAAAGCTTTACAGAGGAGGAACTCGGCTGGTGAGAACAAGCACAAGCTGATCTAAAACAGTTGTGAGCAACCAATACAGGTAGAAAACATCTGACAACAAGAGTTGAGTTGATAGTGTCACTTTTCTTCACCCCTTATTGCTTTCTAGGTGTGTTTGCCAGGAAACTTTCATTTTTCTTTTTTTTTTAAATAACAAGGATTATTTAATTGTGTCAAAAAGTGACATGTAAATGAGTATGGGGTGCTTTCTTTGTCCCGTTCTTTGACTTTCTAAGCACTATCGCAAGTGATAAAAAGAAGGACAAAACTGGATTCAGCAAGTTCATAGTAACCTTTAGAAATGGCACTGTTTCGTTTGACAAACTGTCTTAAAAATCTGCATGAACTGAGCGTTCTCGTATATTGTTACAAACGCGTGAAGAGCCCTGAACCCACAGTGTGGAGAAAGAGTAGGAGCCAGAGTACAAGCTCTGCAGAGCTGAGCAAGACACGGTGCGAGACCAGAGACTGCTCCCCATTGAAAAAGCCGCCAGCCCTGTCAATGGTAGGTAGTGATCAGGAATGCTATGGTGGCGAGCACACATTCTGAGAAATGTATGTGTTTAAAAACTAGTTTGATGTTTTTCTTATGCAGGATCATGCACCTAAAAATACAGTTTTTGGGAAGAGAGTGCTCAGGAACTCAAGTTCAGGAGAGCTTAGCAGCTCCCAGAATTCCACTGAAGATCCCAGCCTGAGGAAGAAGCGCTGTGTGCGATCAGCATTGCGAAGCGATGAAGAGAAAACAGTGTTGTGCTTGAGGAAATCTGGCAAAGCAAGTACGTCCCAGTCTCTTATAAGGGCGATCCATGTAGTATCTCTGTTCATAATGCAATTACATCTGATAGTTGTCTTTTTGATTTGTATGTTGTAATTAATGTAGTATTAACATTTCAGCTATCTTTTTTTTTCCCCATCTAGAAACCATTAATATTTTATGTGTGATTTGGGAGAAATGTGCCAGAAGTATAAGAAGTATAAGTATAGGCTTTTAATTATTTCCTCAGTTCCACATATAGCCTGGAAAAGGAAACGGTACTTATCCTTGATTGTGTTAGTGTTTCATGAGATGCATAGATATTGTCTAATTGGACAGAAATAAAGCATTACTAAATACATGTAATTACATTGCTCACAGTAATAGGTGTAGGTAATACAGTAAGTAAAAAGAATTCCTTACTGAAGCTTTCTCATGTCAGAGCAGAGTCATGGCCTTGCTGAGAAATGAACTCTTTTGCTGTAGTTTGTCCCAGTCCGCGGTGGAGTCACACGATGTGCCTCAGTGACCCCGAGACTGCAGTTCTGATCGGAGGAGAGTCAAAAGAGCAGACGCACTGCAAGGACTCACTTTGGAAGCTTGAGATTGGTGAGCAGCCGCTGGAATCCTCTATTCACACCCTTAGTATTGTGAGGTCTGACGTTTTTTTTTAATGTTTTGCCGATTGTGAATACTTGCCGGCTAAGGAAAGCAATATTTTTAGGAATTCCATTTTTATTTTATTTATGGTAATAGAAAAAGCACCCGTGTTTGAAGGCAGTGGAGGTTTGTGAAGCAACAGTCGTACTGGGAGAACCTCATGAGCGTATGAGTTTATGAAGCGTTAATGTTCTGTTGTACGTGCGAACGCAGATTGATGTTCAACCCTTTATCCCACATAAAACTATAAAACACCATTGCAGGAAGTGACCTGGTCTTGTGTCTTTTGGTGCAGATAATGACTTTTGGTTTCCAATGGACTCCTCTGCCTCAGGCCCCACCCCACCCTCCTCGCTTGGTCACTCTGCGACATATGACCCCGAATCCAAGAAAATATACGTCTTTGGTGGCATGAAAGATGGGAAACGTTATAGTGACATTTACATCCTCTGTACCTTGACCTGGAAGTGGTCTCGCATTGCTGTGAGTTTAGCAGGAAGTGCTCCGTACACCTTTGATTATATATTTTCAAAAGGTCATTGTTTTTGTTTTTGGGTCTGGTACCCACCCAAACTTCCTGAATATTTGTTAACTGTGTAAGAGTTTGGAAATGGTCTAATCTGTTTACTGCCTTGAGAAAACAATCCATCGTTGTTCAGCCTCATCAGCCATGTGCTGATTTCATAACAGCTCAATTTGCGTGGCTTGCAGGCAAAAGGCAAAGTTCCAACGCTGGCTTACCACAGCGCTACCATTTACAAGAAGGAACTGTTCGTCTTCGGTGGCGTCTATCCCAGCCGCTCTCCTGAAGGCAAGGCCTGCAGCAACGCCCTGTACATCTTCAATCCCGAGTATGAGCTGTGGTACCAGCCCATCGTTGAGGGAGACAAGCCCCTGCCAAGATTTGGGTCAGTCTCTCTTTATTTAGCATGATTTCTTTATTTTATCATCTTTAGCAACTCTTTTTATCCCACTTTCTATTTAGTATTTTTCTGTGGAGAAAGACTTACAAGGGGAAGGAATTAAAGGAATTTGCATATTACACCTTACCCCATCTTTAATAAGAGAGGGTTGATGAGATGGTGTAAAGGAATGCAATCAAATGTTAATGCTCTGTTCTTTTTATTCTTATAGGCACACTGCTACCCTGTTGATGAATAAGCTGATTATTTTTGGAGGGAAAAAGACTCCAGCCTATCTGAGTGATCTCCATATAATGGATCTAGGTATTACCAGACTGTATGTGTGGCAAGGTTCACAGTTGTTTTTTTACTGCAATTTAAGCTGTGTTAACAAATAGTTTCTCATTTCGTGGCACTGGCAATTAGTGCATTTTATTCTTTATTCTGATTTTGGTAATCTGAGCATCAATAGAACACTTAGAACTGCAATGAGTTCCCAATATATCTATTTTTGTAGCAGGCTCATTGGAATTTTAACGAATAGGCATGACCTAGGTCAAGTCATTATGCTGATTGAGACCTATCACTATTGGGGATTATCACTGGCCAGTGGTGTGTGTGTGTGGCCACAGTTGTAAGTCTGTACTTAAACACTCAACTTTAAGTTGTTGCTGGTGGTGGTCCATCCACCAATTTGCAGATGCTGTCATGCAATGGAATCCCTCAATCTTCTTGTAGAGCCTGGACAAGCTTGTGCAAATTCAATAGTTTCTGTGCTCTAGATGTGAAGCATAATCCCACAGATGTTCAGTGGGGCCCAAGTCTGAAGATCACTGCTTCCTTGACGTAATTATTCTTACACAAGCATGCGAGCTATAGGAATGTTATATACCAGGATGAGACCATCTGGAAGGCAGCAAGTGAGGTGCCAGGACTTTAACGCCATCCACTCAGATTTCCTTCAAGCACCACAAGTGGAGTTCTATATCAATGAGATCCTCCTGTCCACAGTGTCACACTTGCACATTGCAATTGATTAGTCAAATGCGAACAATGCCTCATTCTGCACATCCACACATCACTTGCCAAACTCCATCAGGGTGATCTGCACATGTCCTCCATTCCTGGTGAGTTCACCTGACATTATCTGGCCTCCAGCATACCAATGGCACAGATGCATAATTCTCTGTGCAACTAAACTGTGCATATTGATTCCTATCTGTGTTTTTATTTTCCAGATTTAATGGTTTAAATCAACTCATTATCCGTGTCCAATTAACCAAATGCCAAAAAATCTTTAGTCAATACTGTGTACTTATAGTGGTTTCTTTTGATGGTTTTGGTTTCTTATTAAATTTACTGTGCATGTATTAAGGGCAAATGCTATAGAAGAACAGGTTTTTTTAGATAGCTACTGCAGGTCTTTGTGAATAAGTAATTATTTAAGGTGCTTAACTCTCTGTGGTTCTTCTTTGTTGATCTTGTGAAACAGTGTTGAGGTTTTAAGGTTGCTTGAAGTAGATTTTTACCTCTCAAAACTCTTCTGTTCCAGGCTTCATGGAGTACACAGCTGTTAAGTATGAAAACACTCCTCCAGTGCCTCGTGGGTGAGAATCATTTCAAGTTTGAGTTCTGAGAAAAGAAGGGTATTCTGATATCCTTCAGAATAGAAGGAAATTGTAAAAATTGACTTTGGTGAATGTCTGTTTAAGGAGTAGTATACTATGGCAAAAATTACATGGTGAATTATAGTAAATCCACCAATGTCATTGTCAGATTCCATGCAGCTGTACCAGTGTCTGATTACAAAATACTGATCAGTGGTGGCTGTAGTACCAATGGGGCCCTTCAGGACATTCATTTATTTAATTTAGGTAAGTAACAAATGTAAACTTCCACAAGCACCAGTCTATTTTGTGAACTGTTAAATGCATCGCTAGAATTTGCTGCTGCTGAAAGTTATGTACTTTAATTTGTAGGAAAGCACTAATATAAAATTAGAAGTGTTCTGTATTCTTCCGTAATGTGTTTTTTGTTTCGTTTTTATTTGTGTGCAACATGATGATATCTCCCTTAGGGCTTGCAGGAAAGTTGGGTGTAAATCCACGGCTTATTTTTGCATTGGGTTGTTGCGCTTTCTATTTGAATCTTTACCTAATTAAGGCCAAACAGTTTTCCTCAACTTAACCCTCTTAAGAAGGCCAACTCATTTGTTATTGTCATGCGACTGAGAGCTGGCTCAGGCAGTCAGCGTTCCTCTCTCTTCCAGAAAGCTGCACTTGGAGTTCTGTACCATCGCCAGCGCTTAGTGCAGTACCCCGGGCCGGACACAGCATGGTCAATCTCGCCTGGCCACACCTCACTGATGCGGACAAGCAGAGGCAGGGGAACAGGACCTGCTGTACTATCCTTGTTTTCGGTGGCTCCGACTGTGCTGGAAACTTCTACAACGACACCCTCAAAACCGTTGTAGAACTAGAAACGGAGAGCAAAAAGCCATGTCCTTAATATGCGATGTTATGAACTTAAACATAAGTGTTTGTTTACATTTAGCAGCAGAGATTGGATTTGGGAGAGTGATTATTTTTCCAATTTTTGAAATTTTGAAGTTTTTAAGAGCAGGTTTTGGTGTGTAATTCAACAGACCATTAGATTTAAAAGCAGAAAATTAGTTTTTATTTTTTTAATTATATAATCTATATTTTGAGCCTTTTTTTTTTTTTGCAGGGTAGACAAATATCTTTGAATTTTTGTGCCAGTAGGTTATAGATTTTAGGATGGTATAAAATGGCTTACAGTGCTCAACATTGTCACTTTCTTGCCTAGCAATTTGTTTTTGTGAGGTTCATAGATATGGAGTCTGTCTGAAAGGACTGAAGTGTATAACCTTACTTTCTGGCAGTCTGAAGTCACTTTTATACTTGCTGTAAATCAGTTGGTATTTTTCAACTCTGAAATGCACCTCATCTGGGAATTGGGGACTTTTTGTTAAGATAATGTAGCACTGTTAAATCATTTTGAAAGACTTGTTTTCACTACCAAGCCTTGTACCCCTAATAGTAATAAACCTAAGCAAAAAAAAAGATTCTAAATCTCCTGTCATAACGAACCAGACTAAGATGTAAACATATTGTACAATATAAATACCAAAATTTGTTTTAGGATTGGGTTACCTCATTTTGAAAGGACTAATTGAAGTTTTGATAAAGCCTATTCAAATGCACATACAACTAGAAACCATCTGAGTTCAGCAGCTAGAGGTGCTGTAGCTCCCCCACATGCCTGAAGACACTTGTGACACTCAAGGAGGCGGCTTGTCCGATTCATACTGTGGGTTTAGCTTTATCTCCTTTCTGTGTTATAAACTGGTGCTTCTAACTGCTTTTTAATAAGTACAAATAACCATCCATTACCAGAAAGACTCTTTTCTTTCCACAAAGTCTACAAAGGGAGGGTGACGGGAAAGCAGAAGTGAAGGGAGCACATGGGACCTCCCCACCCCCCCATGCACAACACATTGTATGCTTATAGAGAACCAATCAAACCTAATCTGCATGTGTTCGAGAGGTGAGAGAAACCCACTGGGTACATGCTAGTTCCATCCATATTCTTACAGCTGGATTCAAACCCAGGACCTTGCTACTCTGAGGCAACAGTGGTAGCTGCTTCTACTGCTAATAAAATGTAATAGTATTTATATCAGAGTACTGTAGCTTAGTGTCCCCTAAGACTGTAGAAATTAGTGATGAGATCAAGACTTTTCACTGTGACCACAGCCTGATAAATGAAAACCGGGTATTAGTATTTTTAGCTCCACTATCCAACAGTGAAAACCTGGGAACCTGTAATCTATAACTTTGTAAATGGTGAAAGGTTTAGTTGTCTCTCCCCCACCACCCCCCCCCAGTGCACAAAAGTACCCCGGTGCTAAATATAGATGCTACTGAGACGATTGAGGTTTCTGCTGTGGAGGTGGTTGGAAGGAATGCAGAAAAGAGAAGACAGCCAATTCACCTACAGTTGGAATCTGAAAAAAAAACATCATAAATGGGAAGAAAATTTTTCACCATTTATTTTTAACGTTGGGACTTCACTTGTACAGTGTTCCATCATAAATCAGTTATTTTTCACACCTGGTCATTTTGCAGTTCCACTGCGTGCTTCCAGATTGAAGAGCACTGGACAGGCCTTTCCAGCTCCACTTTGGTAGAGCAGCTGCAGAGCAGTCCTACACACGCAGGTCTGCTGGGGTGTCAGGCTGGCATGAGGGGTGACTCGTCTGAAATGCTTCCATCTCCAGCAAGGTCTGGTTCAGCCTCTTGATAGTTGGGAATGGAGTGAGGTCCACCTTAAATCTAATTGATAAACGCAGGTTCCCTTAAGTGGTGAAGTTTTATTTCTCTATTGGAGACTTGCTTTGACAGTTAAAATGTAAAAACCTATGATGCTTGAGGTGGTCAGAATTAATTAGTGCATCCGTGTTACAGGCAGCATTAGAGAAAAAATTAAAAACACTGTTTTTGTCACAGTGAGTTTCACCAAATCTTCAGAAATTGTATATAGCTTTTACTCAGGAATTAAATAGGTGTATCCCTTTTAACTGAAAGCACTATGGGGATAAACTGCATAACCTTCTGGGTTGTGTTTATTAAAATGCACAAATGTTTTAGGTATGTTGAACAAATACCTTTCATAGTTTAGAAAGGACGATTTCAAGTTATTTTGGGTAGACCAAGGCCACTTACTTAATTGCCATCTTTCATTTTGAGAAATCATTTCATTAACCAGTCCTGGTCTTACCTCTCTGCATTATAAACTTGGGGTACCAAGCAAACATCTGCCATTGAGATCTACAAAAATGAGAAAGCATCAGTCATTCACTTGCTAAAACAAGACTTACTGAAAGAAAAGGCCTGCACAGCTTTGTACCTGTTAAATATTTAGCTAGCTTATCTTATGTGAGTGCAAAGTTCATAACTTCTATAGTGACCAAATTTAGAAACCTTGGCACTTGGACAATTGCAGAGAGGCGAAGTCAAACTGAAAATGAGGTATTAAAGTCTTCCCAGAAGACCTTCTACTGACTTGCTCAGTAGATTATGGACTTAAACTTTTTCATGCATTTTACTTTACCTCATTGCCGACGCAGTACTTTCCCGATGTTTGCTGCAGGAGGTTTTCCAGTGCTGGAGAAACATGGTGAACACTTATCAGCCCAGGCAAAGTGCCATGTCCAATTAAGCCAGAATCACCAGATGTGGTTAACAGTTTGGAATCATTCATATCTTGACAGTCAGAAATAAAAACTATAATGATTTACTAGCTTGCAGCACAATAATGTGATGTTCCTGTTGAGAATTTATGTACTATATACAATAAGATACAGAATAAATGTTTTAAATGTTTCAGGACTTTAAAAAGCAAAGAAGAAAGTGTCACGCTACTGTATGTAGAACGTTCTGCAGGAAATCCTATGAAGTGGGTAGGGTGCAATGCGACAGTTCTCAGACACACCTTGGAAACCTCTGATGATGAAATGCTGTGCCCATTCCACTTTATCAGTCCCAATCTTCTGTAGTACATACAGGTTCTGTGGGAACAGAAAAGATCTTGCATCACATAGTTTAAGCATTTGTTTCTAATAAAACGTTTTTAATTAGCTCATTTATTGGTATCGTATGGACAATTGATCAGAATGTTCATTCATTTCCGAACATTCTGCACCTAAAGTACCTTGTGTTAAAATCAAACAGCTTTTGACAAGATTATTACCTCAATATAGTAATCTGTTCACCCTCTCTGTGATGTAATAATCGTCAATTACTTGGCGATAGCTTAAAGGAAGATTTTCTTTTAATTAAGAAGAATTTGTATCATGGTATTTATCACAGATGTCGGCTTGTATGAGTTACTTGAAGGGAGAATGTAGGTTTCAGCCAAGGGGCATTCACATTAACTTGTGCATTCTGTTACCTGAAGGGGCTGGATCCCTGAGACAATGTGGTCACAGATCATGCGCACCTGGGCGCGCTGCTTGGGCTCAGCTGGGAGCAGGCGTGGTCCAGGTCTGGTCTCATCAAGGTACTGGATAATTGCAAGCTGGGGATGATGGGAGAAAATGTTTAAACGGGTATAAGTACATCAGTGTCTCTAACCTGCATGCATACAATGTTTACTTAATTTTTGAATTCCTGCAATGCAAGGAATATGGGTTAGAATGGAAAATATGTCTATTTCCAACTGAGTAGTACAGAATGTGAAGGGAAATAAAATTTGGGGGAAAAGGTGGAAAATATTTTTCTAATTAGCACATCAACACATTCTTTTATTAATGTTTTGTTGCTTAACTGTTCTAAAGATGTTTTAATCTGGATCCAATTTACTGTAAAAGGAATCTGTTGGCTTTCAATGGTCTTTAACTGTCCGGACAGCCATGTTTCCAAAAGCTACCAGGATTTCCCAATTCAAACTTACCGACTGGGACAGAGTGATGCCATCGATGCACATTGCAGGCACCTGCTGCATGGGATTTAAGGTCTTGTATTGTTCTGTTAGCTACAATAAGCAAGAAATGATAGATTTTTGTATGAGGCAACTGGGTGATGTTGAGAACTGGATTTAAATATGAACTGGTTTATGAGCTCTATGGCTCTGGCTGGTTTAATACTGTACTTTTACGATTTCATTAAGTCCCACTATTCTGGTTGAATTTTTGTTTTAAGGTCTTTCAAATAAGTGGGTAGTTCTACAAAAAAAAACACTTAACCTTTCCAATATTTTATAGCATATTTTAAACTAAACAAAATCATTTTAAAATTACCAGTTTAAGGTTACCTGCTGACCTCCATCCTTAATAAGATTCACTGGGACTTGGTCGTATGCAATACCTTTCAGCAGAAGAGCTATGGAAGGCAAGACAAGAACCACTTAAGTAATCTTTTACATCTGGTTTCTATTAGGTGTATGCCAGTTTTTGAAAAAGTACTGTATAAAAGGCAAAACGTAAACATAGTTAATGAAATGCTAAAAACAAAAGGTGGCTTTCTGTGCCAATTGCAAGCTTACTGTTATCAGAAAGAACTCACCGATTCGAACTCTCCATGAACAGGAACTCCTGAAATATCCATACAGGACGGGCTACAAGAGACGAAAGAATTTAAATGTAATTCTGTTGCCATTACTTCGGTTTTACACTTGGATTCCAGAACACTTGTGCAATGTGATTCTCACCTTGGTTTGAGTTGCCATAGTACCGTAATATAACGGGGCCGTGACAAAGAGTGAATATCAGTTAAGTTATAGCGATCTTTTCTTTTTATGGCAACCAATCAGATAACGTCCCAAAAATCCTCCTCCTGCCTTTCTCATACCAGCATGACTAAGCACACCCATGCGTGTGGTGACACCATCAAGACGAGCGATGCAGTCCGAAGTCTGGGATCAGGAACGTTTAACAACGACAAACCCCAGATCTGACTCCCGTTGTGCAGATCGAGCATGCGTGCCATTTTACCGAAATCTGCTACATAAAGTTATATTTAGATCCTTTTGTTTGCACAGTAAGTACAATTGCGAAGTAGGTGTGTGCAGTCTTACCCCACCCCCGTCAAAAATGAAAGATTTTCAACTTGTAGCCACTTCTAGCAGTGTCTCCTGCTGTGTAGTACAAGCATAAATTAGTTTAAATCAGGACAATGGCATGGCAATGAACTGAACTTAATACATATTCAATGCACACACACCTATTTACTGTGGCCAGAATAATGAATCATTCGTACTGCAGACGTATGTATATTATAAGGGTGGAATTAGAAGAACTCACAGCAAATCACGTAACGAGAGCGTGTCTCACATTTTTGAAACCGTTCATCTTCCTAAAAGGTTATGCTAATACTTTCACGTATACGCCATGTGTTTTGGGGGTTAGACACTGCGTTGATCCATACACGCACTTTTACCTTTAGCGCGGCACTCATTTTTCCTCGAAATGATGTCGCGATATCACATTTCTCTTTAAATATAAAGCTCCACCCTTGCAGGAGCGTAATATTCTGATTAGTTGGAAAGTATATTGCGCGAAGTGCCGATTGTCGCGTTGACCTCTGGGAATTGTAGTTTTCCCTCCCCCTCTATGTTCGTTAGCTCTCACTCGCTCAGACAAGGCAGTGAACGACATGTCCCAGAACTCCTTGGACGAATGCTGGGGGACCGACAGTAATTCTGCTATGCGTTCGTATAACGCATTGTGTAGAGTTTACTTTTATTCGGATTGATCCTATGGCCAAGCCTCCGTAAACCGTTCATTTTATTTACACACCTTCGAAGTTCATTGTGCTTTTCGACGTAGGTGAAGCCGCACTTCAGAAATGAGGCGTCAATCGCGTATAGAATTTAGACGAGCTTTGTCAAGTACAGTTGGGATTAGGTTTGTTGAATGTAGCTAGAGGCGCTTTTATTTTAAGATTATTTAAATTAATGCTTCGCATTTGTATGATAGTGTAATGTATGGCAGGGATGATAAGATAACGTGTACCTTTTGTATTGCGTACGACTGTAGCGTGCATTTGACCTGTAGTGTAATGTAATTCCCATGTAAACGGTGCTGATGTATCCTGGAGAGGGAGCCTGAACATTAATAATGGACGAGCGGAAAGTTTGAGAAAAACGCAATGTAGTGCACCCTAATTGTTCATTTACATAATTTAAGGATGAGATGTTAAGTAAGAATGTTTTTTTATTTATAACAAGCATTGAGCATGCTGATAAACTAGTAGATGGCACTACAGTGTTAAATACGACAGTACGTATCATTCGATCAAAAGCCGATTTATCTGCAAAAGAAACATAGCTAATTTTCAAAAACGACAACATTAAAAAAAGACCCTAAACCTTCTGTATTTAAATTCTAAGTTTACTAAGCATCAATTACTAGCATTAAAGGTATTTTCTGTTAATTTATTATCCAAAATGCCCATGCAAAGTAGAGTCTACGAAACGCAATCTAACCACAAACAAAATTCCCAAGTCGTAAGGAAGAGAACATGTTGCACTAAAACGCAGGAAGGGAATAAGGGATGGACTATGAACCCTAATGCAAAGGATGCGAATACTAATCTCCAAACCCACTCGCTGCCTAAGGGCGAGAAAACACTCCTGAACGGGCCACATGGAGGACGCTGCGAGCCTTCAACGTTAAGAACAAGTGACGCTAACTCCGAAAAACTACGCGTTGTGCTCTCGCTTGTGCTTGTGACGCTGTTGTCCCTGTTCACAAGGTTTTACAAGATTTTGGAACCGCCTCACATTTGGTAAGGCATTTGTCTCCAAATACCGTTTCTTGTTTTTTATTGTCTGCAATGTGATCTCTCTTTAGTTATCTGAACATTTGCAGTCCTTTCCTCTTTTGTCACTATTTATCCACATAATCCCAATCCCGACGGGAAAATGTTGTGTACCTGTCATGTGGGCGTCATGGAGGAACAACATAAAATGGCACATGAATTTGAGTTTGCATATGCTTCAAGGAGTTTCAGACGAAATCAGAGACGAGTATAGAAACGCCAGGGTGCAGTTGTATCGGTGGATGTGAGCATCTGGCCTGATCTGTTCCTTTTAGCCAGGACAAGTCATTCGGCGTTTTAGAAACGTTTGGTCATTTTCGTTATTACCACGATTTTTCATTTTTTCTTGCAGCTGGGATGAAACCCACTTTGGGAAAATGGGCAGCTACTACATCAACAGGACATTCTTCTTTGACGTGCACCCACCTTTAGGAAAGGTAGGACGACGCGGTCGAGATTAAGACTTATCTGGCTGGCATGGAAAGTGCGATTTGTTATGATTACATCATTTAACCGCTTTACATTAACTACACTTTTTATTGTATGAGGAACTTGTCACATTTCTACAAGAAAAGAAAAACGTTGCTTCCCTCATGTGAAAACACATTGAAATGATCAGAATTCTGCAAGTGCTGTTTTCTAGGGCTTCTCTTTGCTCCGTTCTCCATTGTATACCTATAGTTTTGGAATATGTCACCTGTACTGAGTTCTGGCTGTGAGCTTCCCATCTAAGATCTGTTATGTAGAGTGTATAGATTGTGACTGTCCCCATCTGTTGCCCCTCTCGAGCTAATTTGACACTTATTACTGCTTTTTCCAGATGCTGATTGGGTTAGCTGGGTACCTGACTGGTTATGATGGCAGTTTTCCTTTCATCAAACCCGGAGACAAATACGAACACCACACCTACTGGGGGATGAGAGGGGTAGGAGCTTGTGGCCTTGAAAGAAGGAATGCTATAGCTTTTGTAGTTTATTCAGAAAAAATAATTACGGATGTTACTGCACTATTTAAAAAAAAATGACTAAGATGTATCGGTCATTAATTTTAACCTGGGATTCTGGAATTAAAAACTAGGGTAACAATTCCACGCAGTAATCACTGTTCAGAATGTGATGCAATTTCACCTTATCGATTACTTGTAATGGGCAAACCTCATAAGAAGAATGGAGTTCTTTTCTTGTGTTACTCCAGACTACATGCGTAGTTTTTGAATTGGGGAGCCATTCATTGCTGAGCTTGAGGTGTATTACAAGTCTGCCTCCTGTCTCCTGTGCTTGTCTGGATGTCTGGCTTCAGTTCTGTGCGCTCCTGGGCTCATGTCTGCCGCCTTGTGCCTTCCTCACTGTGCTTGAGCTGTCTGGTTCCCTCCCGGCGGCTCTCCTCGCTGCCTTCATCCTCGTCTTTGGTAAGAGATGTCCTCTTTTTAAGCGCCGCCCTGCCTAAGGCCTGGGGTTCACAGACCAGGCATATTGCATGCAATGTGGAAGTTAATGGACTTAAAACAGACTTTCCATACAGAGCTCCCACACTGCCACCTCCTGACTGCAAACAAATGAGCTGACTGATTAAAGGATGACTGATGTGTTGTTTTGGCTGCTCCATGTTCAATTTTTGGGATGAATGTGAAATAACTTAGGTAGAGATAGACAGTTGGTCCTGTGGAATTGCAGGGTCCTCTGGTTTTTATCCACATCCAGTTTTTAAAGACTTAATTGAACTTATTTAACACCTGTTTTTAAGGTCTTAGTAAGTAGCTAATTGAAAGCAGCTATAAAACCTTAAGGAATCAGCCTCTCGAGGATCATTTACTCATGCCCGATATTGGACACGTTTTCATGGTTAGATGCAACTCCTGCTGCTCTGCTTCAGGAATCCAATATCTAGAGAAGCTTTTGCTCACGGTTCCATTTTGTTGAGTAATGTGCTGCACAAGTTCGCTTTTTTTTTCTCTGTAATGTCACTTCTTTGTCTAGAAAATATTCTTCTCTAAAAAGTATGAACATTTTCAACCTTACTGTGTGTTATATTATATTCACTTTGTGTCTTTTACTTTAGTTTTGTTCTTAATTTTATAAGTAGTAACACTTCCTTTCTTTCCCCAACAGACACTGGCTGTATTACAATTTCACAATACATTCTGCTTGACCCTATCTTAATGTTTTTTATAATGGGAGCTGTACTGAGTATGGTCAAGTTCAATTCACAAAGAGAGGGGTAAGCCGTTTATTTGAGACCTGGAGATTTGAATATCTGATATCTTGCTATTTTTGTCTGAACAAAACATGGTCGTTACAGTGCTAGCAGAATATTCAGTGAATTCTGTGTAGAGTAATTCAGTGTTTTCAAAATTTCTTGCATATATTATCACTGATTCGACCTGTATGCTTCTTTGTACCCAGGCCCTTTGGTGCCCGCTGGTGGTTTTGGCTGATGTTGACAGGTGTCAGTCTTGGAGGAGCTCTGGGGGTGAAGTTTGTGGGACTCTTTGTCATTTTGCTGGTGGGATTGAACACTGTGCGGGATCTCTGGAGGCTGCTTGGAGACTTAACCCTGTCACTAGTATGTGCATTTAGTAGCAAAAGTTAACCTTGCTCACAGAAATCATTCAGTGTTTTCTCTAGTAGGTCATAGTCTCATAAATTATTTTTGTCATGTTCTGATTTTTCCTCAAGTCAAGTTGAGTGTTTAAAATACTTAATTTTAAAGTCCACATTTATCAGGAAGACTGGTAGACAGTTTGCTTATAATGTGCAGGAATCGTGATACCTAATCTTGGATATTATTATTCTCACAGGACTGCCTACTTTTTATTAAATTTCGAATCCAATTTCCTTGCATAAAAAATTATGCAGCAATATGTGAAAATTAAATTTTGTGGATGATAATTTTAGCAGAAACAAAAGATGAAAATATTTTTACATGAGAGTTCATTTTTATTGGTGTGTAATGACAATTTTTAAATTCATTATAAAATGTTAACAGGATTACACTTCTTTTTCAATTTATGAATTTTATCTGAATATGGCTAGAGTATCAAATTTGTGTCATCTCATTGAATGTTGTCTCCTCTCTCCCTGCAGGCTGTGTTAGGGAAGCACTTTCTGGCCCGTGTGCTATGCCTGATCTTGCTGCCTGTTTCCTTGTACATACTTATTTTTGCAATACACTTTGTAATTTTAAACAAAAGGTATATATATATTTAATTTTAAACTACTGCAATGAAACAGTTTTATTGTGTTTGAAAGTCTTGCATTGTGAAGCCCATAAAAGCTATGCAGGTGTACAAATCTGTAATCTGTATCTGTCTAAATCAGATTTGAGATGCAAATTACTTTGTATGCAATAGAGATGAATGAAAAATAATGTAAAATTGCCACATGGCTTTTAATTTAGTTGTTAGATTGGATTAGCTAAAGAGAAGCTTGGCTGAATATGGCGATAGTGTAATGAATCTCACTGGCTGAAATATGTCTGTCTGTCCTCTGTGTAGTGGTCCAGGAGATGGATTTTTCAGCTCAGCCTTCCAGTCTCGACTGGTTGGGAACAACCTGCACAATGCCTCCATGCCAGAGTGTAAGTTGGTTCACATGTGCCGTATTGAGAGTGCAAAATATTCTGTTGATTTGTGTGTTCACAGTGTTGTGCATTAACAGTGGGGAAAAACAGATTTCCAGGGCTTCAGATGTAGATGCAAATGTTGCTTGTTTTCTGCAGACCTGGCCTATGGATCGACCATCACAGTGAAGAATGTGCGGATTGCTGGAGGGTACCTCCACTCCCACTGGCACCTGTATCCTGAAGGAGTGGGAGCACAGCAACAACAGGTCTGTTTGCTGTATTCATGTGACCCGGATTTGATGTTTTTCATATGAAATTAAAGAGAGATTCAATTCATTGACGCACCTTTTCCTCTATATGTTTTTCAGATCACTGCCTATTTGCACAAGGATTTCAATAACCTGTGGCTGGTCAGAAGGCAGGACAGCAGAGAGGGTGAGGAAGTTCAAGAACAGTTCTGTTTTTATTTTGTCCCTTTTCGTTCAGCAGTGTATAATGTTTTAAGTGTTCACGCACAAAGTTTTCTGAGCTGTTTTGAGGGTGTTGTTTATCATGGTATGTTGATGCTCTTCTTGTCTCTGATTCAGAAGATCCATCTCAGCCTGTGCAGCTTGTTAAGCACAAGGATATCATCAGACTGGAACATAAAGAGTAAGAGCTTCTTACTACCTTGGCCAATTTTTGTAGCACCCGCAAATTACAAAACCACTCTCCCTGAAGTCATCAAACTGTGAAGTCATTAGAACTGTGATTGTGAAGACACAATTAAGCATAATCAAAAATGTTTTGTTGTACAGTCTTGTTTTAAGATTTAAGTGTTCCTATGAACCCCTGAGAATGAATCGTCTTTCAAGTATTTGCAGAACTATATTGGCACAAAAACAAGATAGAAAAAAATAATCAGTGCAGGGTATATTAATACATATTGCAGCCTTGTGCAGCATGTCACCTACAGTATAAGAATCAAGTTATTCTCCAATTCCTTCTCAGAACCACTCGTAACCTGCACAGCCACCTGCATGAAGCCCCCCTGACAAAGAAACACCTTCAGGTCACTGGCTATGGAATTGTGAGTAGCCTGTGTGCAAACAGACGGTCTGTCTGTCTCAGAAAATGAAAATCGGGAGTGGACGCTGCCATTGTTATTCCCTGTCTTCTGTTTGCAGAATGGTACTGGTGACCCCAACGATTTCTGGCAGATCGAGGTGTGTGGCGGGAAGCCTGGAGACCTGGTCAAAGTGCTGAGGAGTAAAGTGCGTTTCATTCACCTCTCTACCGGCTGTGTGCTGTACTCTTCCGGAAAGACCCTCCCTAAATGGTGGGTTCAGCTTTCAGAGCAGCTGCAGCTCTGGTTCGTAGATGATGGTTTGATTTCCAGGGCTGTTTAATTTGCTTGATGTTTATGGTCTATCCTTGTGGCTCCTGAGTCAGTGCACAAAAAAGCATGAGGCTCATATGGAACTACCCAGAAGCAAACTTGAGTTGTCTTGAGGATTATGCGAAACAGCTGGTTAGTGCGCCTGGGACGCCACAAAGCCTCCAAAATCTGGGATCAAGGATGGATATTTCTGAAGCGACGTCTTTAAAGAATGAACACAGGGTTCCATCTAATATGCACCTTATTTCCTTCCAGGGGTTGGGAACAAGTTGAAGTCACTTGCAGTCCTTATCTCAAGGAATCGCCCAACTCACAGTGGAACATTGAAGATCATGTGAATGCAAAATGTACGAGATATACCTGGCTCCATTATACTTTTGCTGCATAATCTTCAAAGTGTGGAACGCTTGTGTAACAAGCTTTTTGATGTGTTTTTCTGTTTTAGTGCCTAATATAAGCCTGTCAGTGCTCAAGCCCTCTTTCTTGGAGATACTGCTGGAGTCTCACATTGTCATGATCCGGGTGAGAACTGTCTGTTGGAATTTCCTTTTTGCCTTAAATCCAGAAAGGCACGTTGCAGGAGAATGTGTTAGGTCTTTTGTGTAAAGGAAGATGTATATTGTAGGTTAAGACAAACCACATTTTTATTATAAGCAAAACAAGGCCTGCAGTCATATGTTATGTAATAAAGGACACTCGCTACAAACAAAGACCATTGGCAGGTTATTATCTTTAATTTTAATACAAAATAAGTGTTGGAGAAACCCAACCTTATTTTGCGTGATTTTACTCTCTGTGTAGTTTTGCATTTGAATGAATTAAACCTTTTCTCCCAGGGTAACAGTGGCCTGAAACCTAAAGATAATGAAGCAAATTCTAAACCTTGGCACTGGCCTATCAACTATCAGGTAAAAGTTAACGTTCATTAAATGTCTGATAATTGGTGTTTACCATGTGACGTATTTTAGCTGATAAAGAGTACTACAGGGCTTGTGCATTATAAATCTGACATCATAGCAATGTTTGCAGCAAGAAAGCAGTTATTTATATTTTTTTCTGTTCATTTCTGTTCCTTAAGGGTCTACGGTTTTCTGGCGTGAATGAGACAGAATACCGCGTCTATCTGCTTGGTAACCCTGTAAGTGGGCCAGTGTCCTAACCGCATTCAGGCACTGCCGCAGTCTGAGACACTTGATTACTGGAGCTCTTTCTTTTCCAGGTCATTTGGTGGCTGAACTTGTTTAGCATCGCCCTGTATGTTGTCATGGTTACCATCGCAGGCATTTCAATCCAACGAGGAGTGCGTCTTGGGGAGAGGGCTCAAGGTAATTGTTTTCAGGAAGAGAGCAGGAGGAAGAGGTTATTTGGTACTGCAACTGCTGCTGAGGTCTGCATTATAAATTTGTGCGGACAGTTTTTTAAATCAAATGATTGCAAATGACGTGCGGTTGACGAATATGGTAATGGTTTGTGTCAGTCCTTATTACAGCGTAATTGAAAAAGGATGCTCGTTCTGGTCCTGCAAGAGCCATTTGCCCTTCAGGATTTCCTCTTCTCATTTAATTTTTTAAAATGTAATTTTGAGCAAATGTCAGGTGGTTACATGGAATTCACAAAGTCAAAGGGAGCGGCAGAGCGTTTGATAGGTGCTCATGACTGGAGACGCTGCCCAGTTGTGTCCTTACCTCGTCCTCTCCCCTGCTGTCGGGCAGAGTGCTGCAGAGTGCTGGTAGAAGGCGGGGGACAGATGCTCCTAGGCTGGATGCTTCACTACCTCCCTTTCTTCACTATGAGCCGGATCCTGTACTACCATCACTACTTCCCTGCCATGCTGTTCAACAGTATGCTTACAGGTAACACTAGTGCACAGCGTGTGTTGATCACCGGTTGTCATTGTGTCTCCATCCTCAGGGGAGTACAGGCAGTGATTGTACCTCCTGGCCGCAGTGAGGCTTCAGTTGACAAGCTGTGGAGATACAGTAGAGTGCACGGGGGGGGTTAAGTTGATGGATTTTAGGAGGGCACGTTTCTGTTGTTGTGGAAATCCGGCTCTGGCCTGGGGTCATTGCTCCTGACCTGGCTTGAGTGCATTCTAAATAGACACCTGCTATTCATGTGGTGCGTAACATCTCTGGAATAACTGAAAGGCGGGATTAACGTTATCAGGAATAGCCACTGGGCCATGAGTGGGAATGTTTTCTGTGATCCCAATGTGATTGGTAATGGTCACTCATAAACGCCCATTTGTGGTAATAACATAGGGTGACCATGGCTGGACTGGGCTTATAAACCCCCCTGTAACACTGCTGGTCAGTCTTTGTCTGTTAATGTCCTTTAGGGATTTTCAACATGCAGGCCTGCTCCTCCGGTTGCTCTAACACTGAGACTGGTGTGTTTGTTTTAGGGATAACCTGGGACACTCTGCTGCAGATCTGGGACTTTCTTCCCCGCCCTGCGGTGGCCCGGGGGCTGTACCAAGGAGGACTGGCAGTGCTCATCCTCACCTTCCTCTACAGGTGAGTGTGGTCTCCTGGAAACTTCATGCTTGGTCTCCTGAGTCTCACAGAGATATACATTTAAGCCTTTCAGTTTTCGCTTTCCAGTACTTTATCCCATGAGCTCGGACATATTGATTCAAACCTGCCTGTGAAGCTGCTGTTCTATCTGTAAGCAGGTCTTTACTTGTCTTTTAGTTAACACTTTAGATGACAAGTGGCAAATGACATTAAGAAATGAAATCTGTTTAGAAAAGATTAGTAGAATCTACTGATTCTATTAGTAGAATATGACCAACATCTATTGTGTGTTAAGTGAATGTTAGTAACAAAACAAAATGATAATCTTGTCTGATCTATGGTTGATCATTACATACAGGTATCTGGAGGTTTTGTAAGTGTTTTTAACATCATTGATAAAACATTAATATACTGTTTATATTCAGTAACAACAGAGACCTGTACTCTCTAGTACAGTATGATTAGGGCTTTTGAAATAGTTAAAACTATTGTGGTTATTTTTTTAAACTAGATAATGTATTAAATCCATGCACATTACAGGCATTGTTGTTTTTTCTCACCAGTTTCTACCTTTTCCACCCCTTGTCTTACGGGATGAGAGGCCCTCTAGCCCACGAGCCCAGCAGCCCCATGGCAAGCCTCAAGTGGATGGAATCATGGGAGTTTTGAGGGGAAAAAAAAACAACGCCACCGTTGTCTTGTGTACGAGAACACCAAAAAAAAAAATCCTTTCACCGCAGTGCGGTTGGTTTGGTCTTGAAAAGTGCGGTTTGAGCACTGATCCGATACGACATATTCGAACGGACCATAAAAGGGCTGGATGATAGAAGGAAGTGAGCAGAATGAAAATGTCCCTCTGCCCCCCCTTTCCAACCAGAAGCACCATTGTTGACAGAACTGTGATGTAAACCAGCCCTATGATCATGCATGAATTCAGTTTTAACAGGCTGCTCTGGCCAATGGGCTCTCAAGGGCTAGACAGTAGGTACATTTAAATCAGAGGGAGATTGTGCTGCTAAAAATATGAATGATATAATAAGATAAGATTTATGATCATCGTATTGGCATATCTGTGAACCTGAAGAGAGAAAACTCCAGTTCCTTGCTTTACAGTGGGAATACATGAAATGGTCAATTTCTAATGGGAAAAACCCAGTAATGGCAGTTCTATGGCATTACCATCCCATAAGCTTCTTTTATACAGAAGACTGTCGTCATCCTCAGTTTCAATGCAGCAAGCAACGTTTTAGCAAAATGTTTTGTTAGCAAAATGGCAACAATGACTACTTGGCAGCATTGTGGTTAGGGTACACTTACACAGTATATTTTAATTGATTAGTGAGATGAGTAAGCTTCACACTGAGTTAGAAGGAGGTCAGGTTAAGACAAGTGCACAGGTGACCAAGATCCTTCATGTCTCATGTCATATTAAGTTGCCTTTCCCTACATACTGTAGCTAGTTTAGATTGTACTAACTATAAAGTGCCTTGGGTTAGAAATCAAAACCACTTGCCTAAAACGGACTTTGTTTTTTCCATTTTGTATATAGGTCACATCTGTTGAAATTTTAGTTGGATCTACAAAAAGTGTCATGAGTAGTTCTTCTAGAAGGGAAATAGCAGTTTCCAGTAATAATTTCACTACGTTGTGTCATGATGACAACTTGTAAGACTGACATTAGTTTTTATTTCTTTATTTCTTTCTAGTATTCTATATGAGCCTTTTTTAAAGTTGCACTATTTGCTAGAACACTATTTTGGTCAATTGTAGAAATGTTGACAATTTTGTGATTTGCATTTTACTTTATATTACTGTGAGCTGACTAAAATGTTTATTACACTATTTTAAATACTAAAAGAATATAAGATCTTAAATACCCATTTAAAATGGATGTGATGTACTAATGTGATATTTTTTTAGAAAAATACCTCCTGAAATTGACTGCGACAACTGGTGTATTATAAAGTTGGAATTTATGAAGTGTTTGATTTATTGCATTTTTTGGGGAATGTTTACTGCTGTAAGTAGAGGCAGAGCTGTTGCATAGAAGCAGTTATGTGTTAGGTTAGTCATGTTTTTTATTTTTGGTTGTGTAGGTTAACCACATAAGTATGTTCACAGTATGTTTAAACATTGTTTATTAATTGTAATAACTGTTAAATTGTTCTGTCCTGGCATGTCATCCAGATTTAAGTTCCTTTTTGTTCTTCTGTAGGTATGTTTTAAACACATTGAATAGCAAGTTAATAATGGCCAATGCTATGCTCAGTCATTTTTGCTCCTTGCTGGTCTTGTTTTTGTTGGATAGCTAAACTATACCAGTACATTTATGTGAATGAGAATGCTCCTTTCTCTGGCCCACTATGGGGCGTTTGGTAAAAGAACTCTTTGTTAATATAATGAAAGAGCTGCAGAAAATGAAACCTCCATTTTGAGAAATCAGTTTGTAGCTGTTGTGGACTGCCCTGTATTGAAGATATTGCAGAATACACACAGGTTTTGTTGGCAAACCAATTGCTTTCTTGTGTAGTTATGCACACAGTGCTTAGGTGCTTCAACATGCGGTGACCTGGCAGTAGAATAATAGGAGTTGTCATTGCCTTCATCGCTGTTTCCAGTTAAATAAAACAAGAGGGAATTGTGTGTTATTTTCAAAACCCAAGAATGATAAGGGATTATGCAAGTGAAACTTGCAGAGTTAAAAAAGAAATAGGACATTCCATTAAGCTTGTAACTGGTGTGACAGGTGTGGTACAGTCAATTTCTAGGTGGATAATATTTTTGTCTTTAATTCTTAATTGTGAAGGGGTTGCTAACGTGTTACATTTTTACATTCTCTGTTCATCTTATTGCTTGCTACAAGAGATTAAATTGTGTGCTACTATTGTGAAAGCACTAAAACAGTGAAAGTGAGTATTGTGCACTCGAACACTTTTACTCAAGAAAATATTTTTAAGTTCTAAAACTAAAGTGTGATCTTATGAAGTTACATAATGCTTCCTCCTTTGACTCTTAATTTTGAAAAATATTTAAAGAAACAGACAAGGTTCCAGAAATCCACATATGCAATAATTATAATTCCCTGGCAGGGTAGATATTTTTTGTGCTGAAGCTCAGCTGCAGACAAACCCCTATTGTAGTGAACAGCAGGGTATGTCAGGGCCGTCTGTAAGTGAACAATGAAGACGGATTTCCCTGAAGACTTGCATTATATGTTTTGGCCACATTAAGTTAATAACAGCTGACTACAAACCTCAAGAATGTATTTTTGTAGGTACTTGAACAAATTGTACTATGAACGTCTGAATAAATAAACCGAATAGTATCAAAGTGATGATGTGAATGTTTTTGGAATATGATAACTCAACCACCAGTTTTTGTATGAGACTCTTTGCCAGTATAGTTGAGGGGGTGGCCAACAGTGCTTACATAATTTGACATTTGGATTTTTTTCCCCATGTTTGTCAAAGAAAACTCAGGGGTTCATGTTTTGTTAAATTTTAATAAGAAAACAAAAACACGCGGTTTCTCAAAGTTTTATTTTCATGACTGAAAGTGACTACGGTTAGAGGTAAACGAGGAATGTAGAAAAATTCCAGAGCACAGCTTCTACCAGTAGGATTTCCCCACTATATAGCTGAATCCTATAACTTATGGTTTACAAAAAAAAACATACACATGACAAAATGTGCACATACCTGTATTTCCATCCACTGCTGTAACTGAATGGAACATTGTCATCTATGCAAAGGAAGAAGAGCTGTGCAGCATTGGCTACATTTAGCACATGGCTTATGTAGCAGCCACTGCTTACAGAGGATTTTTTTTATACACAATGCAGATTATGGGCATCAGTCAATGAAAAACAAGTATCCAATACTACATAACATATTTGGTACTTGTATAAGGGGTGGCAGCAACCTCTTCCACATGTATTAATGCATTAATGGGACACTCTTCCTTCTGCTTATAGCTAAAACTACAACTGAACTGGGAACGTAATGTGGAAGTCTTGGATTTGCAGCACACTTTTAAACTGATGTTATTGGATAAGCGTTATAATAAATGAACTTGTGCTGGATGCATGGCTGCTTGTTTTGTGAGAAGGATGCTGCTGTACCCTTAAATTGATTTCCAATGTCTGCTCCACAGGGCAGGATACATACATACTCCTTATGGTACAGTGTAAACCATTTTTTCAGACAAAGATATGTTAACAAATTTTACAGAAATGCAAGATCTACTGTATAATACCTAAGGCATTTAAACTGAACATATATGATTTTGTTTGTCAAGACAAAAATAATTGCAAATTGCTCAACTAGATATCTAAATAAAATATGTAACAAAACCAATTAAATACATAGTACTACATCTGTACAAACATCCCAAACTCCTTCGTCAATGTTTGATCTTGATTCCTGGATTGTACCGCTGGGAATGTTCTTACATGGGATCTGATAATATTCCATGAATGCCAACATGCATAAATGGTGTAAACATTTATTAATTTCCTGTATGACACTGTGCATTTCTGCAAAAAAGCCACAGCATAATTGTTCATGTGCAGAACTGACCATTGGTTCTTTTTAGTAAATAAGCAAAAACAAAGCATGAACAGCAAAGCTGACCATACAGATCGATACCCAGTAGACTTTACACTACACTATCAATGCATGTTCCAACTACAGTTCTTGTGCTGTCTTTTTTTTTGCACAAGGCAGTCTCCAGGAAAGATCATTCTTTAAACTGCAGCTAACCAGTTAGGAGCAAAGACTGGCACATAAACTGTGCTTTCTGTCTTTGCTAGAATTATGTTGGGTCATGGCAATTCTTGAGATGCTAGGAAACAGGTTTCTTTAGAGAGCCATTCAGCCAGTGTGTGATTGTGGTTAGGCCATATCTGACTAAGACTGAGGCAGCCCTGGGATAAGCCTTAATTGACTTGGCTGTGTACACTGGACTGGCTTTTTGGTGTAAAAAAGTATGATGATTTTTAGAAAATAACATGCCAAGCTTTCTAAGAACAGGAAAGATTTTTAAGATTGGATGTACTCGTACATGTCTGTAAGGAAAACAGGTAAATTTTGGAGTTGAATTATTCTGTCTCTTAAAAACAATTAACCAACAACAGGTTCAGGTGAAGAACTCAACGTTTCTTGTAAACTGTGACCTTTGCCAGTGGCTAATAATTTAACCTGAATGGTGCATATCTGAGAAATTATCTAGAAAAAAAAACAAATCGCAGGTTATTTTATGGTAACATAAACGTGTAACACACTACATTCCTGTATATAATAGTTGTTTAATAAGAAGGTAATTTGCTTTTCTAATGTTCTCCCGCATATACCTGAGGCTATATCCCAAACTGTCCCAAGGTGTGGGACTATACACCTCTGTTCTATGTTTTTGGTTTTTGGAATTTAAACAAAGCTGCATGAGCAGCTGTTTCACTTTCAGTGCTAAAACATTACTCTGGATGTTTACAAATAGACAAACCTCAATGTGCAGCCATTTTTTCAGTTGCTTTTTCTTGTCTAGATAATTTATTGTAATCTAAATCTTATTTACATAAATATGTTTTGGGGCAGAATGATATTCCCTATAGTACATTATTGTTAAAGTCATATTTCAAATTGTTATTTTATCCTTTGTTTTTCTAATGACAAGCATAAGCATTCAGTAAAGACAGAGCTCTCAAGCGTATTTTCTATCATGGTATATTGCCCCAATACGAACAAAACATCAGCAGCAATATTCCACAACAATACACATGCCACATTCTTTTGAAACATACTAAAAAAGTATTTAACCAGTGCCTAGCAAGGATGCAAATAGTTACATATCACTTTTTTTTGTTTTGAAACTCTGGGGCAACAGCCACTTTCAGGAAGTAGTAGCAGGGAAGCAAAATAATGTCTCAGCCTGCTTCTCTTTTCCCCAATCCATTGAAATTCAAAACGGACAGCCAGCCTGGAGTTAAATGTTTACAAAACATAATTTAGCATTAGTAAACACAAAAGCTTTATGCGCTGAAAGCAATAAATAAAATCCTCTTTAAAGAGCAGTACTTCTGATATTTATCGCAATTCTTCTGTACATTGTATTCTGCATCGCACGCCTGGAAATGGGGTGTAAGCCATGTATTATTACGGGGACAGTAGACGGAGGAGTCCTGCTTATATGAAATCCCTTAAAGGCAAAATGATGAACAAATCCCATGCAAAACATTCGCTGCACATCACTGGTCCGTCCGAGTGCTTTTTTTGAAGAGAAGGTGGGGCTGGGGGGGACAATCCTGTTTTACTCTTGTGATTTCAGGGCCAGAGCCCTGGTACTGGCACCAGGTCAGGGAGAGATGCCTCTACCGGTCTCACTGGCCTGCCTCTTGCTCTGTCTCAGGAGCCTCAGGGATGCACTGGTGAGGCTGCGATGAAGCCACGAATCCCGACAGGCAAGTGCACTTGTATGACCCCTCTGTGTTCACACAGGCACCATTCTGACACAGCGGGACTTTGTCACTTATGTCTTCGCACTCATTGATATCTGCAAAGAGAAGCAGCGCTGTCAGCATGTCCACAGCAGACGAATGTGGTTTTCATTCGCGGGCTCCTCAAAACGCCGACACAACGGTCATGTCGAAAGGATTGCTTCCCGACACCGTTTCCGGGTTTGTTTCCGTGCCCTCGAGCAAAATCTGCACTGCCAAAAATGAGCAAAGCTTTCCACAAATTTGCTTCAACTTAAAATCAATATTTGCATTGCATCAAATCCATAGGAATGGATTGCAAATGGAAAGCAGCACTTGATCAATGTAAAGAACATGTTTGACGGTTCTCTGGCAGACCTAACACCCTTGTGGAAGGGATATTCAGTAAATTCTGAATGAGGAGTGCTAACTAACAAACCTATTGTGAAACCACACAGCTGGAGGAGCTGAAGAGCACTGCAAGATGACGTTTGATGCTTATTTGGACAAGCAGAAATACCAAAAAAATAGAAATGTGCTCTACAGTGCTGTCAAAAAACTTAACATCTAGTTTGTACTAAAGCACTTTCTTGTGGCATATAGCACATCTTTAAAACAAGTGAAGGATTTAAATGTTCAGTGATGGAGGATGGCTTCATAATGCGTGTGAGAGAGCAATTTGAACATCAGGTTTCAGCGGTGTAATACATTGAACAAGTCAGCTGTTGCCTCTTACATTGAAAGACGTGTATTGTCTGAGACATCCTATCACCGTGATCTCAGAATGGTTTTAATTTCACAGCTGGCAATGGTAAAACGATTGTCATTTTCTCTTGTTACTTTTAAATGACCCTGAATTGTTTATGTCATTTCTAAATTCAAGATGTTGGTGGTATTCTCCCAGTGACAGTTGGAAAGCCTTTCTCTCCCACAAGTGTGTTTTTTTTCTTCACAAATTAGTATTTTTTTTTAAATAATAACATCTAAATCTGTTACATTGCCGTGTTGTGGAAAAAAGTGTAGATCTCTTTAGAGTGTTGCTGAAATTGTTCCATGAAATGAATTCCTATACAACAATGTAATCTTGTCAGTATGTTTAAGAGCAAAGACTTTGATTTCAAACTAAACAAAGAAAATGGAAATTTTGTCAGCTTGAAGTATTACGTAACATGGGTAAAGAAATATTTCTGCTCACCATTAAAGTTGAAAAGGATTCTATGACTTGATGCTCAAGCAGTGTGATGTTTCTTTGGACTCATATATAAAACAACTTTGCAAAAGTAATTCTGGAATACACTTTCCTCCCTCCCAAAAATTAAACAATAATACAGACAGACCTTTTCTCTATTTTTTGGAGTTAGAGGTTTAAATTAATCACATATTGCACAGAGTTTGAATGCAATTCCCTGTCTTCACAGCTTTAATTTCTCTGTTGGTTCAGTAGAAGAATTTCCCTTCTCTGGTTTTGGATTATAATTAAATGATCTCAAATTTAATTTAATTTTAAGACTCCAGAAAATAAGAACTTACCAATACATGCCATTTTGGCTAAATCCAGCTCAAAACCATCAAAGCAGTCACATGTGTACCCTTCCCGAACACGGACACATCGGCCATTTTCACAGCCATTCAAAATCCCACATTCCTCTGCGCGCAGGCCCTCAAATCCGTCATATCGATCTGATCGGGCGAAACGAGAAAGAAGCGTCATTTCAACGCAGGGCAGCGACACGATGCAAGATGAATCCATCAAGCGCGTCTTGCGGTTTTCTACAAGCCGGCGCTGTGTCAGACACCACGGACTCCTACCCCTGTAGGGATCCACCAGGCGAGGCGCAAACTCTCGTGGCCTCAAGACGGGGACTCTCGCTCTCTCTCTGGAACCGTAGTCATCCGTGGGGTCCTGCCCAGGAAAGATGATGCCCGTGTGCGGGTCCTGGGGCCCGTACTCTGGACCCAGGTTGTGATAGTATTGACCACCAGCTATATCTCCGTAGCCTGGGCCGTACACGGGGCTGTCGGGGCCATACTCATAGCCCGGCCTCTCTCGGTGGCCATCCGCTCCTTCAAGCCCCCGTTGGGGCTTGTTGCACAGGGTCGCGTAGTGCGCTGCAGCAAAATGAGAGAGGATTTTCAAGAAGAGCCAGGCTGGATGCCATTCTTAAATGCACTGAGCCGTAGCCATGGTATTCAAATCCCTCCGTTACCTATTTTGCTTCAGAAAAATAAAGTGAGACTGTACCGTATCTTACTGTAACTCGGGAAAGTTTGGGCGAAATTCAATTCAAGCTTGATTTTCCCCTAGGGGAAATTTGTTTTATGGCACAGTCAAACACAACACAATGACCAATAAGAAAGGAGACTGGTCTTGTGATTTCTCGGAGTACGAGTTCATTTTGTCATCATGCTTGTGAACAACAACAGGGTGACCATTATGAAGCATGTGCAGCTGAACCGAACTTGGTTTGTTTGAGTGTCAACGCAAGCCTACTTGGCATTCCTTACCAGACAACCTACTGGGACAGAAGGCACACTGGTCCCCCCAGGCCACTCCGTAAAGACAGCAGCATTCAGTGTATGTGGTCCTCTTATTAAGCAAAGGATTTGAACACATTGAATTTTCTGTCAGCCTTTGCCAGCAGATTTCCATGTGGATTCTTTCATCTGGATTCAGGTGGTCTTCTGGAGAAAGAGGTACACTTCTGATTGTCTGGGATTTTAAAAAAAGGCAGTATGCTACTACTTTGTTTCAGGATTTAGGCCTCCGCTGTTAAAAGGGGTGACATTTAACAATGCGAACCTGGAAATGAACAGTGAAACACAAGCCAGAGGACGCAAGTGGAAACTATGTGGGAGCACATTTAAAATAGAACAGGCAGCACTGTTTTACTCAAATGGTTGTGGGAGTAGGTCATAAGCTACCTAGCCACAAAGATAAAGCAGTTACACTGGCTTCCTTCATGAAGCTGGATGCGATCCTTGGCTCAATCAGCTACTAACTACCAAAAGGTTTACAAGTACCAGGTGGCCTCTCGTATGTGACTTTTCTTATGTTCTTAACTGCACACGATGACATGAAGTATCCCTCATACAATGGCCCCCTGCTCCTTCTGAGGCAGACCAAGCTGTGCGTGCCCCTGACCGTCACTGAGCGCCTTACCGTCTGTGAAGTTGGCGGCGATGCAGCGCCTGCGGGTACTGTCGAGAAGGAGGGGCGGGCTGCAGAAGCAGTTGAAGGACCCTGGGGTGTTGACACAAGTGCCATCCACACAGGTGTCCTCCACCTCGCACTCATTGTGGTCTGATGTAGAGGGAATGGCACAGTTAGAGAGCGCAGCCAGAACCAGGCCACATGCAGCTGCATGGAGTGTGCATATTCCTCCAATTAGTAAATGGTCCTTAATACATTTTGTGTACCTTACATTTTGTGAAACTCTTACAAAAAAGGCTAACTTTTTTCCTCCCCATTTCCCCAGAATATGCCTGTTTGCATTTATGGAACAGTGTGATGGAGACTGCTTTACCTAGGCATGCCAGCCGGATCGTGTCATAGTAGTAGCCCATACGGCAGTAACAGGAGTACCCAGAATAGATATTGACACAGCTGCCGTCTGTACAGATTTCTGAGCCAAACATCTCACATTCATCAGCATCTGGAAACGGTGAAAAAATGAAGTGAATCCAACTCCAATAATTAGTACAAAAAGAAAAACCAAAAGGCAGCCCTTGATTACTTAATGTCTGTATTAACTGTTCTGTTATCTATACTATGCCTGTATCACTATACTATACAGTATAGTATACTGTATATACTATGCCTGTATTCACAGTTCTAACTTGAGAACGCTGATAAAAAGGGGCTTGTTGTTTCTTGTCTATTGGTTTCTCTAACAACAACAAAAAAACAAAATCGGATCAGGTACAATCGAAATACAGCGCAATAAGGTTTGACCACATTTGATCAGGGAAATTAAACCTCGGTGGTCATTTCATGGCCAGAAAGAAGAATGTGGTAATGGCTCCTCACAACAGTTCTTGGCACCACACTTCCACTGGTTCATGCTTAGAAATGTTTGTTACCGCCTTCCCCAATAACAGGCCAAATGGGACAAACAGCCCTCTCTTGTTGGTAACTGTTCCTATGTTTGCCCTTGTGGTTCATGATTATGCCATATTAAGACTTGATTTTAAAAGTGTCACTAAAATAGGAATCAAGTCCTTTCCGTCATCTCCAAAACCAAATATTTACCATAAACAGTATGAGAACCACAAATGCGACTATAGTATTTTTCATTGTGGTTGGTAAGGAAAAAAAATCCTACTTCTTATCAGCATGAATAACAGGTACATAATGGCATGTATCTGGATTAGATGTGAAGGTGGACACCCTGACAGGACACACTGACCTTTAAACAGCTGCTGTGCGAGGCCAAGGGAGGGGCTATCCACAGACAGGACTCCTTTCCCATGAGGGCAGAGCTCATCGTATTCAACTGGAAGTCAAAACCACGTTCATTTAGCAACAATGCAGACTGTGGAGAAGGGTTTTGTGCAGGTAGAAGTAAAACAATCGTATGTAATAATTCTAGCTTGCTGCCAAAGGATTCCATTCCTCCAGGCAATGTTTAGGAATGTGCAATCTTAAGTGTGCTTCAGGGGAAAATGAGCATTCCTGAATTTCCATTCATGAATTGTATCCCTCCATTACCTGTCAGTTTGCTGATAAGGCACAGGTTCCATTTTCACACATGGCTACTTGCCAGGATATTTTGTATTAGTTATGTTGCACAGAGCCTGTCATACTGTAACTAAAGTATAGCTAAAGGAAACATGCCTATGGTGTTTGCTCTCTCAAAATGGCTTACATTTTGCTTTGGCTTATGTAAAATACACACATTAAATAAAAAACAGCTGTATGTGATGTACCGGACCTCACTGTTGGTCTGTGCTTCTACAGAACTCGGACTGCAGTCTTTCTTTTCATCTCAAACCTCAATGAAATACTTGAAATGAACAAGTAGATAAGAAATCAAACAGTCTTTGTTGTACACATCTTAATCGGCTGTTATTTAAAGGGTGCCTCTAAGGTATGGGACCTAACCTGGCACCTGAGGACTAGTGTTGCCCATCCCCATTCCTACCTCTTCCAGCAGGGGGACAGGGGTAGATCTCACAGTTGTCCCCCCAGCCAGCCCCCACAGTACAGCAGCACTCCTGCATGGTAGTGTTTCGGGACAAGACATTGTCACAGAAATTGTCATCTTCCAGATTGTAATAACATTCTTTCCTCTCCTTCTCGTCTGCAGACAACACATAATCCCTGGAGATTCCTCCGCGGCCCTGGCCTGAAACCAAGAGATCCTTAATAAGTATTCGTTATAATATGTATAATAAGGAATTCCACCTAGTTACGGTGGGGGTCTAAATAAGCAACGTAGTTTTCTTACTACTAGGTCTGAAACAACAACAGAATCATCCAGAAACAATGAAATGGCCCTTTTAGCTTGATTTAGTTAAAAGTCTCTTCTTAGGTTCCGGAGAGTGCAACAAATAACCACAAGATGGCAGAAGTTTGCTTCACCTAAATTGTACTTAACAAGGTCTCTGCTCCAGCAGCTCATAGAAACATTATGCAACAGTGTCAAAGTACACACTGCAATCACATTCCTAATCAGAGCTTTTACTGTACGGAAAAATGGCATTTACATCATTTCTAAACATTTCAGTTGGAAAAATTGGCACTCCAAGATGGATTTCAGTGAAATGCACTAAAGTACACACATACGGTATATGCTCAATTAAATTATACAGAAGTGACAACACAAGGACACAGACATTGTAGCACAAGATCATTCTTTCCATCTATTGAAATGTACAACTAACTACATTTCATTACTCTATTTACATTGAAAAAATTCATGCAGACATTTAGTCTAAAAATATTCTGATACATTTTTGCCAGAAAACCTCAGCATATTCATATTTTCCTTTTTATTGATGGGACTTTTTATTGATTAGGTAACACTGTCTTCAATGAAGCTTTAAGAAAAACAGTCTAGTTCCAATTGTATTTTCTGGTGAAGTGAAATTCAAATTCCCTTTTTTTTGCTTGCATTTCAGTTCTAAGATGTAATGGGTAGATGTAAAGATGTAAAATTGTAGATCACTATACGTATTCCAAATTAATGAAGTAAACTGTCACTTAAACTACAACACAAAAGTGTTCACTGAGCATGACACTAGTTCGATTTCACTTATAGTGGGCCTATATTTAGGGAATGACAAGGACAAGATAATGTTAAAATAAAGGCTCAACCATGAACTGTGATCCCACAGCTTCTTTGCAAAAACCCTTACTTAACTAGGTACTTTTGCACATATCCCATGCAGGATCCTATTGTTTTCCATTTGAAACTAATGATATACTTTTCACCTTACGAATATCTGGGTGTGCAAAGCCTGTTTTCCTTGCTGCTCAGACCCCTTACCTGTCAGTAGAGGGTTGTGGCACTGGCTTGTCAAGGGGTTGAATTCCTCGTTTTCGTTGGGGCAGAGGCACAGGAAGGTGCCCTCCACGTTCTCACAGAAAGCCGTCCCGCACAGCGCCGTGCTCATCTCGCACTCATTGATGTCTGTCAGCGAAGCCCAGACAGATCACAGCCTGTCATCTCATCCTCAGTCAAGACCTCTCTCTCTTTTTCCCTTTCTCAGAAGCCTGCCTATGCAATGTATCAGCACACTGGTCCTTTTGAACCAGCTGTCTACAGTTACCTGCCACTGGGGCAAGTGGCTTCCACTCACATGCCCTGAAGACAGTCCCATGAGGTAGGATTAAAATAAAACGCATAACAAAACAAAACAGACTCCGCTATTCCTGAGAATGTATATAACAATCCCGATCATTTAAGATAAGATAAGAGATAAGATCACTTTATTAGCCATATACAATTTCCTGCATTAGGAATTTGTCTTTTCGCACACCCCAACTTGCTCTCCATGAGACACACAGACACAGACAGGGAGAGAAGCTGGGGGTCAGAGCACAGGGTCAGCCATTGGACAGTGCCCCTGGACCAGTTGGGGTTAAGGGCCTTGCTCAGGGGCTCAACAGAGTAGGATTCCTCTTCCAGCCATGGGATTTGAACTGGCAACCTTCCAGCCACAGGCACAGATCCTTAGCCACTCTGCCTCCAATTTGCTAAAGAAACACACATAGGTGAAAACACCTTGGGAGAAGCAGGAGTGCCGCAGCCCTGCCGTCTGTGTAACATACCCACACACTCTGGGTTCCCCGGCGGGCTGGTGTAGCCCTGGTCGCACAGGCAGCGGTACGAGCCGTCCATGTTCTCACAGATGCCATGTTTCCCACAGATGGTCTTATTCGTGCACTCGTCGATGTCTTCGCGGAACATGTGGAAAGAGAGACGGTGATGTAGGACACGAGACCTTCCACCGCTTAACGCTGTAATCTGTTAAAGCCCAGACTGACTTAACTGCAGAGCTCATCTCCCAATATTTGATCAATGGTACTTTACAGCCATGCAACCAACTTAAAAACATCGAGCTACAACACAATGAACGGGCTGACAAGTGTCTTCTAATTAGTATTACATAACCAAGGGACCCAGTTTAAGGACATGAGAGGTCTCTCATCCACATAAGGCATCGGAACACTGTTGCAGAATTTTTAATCTGATGTAAATGACCATTCTTGATCCATAGATGCTTTAAAGACATTTCCACTTGCAATATAAAACACAACACAAGGAACAGAGTATAAACGCCAAGGCATCTGATACCATTCAGGCTAGTTTGTGTTTCCTTTGAGAAAAACCTAGGATCTGGAACAGTTCAGTTTTGATCCGAAACAGTTCCAAAACTGACATGACAGACTGACGAAATAATGTCATGACAAGACCAAAGAGGGCTGAAACAGTTTTCACCTACAAAGGGAAGAGAAGCAAGCTTCTGTTATGCAGCAGCAGGAACACGGAAGTGTGAGATTTTGATTAAAAAGTAGGACAGAAAGCTTATCTTTTAAAATTTAGTCCCATGATGAGTAGTAGGTGTCACTATCAAATATGATAAATGTGTACACAATAAGAGAAAATCAAACTAACATCACCATGAAGAACCTTACCATAAAGAAGCTTTTAAAAGGTACATCAAGTAAAGCAATTTTTCAAATGTCCTGTGGACTGACTAAAATATAAACTGAAACAGGATAGTCTGCCTTGAGATAAACAGTAACTATAAACCAATAAGTCTTATTTCCATTACATGGAATATTATATAGATGATAATTAGAACTTAACTAGGGGGATCATCTGTACAGTAATAGAACAATAAACAAGGATTTAGAAAAGACTGGTTTTGCTTAGCTCACTTGTCAGATGTATTTGAACATGGAACAGCAGTAACATATGGTATGGTACATGCAATCAGAGCATATGGTATATTTTCAGAATGAAGTGTAGATTTTCAGAAAGTTTTTGATAACGTTCCCCATAAAAGAATACTTCTTAAAATGTAGGTAGTAGGCATCCAAAGTAATATATAGATTTAGACTAGAACTAGTAAATACCTAGAAAACAAACTAAGTTCAATATAATTTGGGGAGTACCTCAAGAATCTATATTTAGACCACTGATCTTCCTAATTTATATCAATGACTGATCATATCTGGTATAATAAAGTTTGCAGACCAAAACAGAAGGAAAAAAGCAGAGTCCTCAAAGGAAATCTCCCAAAGATTAAACAATTCCTGATAGGGCAGACACCGGGTGGATGTAGTGCTGTGTGTTACATGCAGGTAGCACAAAATAAAAATACTACAAGACTCGCCAAAGTTTGAAGAAGCCACCTATTTAAAAGTAAACAATATCATCATCGTTAAAAGTGTACAATTGAAATAAAAGGATGTTTGAATATTCTGATCAATTTAACTGCACTTCAAAAAAGACATACTGTAACTGCTCTGGAATCAAGTCTATAGAAGAGCAACCAGGTACGTTCTGGAGCTCAAAAGAAAACCTTCCGCTGAGGGGCTGAAAGAATTGAATCTTGTTAGTCTTGAACAGAGAAGACTGTAAGAAGACCTGATTATAATTCTCAAAGGCACTAAGTCAACTAGATGAACTTTTCAGAATCAACACTGAAACAGGAATCAGAGGACATAAGTGGAAACTACCAGGATTTAAACCAGAACAGGAAACACCTGTTCAAAGGACTGGGGGACTCTGAAACAAACTACCCATTTATATTACATCAAAGTTGAAACAACTTCATGTGGTAAAATTGCACAAGGTTACTGTCATTTGACCACAGATTTCCTGTGGATTCCTGTGGTTTCAATATTCTTTATTTACACTGAAGAATGGATGAAATCTCATTTAGCTACTAGCAACTCAACAAGTCCTCTAACCTGCAACCTTTATTATCATCTTATGCTTTTAAATTGTTTTTTTTTTCAGACATGTCAGACAGAATACTGTTACAATAATTTTTTAATAGTGTGTGAAGACTGCTGAGTCAACCCACAGTTAGGAATAAGGTTATGCTGTAATTTAACAATTTACAGTTACTTTGCACAGAATCTCATGAGCTAAATGTTTAAGACAAGCATTAGAGACACCATTTTGAGTCGTTTTATTGCATAATAATTTGTACCAGCTGGAAGAATGTGGAGCTTTTATAGCCAAGCATCAAACAAAGACCAGGGACAAACATTTTTTACAACTGCAGCACAGCAATAGAGGTAATTAAAATTAAAATCTCTATAAGGCTGCTGGAAACACTGTTGCGACCTGCAGACAAGATTTTTCAACAATTCATTTGGAGAGAATCTTATACTGTATGTGTTTGCAAAGGAGTGTCTGTGACCCAGGGAAGCAATGCGGAAGAGGTTAGTGGTACGCAGCTCAGTGCTGAATGACATCCAGTGGAACAAAACAGCAGCACCACATGCTCCTGGAACTGGCCTGGGATTCTCAGCAATGAGAAAGAACAGGTTTTCCAACAGTCTCCTTCAGTGTGGCAGATTGTAGTAAGAACATGTACAGTATTAAACAAAGACAATCAGTGCAATTCTTTTCACTATTATCACATAATACACAGGTTTACCATAAGTTATACCAGCCTTCCACAGACCCAGATCACCAGATCACTCAGATTCTCTTCTAAAAGCCACTACTAAGAGCAGATACTTGCTGGTACAGTGCATTCAGAAAAGTTTTGTTCAAGGAAATATGGAATTCTCATTTTTTTTGAAAGGCTCAGTTTGGTAATGTCGATTAATGTTTGACCCCAGGCTCAAACCCAGGTCCACTCCTCCAGACCCTAGCAGCGCTCAGAGTGGCTCCTCCTCAGTGCCGCTGGCCTCCGTCCTGCGAAATTAAAAAGATCCGACCACGGATAGCATTTGCTTATTTAAAAGAAGAAGAACATGCAGCTCTCCAATTGGATTTGAGTAACAATTGCATTTGATCTTATCACGGGTGCAACGCAGCATCCCCAGGAAATATTCTTTGTAAACTGATTACACGTAATGTTTGCATATTGAGATGCACATCAGCAAAGTCTGGTAGTAGGCAGGTGGTTGGGGGAAGGGGAGATGGCTGCACTTTTACGGGCTGTTTAAGACTTTTGAAAACAGGCCGCCAATTAAGAACAGAACACGTGTGCCTCTCTGAGGGTGTAGATGGCCGTGGGCGAAGGAAGCGCCGTGCCAGACAGGAGTGCGCCTGCAGCGGCCCAGCTCGGCCCTGTCTGACTGGGAAATCCTGCCCCCCCCCGTGTTGCACTCCCACACAGCTGGACCACCCCCAGACCTGGAACAGCGCCACTCGGTCAGGACTACCCGGGTAGGGGCTTTCTTACGCAATAAAAAAAATAAAGGTTTTGGTCTGGAAGGGCAAGACTGTGGTCATGGCTTTGGCCTTTCTCCATGGGGGTGGGTGTAATTGTGGAACGGAGGTGGTATGAAATTAAAAGAAACAAGAGATTTCGTGCTGCGGGCCTTTTCAGTGTTCCAAATAGCACAACATTTAGGAACGCTTCCTCAAATATCTATTAACTCTCCATGTTCTCTCTGAGTGAGCTGCACTGGAAAGCTTCCACGTACTGTATCATGGTTTGAAAGCCTCCCCCCATCTCTCCACATGGTGCAGACACACTGCTGGACATATTTATCCCCACCTGGATTACCTTACAAACACACTGAATGCAGGAGCGATGGCCTATTCTTTCTTATTGCATTCTGCCCCAGTTTATCCTCATTCTGACAAAGCCTTATTCCTGAGCTTATTCTTATTCACTGTGCGAACACAAAATGGTACACACTTTGTACACGCCATAAACCCTGACTAACGCTTCACACATGTTGCAGAATCACTATAGGCGGTAGAATGTAAAACTGTTAATTACTCAAAAAGCTTGGTGTAGAAATTTATCAGACAAAATGCAGCCTTAGAACACTTTTTACATGCCTAGGGTGACATTCATCAGAAACACCTGCAACAAAACCACAGGACACCTCTAATGTACAGTATCTGTCTGGAGAAGCCTTATTAAGATTGTGAAAACAGGTAGTGAACCTCCACGTTCCTTTTGAGCCTCAATATGATTAAGAAAAAAAAATTGAAGGGTAGAAGAAATCAGTGCTGAGGCTTTAAAAGTACTTTTTCAAGGATACGACAATAGTCCATTTGGGATCGTGATTACACACACCAGTTAATAGTTAGCACAGACTTCTGACAAGGCCGTGAGCACACAATTGGAATCAGAACAAAGACTGAAGTACAGAAAGTAACAAGCTATCCAAGTTCTTGCCTCTGTGGGGGTTTCTGCCTGCAGTGCTCTGACACCAACACTAACACTAACCAATCAAAGACACAACACGACTACTGCCATTATTCTCCACCCTCATGTACACTGTAAACCCCGACAGACAGAAGCTTAAGACGTGTTGCTCACTGTTGAGAAACCTAAGAACAGTCAGAGAAGTCTGTGTATACAGGTGGCCGTGTTTTCTGCCAGAAAAATAATACACTCAGCTATAAGTTCTAAAAAACAAAGACGGCATCTCACAATTTGATCCGTAAATTTCCATTGAACTTGCTTATGCAAACCTTTGCTTCAGTCTTTTTAAGCAAGGGACTTTTTTTCCCATGAACTTGTGGTTACAACAGTGTTGCCTAACTGGCAAAAACTGTTTTTTAATATTGTTTTAGAAGTCTGGCATCCTTTCCAAGACTTGCTAATGAGGTGCGATCTCCAGCTACAAATTGCATCTAGCTGTGAGAGACAGTGAGGTGTTGCTAGGATAAAAGCCTACCATTTCCACGGGTGTGCTTTAAGAAATTCCACTGACACCAGTAAATTTCAAGGTTTAACAAGGCA